CCATAATTCAGCAAGGTACGGTCTGATAAGCGCAAACAGCAAAAAGAACCGAGATCTTTTGGATATAAACATATATTTTAAGTTTCATCAAAATCTGATAAAAAAAATTTGCCTTCTACAGAGTCCACAACCTTTGTATTAGGCCTACCTACTTTTAGTACACCATATTTGCGTACAAGGAGTGGTCATTTTGTCGGGCAGTTTCAGTCCGATTTTCACGAAATTCGAACTCAACCGTCATTGGGGTGTAACTATACATTTAAACGTTTTTATTTAGAAACAGATAAAAATTGTGACTTATATAGAGGATCCAAAAGCTAAAAACGTGATTTTATAAACATACATTTCAAGTTTAATCAAAATCAGATACAAATTTTGACATCTAGAGTGTCCACAAGCTTGGTATTAGACATAGGCCTACTTTTACACAATTTGATTTGGGTAAAAGGAGCGGCCATTTTATCCAGCAGTTTCGGTCAGATTTTTACGAAATTTGAACTCAACCATCATTGATGTGTAACGGTGATATATTTAAACGATTTATAAAATTGAATACAAATTGTGACTTCTAGAGGGACCACAAGTTATAAATGCGATTTTTCGAACAATCAGGGGCCATATGGAAGTAACGTTCGGTCATGCGCGATTATCGAAAGTAACCAAGGGCCCGGTTCCTAGAAAATTCTTAAAATAAGCAAAAAGTCATGCTTCACTTTTTCTTACTTAAGAAACTTTATAAAATACCGTCTCGAGAAAATTCTCAAGACTATTCTTACGTAAGCACAAGTCAAGAATGAGTCAAAGCACATTGTGACTGGTAAATTGAGAGTATGATGCTCTCTAACGTCATAAAAACAATTTTAGTATGCGAATGACATCATAAATTGGTCGACTGCATAAATAGATTAATGACATTAACATCCCGGCAAATGGTCGATTTAGATGCATTTGACATGCCCCCTTATACACATATAAAATGTGCCACAAGGTAAAAAAAAACAAACGCAAGCACACATTAACCGGCGGAGTAATTGTGATTCGTTCTTTCCTAGAGTTTTACCTCCACTTCCACCATGGGTGATAATTCAGTGAGAGCGCCTTAAAGTTCAAGTAAAGTTAAAGTAGCCCGTGTTTGTGTTGTTTACTAATTGGCAAATAAATAAAATGGTTTCAGGGTAGAAGCGAAATTTTCTATATATAGAATATGTTTTTAAAGGATTTTCTGTCTTTTAATTGTCTCTTTGGTGTCGGAAGATGTGTAGGAAATGCCGTCGAATATAGAATCTTCGGTCAGCCACCTTAATTGGTTGAAGAAGAAACAAACTTAAGATTGGTAAGCGGACTTGTGCTTAGATTGACAATGTTTAAGAACAAAGTTGTGCTTAAGTATTTTCTTGGAACACAAGGAGCGTGCTTGTGCTTACCCTGAAGTCTACTTACAATCTAAGCACAAGAATGTTCTTAAGAATTTTCTGGGAACACAAAATAAGGTAAGTTTACTTTTAAATGAAATGCAAAGTCTACTTGAAATCTAAAGCGATGGACACACTAGCCGAATGATTCGGCCGAATCAATCGGCGTCGAAATTCGCCTAGTGTGTCCACTGTCATTAACCGAATGATTCGCCCGAATCAGCCGAATGATTCGCCCGAATCAAACAGGCTTGATATATTCGGCCGAATTATATTCGCCTGGTGTGTCCGCTTCTCCGAAGCATTCGGCCGAATGTAGAATTCATTAGCCAATCACCACTCATCATCCACTCATTTCGGGAAGTCACGTGATTGTTTGAAGACATAGACGCCGCCATATGAGTGGTGATATGAGTGGTGATTGGATAATGAATTCTACATTCGGCCGAATGCTTCGGCGAAGCGGACACACCAGGCGAATATAATTCGGCCGAATATATCAAAGCTGTTTGATTCGGTCGAATGACAGAGGACACACTAGGCGAATTTCGACGCCGATTGATTCGGCCGAATCATTCGGCTAGTGTGTCCACTGTCCACCGCTTTAAGCACAAGAACGTGCTTAATAATTTTCTAGGAATCGGGCCCAAATCTTTGCGATATAGCCTATAAACATAAACTTAAAGTTTCATCAAATCAAAATTGTGGCCTCTAAAGGACCACAACCCTTGATACATCCCAAACTTAGGCTGCCTGTCTACAGCTAGCTCCGCCTAAGAACAGGCCCTAAGCTAATTACCCGACATTTTAATTCATACATCGACGATTTTAGTCGAAAACACTGAGTATGCTTTTAGTAACTTTTAGAAGTATTTATTTCTCTTCTATTGTATGAAATTAAATATGTTTATTTAGCCGCTGTGTGTATGAAAGATGTCAAACTAATCAAAGCCGAATCACAAAATAGTCCTCTAATTATTCAATTCAATATGGCGGCGCCCATAAAAGGTAATTTCACAGAGGCGGTTTTGATTGCGAAGACAAATTTAGGAGTATCTAACCTTGTTTTGAAAGATAAACAGATTGAAACTATAAAGACAGTTTACAATGGCAAAGAATGTATTGCAATATTACCCACTAGTAGGCCTACATATTATATATCGCTTTTACCGGCAGTGGCGGCGCCGGGGGGGGGGGGGGGGGGCACATTTGCCCCCCCCCCCCCCATTAATCTGGTCTGCCCTCTGTTTGCCCCCCCCCAATAATTTTAGGAAATAAAAAAAAGTATTTGCGATACGTTTCGGTAATCAATACCTTCTACAGTGAATAAATCCCACATCCCCACTCAGTCATAAACTTGCATGTTGTAGAGCATTTCCGACAGTCTATTTTTCAAAATTTTCTTGGCGAGGTCCCCTATGGACTCGCTACTTTGACGCTCACAATGGGAATTCGTTGAGGTTCGCAAGTCCGTTCGTTTGACATTTTCTTCTCTAGTCGGATAAACTAGTGATCAGGCGACGAACGGTATCTGGGCAGATCTATTTATCTCGACGATCGGTGCCTGACAGAATACTGTAAGACAGCATTTCCGGCAGTCTATTTTTCAAAATTTTCTGGGGAAGGATTCCCTACTTTGACGCTCGTGAGTGGGCTTCGTCGTGATTCGCAAGTCCGTTCGTTTGACACTTTACCTCATCGATCAGTGCCTGAAATACTGCCAGGCTGCATTTCCGGCAACCTGTTTTTCAAAATTCTCTGGTGGAGGCCCCCTACCCCTAGTTGAAGCTCGAGCCTTTGCCCCCTTAACCTTGGACTTTGCCCCAGCTTTGCCCCTCCAATCACCGACGGCTGGCGCCACCACTGTTTACCGGATTGGCAGAAGTTGACATTTTGCTAAAGACATGTGTTTACATAAAACACGTGCGTGCTCGGGTTATTTTTACTTTGTTGTCTACACAAAGCTGTGGTCCGGTCGATAAGTCCCGTCCTAAAATGATCACGTGAGCGTTTTAAATGGCGGCTAATTGGGGCAGTGATCATAATGACGTATGACGTAATAACAGAACACAATTTTTATGGGAAACAATCACTGGTTTTATTCTTAAAGCACGACGTTTCGACAAGTATCCTCTTATCACGACGTTTCGACAAGTATCCTCTTATCACGACGTTTCGACAAGTATCCTCTTATTGTTGATCGTTGATAACGATAAGAGGATACTTGTCGAAACGTCGTGCTTTTAGAATAAAACCAGTGATTGTTTCCCATAAAAATTGTGTTCTGTTATTGTGTTCCCCAATCACTAAATGCCACTTAAAGATTACGTATGACGTAGATGGATAGTTGCGTGCAGTTTGCCCTTGATATACCTATTTTTACACTATACTATTTGCGTACAGGGACGGCCATTTTGTCAAACAATGGGGGGGGGGCATAATAATACGTGAAGTTATGGTCCAATACATGATGCCAATATCGAAAGGAATCTAGATCTTTGGGATATAATGAGTAATACGGACGGACGGCATAATACGTCCACATGAAAATGTGGGCGTATATAAAACTACGCACTGAGTAGCTTACTATAGACCTACATGAAAGCTGACGCGACCTCTCTTGGTGGCGATTGTCTGCTGATCATCAAGCTATTACGTCAGAAATTATCTAGACGTCATTGATCAGAACCAATGACGTCTACAAAAGACGTCATTGTTCGGAACACTATGGAGCGGAATGCACGACATAATTCTAACAGTTAATCTAGTAATGTTTAATGGAACTTCTTACTTGGGCCTACATGTGATAAATTGGTTATTTACACATGTAAAAATGATAACTGGTTTGATTTATTTCTAATGTTGTAGTTTGAATTTGTATTTACTATACTGTCAATGATATAGGCGATGTGTCGCATTTTTTAATATTAAAGCAGATGTAGTCTATCTGGAATAAGCTTTAACTTCCAACTTTTTTTTGCACCAACTTTAGGAACGATGTTAAGAAATGTCCGTCTTCATTAGCCCGGATGGAGCAGAGATGTGGGAAGTTAAACTTCATTTCATTTCATTTAATGCCATTGAAACAATTTATCATTTAGATCAGATGTTTTCAACCTTTTTTTTATAAATAGAGACCTGCGAATAACAATAGGATACATGTTTCGGGGACCGCCATGTCAGAAATGAACAGGACTTTTTTTTGATAGTATTTTGTGTACTAGTTTCAAATGTAATACTATAATTTATTATGAAAATTGTATAGCTATTTAAAATAAGCTGAAACGAGCAATAAGCAATGTATACGCCAGAAAAAAAACCCGGACTGATCTAGATAACTATTAAAATCGTTCTACAGACTATTTCCAAACACATCAGGAGTAGTTCTGAACATTATTTCCAGAAACAACATCTAGATTACTTCAATAAATAACACATATAGATTACTAAATATACTGAATCAAGACAATCTTCAGATCTTTGTCGAACAAACGACTAAGTCAACGTGCACGCGGGACCTGGATTTTTGTCCCACCGAAATAATAGACAATGTCCCTTATTGCCAGGCAAATAATCTTAAAGGCTTACCAGAAATAGTGAATGGTGTAGTGCTACCAGATATTCTCCTCATATTGCCAGGATACATCATATAATCCAATATATACTTTAAAAATACTTCAATCAACTCTGATACAATTACACATTTGTGAAACTACAAACTTGAAATTTAATAACCCGGGTTAACAATGGTTTAAACAAGGGTGGCCATATATGTTACTTCTTGTTTATTAACAATGGAACACAATACAGTACATGTTCACTACACTGTCTCAAATACCATATTGTACATGTTATTAGCAAGTATACATTCAGATCACGAAATGCCTTTATCGATGGTTTACAACGATTGTTCACAACCTCTTAAGTCGACTTTAATTATTCCTTATACTGTCACAAAGTTCGAGTCTTTTATTTGTAAGATCAAATATCTAAGCCATGTTTATTAAAGGAACTTGATCCCATTTTTACACATCACGGGTGTTTAGTTCATTTACAAAACACACTTGTCTGGTTATTTCCAGTTCAGAAATATCAGTATCTTGTCAACAAATCTTAATAAAATTCATTCACCAATATCACGCTTAATGGTGGAAACTTGATTGTGAACCGAGACGAGGTAATTACCCCTACCTCCATAATTTGATTATATACCAATGATCGATTTTTATAGATCGATGAGTGTGCAATATTGGTTGATATGCCATTAACTTCTTGATCTATAGAATGACAATATAGCGCTGATTGAACGTGTTGTCAATTGCTTTTGTTGTGATATTCTATGTTGTGTCAATAACAGTACCCGTGAAGCGATTCAGTATGGGACTTCGGAGCGTTTAGCATTATTGTTGATCTCACAAAAGGCATATTTAGTATGCCATTACGTACAATGAACCTATAGGTCTATACACTTCGAAATATTCAATTCTATGACCTATACCGTTACTATAAAAATTCCAGTCACTAAGATAATGCTTTGTGTGTAAATAAATAAACATACACAAAACCTAACTTGGTCTTTAAAAGTGGGCTTTATTAAAATTTCAAAAGTAAAATTTTAGTATGAAGTGTAGGGTGAGATTGGAAAATTGAATTCATAAATATATGTATCCAAATAATAAATGAAGCCTGGAGGATGGGTTGCTTGGCATCAAAAACTAAAAAGTTGTTGAAAGAACAATGACTCCAAAAATAAATGATGTGCCACTCTGACTGATAGGGTTCATCCATAGAAGGTGACATTGAAAATCTCATAAGCCCTGACACCGAAAGCAATTGCAAGGTTTTTTGATGACAAGGGCATTAAATCTTTTATATAGTCACCACACCAACCTTTGGTTTTGGGAGTAAGGTAATATACATATTCACTATTTCAGTCATGTATGTGATATCACCCTCGGTGTAAGCCCCAAAGAACAAATATGAAGTATCGGTTCTTGCAGTCTCAACAACTTCTGGAATAATGCTATTTTAGATGCAGACAACGCGCTTCTGCCATGGCAAAATTCTCTTTATAACTTAACATGCAATTACATAAGATAGCTACGCAAGCCGCATCTTGAATAGAAGGCTTGATCTCGCCTTAACTACGTACATCTTATCAAGCTAGATGTTGTAAAACTCGCGGCCGTTGCTTCAGGAACATGGGGAACTGCTGAGTATTGAAGTAACAGCTAGATGTTGTACAACTCGTGGTCGTTGCTTCGGGAACATGCGCAAGCCATGGAAATACGCCCATACTGCATACAGCAGCGATGTGTCAACTGCAGCTAATCTTCAAGGATAATCTCTATCGTGTTTACAAGCTTTTCTCCCAACACATATCTCTGGAACAGAAAGTGCTAGATTGGAAAATTATCAGGGTCAATCCGGTCCGATTCCAATGCTTCAGGGGGGGGGGGGGTGTTAGCACATGCGCGCTGTATCATAGGGTCTGTCATAGAGTCAACTGGCGTGGTTTCGATTACCCGGTTGTACGTGACAAGGAATAGGGTCGCCATAGGTTTTTTCCGGGTCCTCCGGTTTACTCCCACTTCTAAAGACCCCTACGTGCAAGTAAATTATTGAAATAAAATTGAACCATATGTTAGTCCCGAAATGATCTAGTTTGTGTCAAATGGAAATTAAACCCCATTTCTCTCTCTGTCCAATGCTTCACACCAAATTTGAAAAGCAATAGGGTCGCGTGAGCAAGGTGTTTGGAAAAGGGCGGATAACACATGTCGGAAAGGCTGGGGAATAGGGTTAATCCTTTCACAGTCGTAATTAATGCCTCGCAACAAATTTGAAAACATTTGTGTTAAAAACTGTAATTTCTATCGCGTTAACAAGATTTTCGGAAATGGACGGATAAATACAGAGGAATGATTCTGGAACAAATGATGAAATTCGAACAGGATCATCCTCTCTAGGTTTGAAATCATCACACCAAATTTGAAAAGATTGCGTCAAATTAACGAGGGGCGACAACTATATACGACCAAACTACGTGTGGTACTGTGGGCGTATAAACATCCTTAAACTGAAGATGGACATTACGTGCATATTATTTCAGTTCTCTCTGTTCCTTCTTGTTGCATCTCTGCTACGGCAAAAATGTATACTATACGGAGAATTATCTCAATCTTACAAACAGTAACAATCAAGTAAATATAGAATAATTGATAAAATGATGAAACTTGGTCCATGTATTTGATCAGGTCACAATTCGACTTCACATCAGTTATCGGGACTGGGAGAAAAGTGGCAGAACAGAGACAGGACTGAATTCAGGGCTTTCCTAACAATCCAGTTTGAGTAGCTCTTTAATGCTTGGGCCAATATAGTTTGGTAGACTAAATAAAAAAAATTCCGATTTGATCATAAGAAACCAATGAATACAGAAAGTCAGATAACAAATTTCACAAATAACAAATTATTTTTTTTATTATTTTTCTTCATCTGCTGACACATCCTGATTTTCTTCAGATTTCATTAACAATTTCTGAAAGAAAAATTGAAATAATTTTTGGTATTGATGGATTCCTAGCTATTGTTGTTTTTAATATTTTAAATGTAGGTTGCCAGGCAATGAAACATATTTTTCTATGATCAAGGGTGATAACGTTGACAGTTATTATCAGAAATTTTATCAATTCAATAGGATTCTTTGTCTCTTGAACATAAACAGTGTGTATAAATTTTCCCTTTACAGCATTCATGAGATTTTTCAAATTTTTCAATATCAACAGTAGCCTCTTGTGGGTCCACAAGCAATACTGCACACAAGACAAAGAGTAGTGACAATAATATACAACCAGATTTTGATGTGAGAATATATGTTTGTCATTTTGTAAAGTCTTTTTTATTAGTATATTATTACCTCAAGTAACGGGTCATCTTTTTTTGATGATTGTAGAATTTGTATAAGTTGTTTTCTTGCTATATCTGATCCTATATTGAAACAGGTATCAAACTGACTTAGGTTGTAACTCTGTAGTAATGGTTTCTTAGCAAGCCTGTATAAATAAAAAGTTATCAATAATGTTATAACAGAAGAATGACACTACACACAAACCCTGACAAACCTGGAAGCAACTATCTACACCATCCCACAGTACTTCAAGCCACATTTGATTTTTGAACCAACCACAGCACCAAATCAATAGATCTGGTCACCTTAAATTACTGACTCAACTTTTTTGATGTTCCTTTGTTCTGATACACTTGTTTATATGTACATTAATTAAAGTTTTCAAAAATAATTTCCTTCTCGATGAAGAAAAACAATGAATAGTGCAGGCATAGTATCAGACAATGTTATTATACCACGACGTTGTGAAGAGTGACCAATTTCGATATCCTAGTTGTTATATGTACTTGAAATAGTACTTAGGGCTATGATCCACACTGTTAAGGTGTCACACTGTTACCACTGGGAAAGACTTACATTGTTAAAACTTAGAAAAGAGTCACATTCTTTGCAATAGATTGGACCAAGGGCAGCAGAATTCTTCTTAGTTACTTCAAACAGGGCAGATGTCTAAAATATTCTACAGTACTGCATCTTTGTATAAAATGTTTTTGTTTCATGATTATGAACATAGTACTTCTATGCTTGTATACAGAAAGTTTTTTTTTAATTAAACTGCGACCAATTCATATATATATTGAATACTCACATTTGAGCTCTTTTCGGGTCTTTATAATTGGTGCCAAGTAGAACAGCACCTTTCATCAATAGAGCTATAGCATTATTAGGATCAAGTTCTAATAGCTCTGTTATACTATCATCAAATAACTGTCTTATTGTAATATCTTCTTCAGATTTTGTCTGATAAAATAAAATTAAATCAAATCTATCATCCTGTTAAATAATTAGCAACTTGCATAATATAATACCTTATTGCTTGGAAGAAACATATAATGATTTAAGATAAGCTATAACTTACCAGTCTACAAACTGTAATTCATAATATTAGAGACAGAAGGAAACATGCACAAATGAAATGGTCGGCAAATAAACAATTCAGATATTGTTTTGATTTGGTAATTAAAATTTCCAAAACTTTGATCTCACTTAGTGCTTTTGTTACTAATCAGATGGTAAGTAAAAAATAATAACTATATACCAGTAATAATTTATAGGTAATATGTGATATCTGTATGGCTATCATCAGACGTTTCTTCTTTCTGGAAACAGAATAGAACAAACATAATGAAAATATAAGCTATAATTAAGTAGGTCTACTATGAAGTCAGAATTGTTTGAGACAAAAAATTCATGTTTTAGCATTAATGAAAAGCAACCATTAAATTCTTTATGAACATCATTGACCAATTTCTTTTTTTATTTCATAATTTTACCATTTTAAATTATATACCTTTTGTTATTCATCTTTATTTTAGAATAATATTGTTTGTACTTACTCATCATCAGATAAATGTGAAGAATATTGTTTTAATAAATTAACAGATTCAATAAATAAACCATTTTGTATATAGCTCTCTACCAATATCTAAAATATCAGAAAACATCATGGATTAACACACATACCCATACCTGATCTGCCAACTTTTCAAATATATAGAGAATTTTGTAATTAAAGAAGAAACATATGTTTTTATTATTTAACAACCCAAAGAATCTGTAAAGAGAGAGAGAGAAAGAGTTAAACATCAACTCAATAAAAACAATATCATTTCGGGACTAACATATGATACCATTTTATTTCAATAATTCTCTTGCGAGTAGGGGTCTTTAGCCGTGGGAGTTAACCGGAGGACACAGCGAAAACCCACGAGTTTAGGCAGGCAACCATTCTCCTTGTCAAATACAAGTTTGGGTTCGAAACCACACCACCCGACTCAATGACAGACCTTATAATCTAAAGCGCATGCCTCTGATCATTTAGCCAGTCAACATTGCATTGCCTATAAAACGAGAGAGCGAGAAATGGGACTAACATGTGGTTCAATTTTATTTCAACAATTCGCTTGCGCGTAGGAGTCTTTAGAAGTGGGACTAAACCGGAGGACCTGGAGAAAACCCACAAGGTTTGACAGGCGACTATAAAGCAAGAAGAACAATGTGTATATATTATACCTGACATAAATATAAACCCTCTTGTTGATTAATACCAACTTCTGGTTTGTCTTGTCGACTACCATTTAACATACTTAATATTGTTGTAGAAAAAGCAGGATCACCAAATTCATTGCTAACCTTCAAATAGACAATATGTGGACATGTTTTTAACATAAAAAATAAATTCAGGTTTCCTAAAAATCATTTATCTAGCTCGTATGTGATAGATTTAGTGGTATAAATTTGTGTAGCAGTAAAATAGAAATATTTTTACCTGTTTTAGAAATAGTTGCGCTTGTTCCATCTGACCTGTTTCCATTAAACATATAACTTTCTGTTTATAACACCATAGTTTTAACTTGATATTATTACTAACTTCTTCTATAATATAACATAATGCCTCATATATATAACTTTAAACAGAGATAAGTTTGTGCTAGCTAGAATAATTTTTTGTCATTAATCAGCTTTTTAATCATACATTGAATATGGATGTTAATTTAGAAATTCTCACAGTTTAAGCTCTAATATTTGTCATATTCTTGAATAATGCCCATTGTTTATATAATATCTATAACATCACTTACTGTAAACAAACATTATTTTTGAAGCCTACTAATTTAAGAAATAGAGTTTTCAAATGTTGTATTTGAGATATGTGGAGGTTTGTAAGATTCAATGAGTTTGTGGATGACCATAATACAGTATGTTTTAACTCCATGCAAGAACTGGACATGGTTGGGTTTGGTTTTTTTTACAAATTAATAGCAATATTGCTACTTTAATCTAGTAGTCAAAAATTATAATAATCAAGTTAAATCAACATTCTTGATGGCTTACTTGATTAACATGTCTACCACATATAAACAAAGATTAAAAGTCATTAATACATGTATGGATTTGCTAAACAATGGATGCCTGAAAGTTACAAACAAAAATCTGTAGTATTCTGATGGAAGCAATGGCTATATATGACAATATTTTTAATAAAAATTTATAGCAAAACTGCATGTATATATCTATTACCATTATTTTGAAGAATGTGGTCCAAATACGTCAATTCAACCTGATGAAGATCACCATCTGATTTTAAACATCTCCTCACCAAACCTTCAGCATGTAAACAACTTATAAAACTTATCCAATTTCTTACATTTCCTATAATATTCAATAACAAACAGATTAAATAGGTACAATAACTTTACAACATGTACCAATAGAGCTATATAATTTTACCTAAATTACCTTTTCAATAATCATATTCTTATACATGTATACTCCTTCCTTTTGTTCTTTAAATTTTTATGCAATAATTTGATAACAATCAGAGTATTCTGTTTGGCTGTAGGTACTGAGATATATGACCAGATACATCGGGAAAACTTTTTTATTTATAATAACGCATGTACTTCAAGCGTTTATCTATTGGAAGTAACATCTATGCTTAATCAGGGTTATTTATGTCAGAAATGCTGTTGATATAGTTTTAAAAAGTGTCAGGAATCCATGAGAAACTGCACAATAACTATGGGGATGATGTCAAAATAACTCTGACTTAACAATTAAAGTCGTTCACATGGAAAACCGAGTTCCAAAGTACACAATGTAGTTGAGTTTATGTAAGAAAAGTCAGCTGTATTGTAAATACTGAAAATTGTACCTGGGTTATTATGTAATACTTGTTGTGCTGTTTTTACAGTATTTCTATCTGTAAGTTTACGGCTGTGCTGTCCTGATTGAAGTTGTGCCAATGTAAGCAGATCTGAATTCTTTGTTAATGCATTCTGGAAACACAAAAAAAGTTTAATAGATTTCTGGTTTCACTTCACATAAAATAGCATTATCATGTGTGCAAGACATTTGCCAATCTAGTATTTAAGGGATAATAAACCATTAAACTTTATCGTGTCTATTTCTTTAAATCAAATCATAAATACTTCACTAACCTCTTGATTAACTTGACTAATATATTTTCCTACTCTGATACAATTAGCTGATGCTGTTCCACGTTCAGGAAAATATTTAACCAATAGTTCAGCTAACACCAACCATGTTTCATATAATCTAGGATTGGTATGAATAGTTCTCTGTAGATATCTCATTGGCTGAATAAAGTTACCCTAGAACACCAAATAAAACAATCATAAACTGCAATGTTCTACAGGGCTCATGATCAACCCATACTTTAAAGTAAATGTGGTATCAAACATATCCAACATTCTAAATGACTACAATTACTGAAAAAAAGTTAACCAGTTGGAATGTCACAGAAATAGAAGATAAAAAGAGAGATGAATAAACTATAGTTCCAATTAGCCATAAGTAATACACCCTTTTTTATTATTTGGAAAATATGATATGCCTTCTTATTTATTCAGATGGCACGAAGACCTCCACAAGAATGGAGTGCTAACATAAACATTCAATTAATTCAACTGATAAGACAATACAATGAAAGTTTCTAGTTTCTAGAAATCTAAATAAAATATACTACCGTCAATACAAATAAATGAAATGAAATGGGGTTTAATGTCCTACTGCTCTGCTCCGAACTGGGCTAATGAAGACGGGCATATGCCATACAGTGTGCTATGAGGGAAATTTTGCCCTGACAGCGGCACCACGGCCTACTCTTATATCGAATTTCAGCTGTCATTGGGATCTTTTATGTGCACGCCAATGTTTTCACGGGACCTCGGTTTTCCATCCCATCCAAACGACTAGACAGCTGTCCTTGTCAGGCCCTCCGCCCTGCATCACTGACAAGGGGGATCAATCCAGATAGATCATTTGAATAATAAAATCAACATTTGATGTGACCACTACAAGACTTAATAAGATTAATGGGTTTTTTTATCAATCTAATTAAAACACAGATCCTATTTCATTTTGTTTTCCATAGTTCAAAATTTCGTTTTACTTGTCTTTACAACACTGGGATCTGGAAGAATTGTTATATAATCTGCGTTCTGGATGATGTGAGGGATTAGCAAATGAAGCAATCTGTTACGGCGACATTTTGGCATGAGGTGCACAGAACTCTGGGTAACCCACTAGAAACATCAACGCTGATTGGTTAATCAAATGTCTAACGTCATAGGGTCAAAAGCAGCTTGTCTGACCTCTGATGCGACCTTTCACTACAATTGGTCAGATCTTCATGTAATAGAGGCCATCAAAAGTATAAAAAAAAACGAAACAAAATATAGATCTGTATTTCAATCAAATTGTACTTTCATGTTACCAACCTGAACAAGATCTAGAACCACAGTAAACCACATTGTATCACTGTGTTGATTGTCTTCCTGTTTAACCAGTTCTTGTAAAACAGCTGTCACCAAGGTAACATCAGATTGTAACAGACCCAAACCACACAGAGCTTTGAGACCTATAATCGAGGGTGGACTGGTCTGTGATCTAAAACATTCAAAAATGGAAAATAACCTTATGTACAAGACCTGTCATAGGTTTTAACAAGCGGTTGCCATGCAAGATACACCCACAATTTGCAAGAGATGGACAGAAAACAAGCTAAAAAAAAGAGAAGAGATTTCCGTACAATCAGGGGCCATAATCCATGAAGTTTCGATCCAATACATGTCAATATCGAAATGAACCAAGATCTTTGGAGATAAACCTATATTTCAAGTTTCATCAAAATCGGATAAGAATTGTGACCTATTATAGAAAGTCCACAAATCAATTGTGAATAGATAGACGGACGGACAGTCTCGACAAAAATATATATGCCCACATGAAAATCTGGGAGTATAAAAATTTTGAAATCATATGACTTTACTAATGTGACCCATTATTTCCCATATTTTGCAAGACATAAAGTCATTATTTATACCTTATGTAACGTCATCTGTATATCACAATAGTATATTGAGATAAAAGAAAATTTCATCTTAAAAGCTTACCCTGTGAACAGTGCTGTTTTGGCACCATCTAAATCACCAAATTTATAGGACACCATTCCTAGAGCAGCATAAACATGTGATCTGTCATCATCTTTCTCAACTATTTCAGCAGCTTTTTCATATGCTGAAAGATTTTTAAAACATCACAGTTGTATCATGTTTCTTTCATTTCACAAAATAATAATATCAATCAAAACTCATCCTAATAATTAGTACAAGTCCAATGGATGAATTTGGTAAATTAAGCAATTCATAATTTGTTAAATAAAAAGAAAATTAGTAAACATTTAACATTTTTTGAGGACTTACCTTTAAAACTTTCTGCTAGATCACCTGCCTTATATAAAGTGTAGCCATAGTAACAAATATCTTCTGCTTGTTCTATAGATGTTGTCTGTTTGTAAATCTCTATTGACTTTTCATATAAGTTCTGTTTACTAATATATAAGAAATTATGAAGACTTAATTACAAAATTGTTAAATGTGAATAACTTCAAAGTAATGCCTGCATTAAATAAGGAAGTCAAAATGATACTGAATCTAATTTAAAACAGCATACTTCTTACTATCATTTTTAAAAAAAATAGCTCTTACCATAAAACTCTTGCCAAATTCAATCTTGCTTTGTTCAGTTTGGTTATATCTGGAACTGTTTGTGCTTCCAAAAGACTTACACATCTTTCAAAGAAATAAAATCATTAAAATATACTAACAATGTTAGTAAAATAAACACAGCCTAAGGTGAACAAGAATGGATGAATATTATATGACCAAAATTGTCAGCATTAAACATACAGAACATCATACACACATACTAAATGTAAATATACAGAACTACCATTAGATCAGTAGATGTTAAGTCAAAATAACTGAGAATATCAAATATATCCACATAAAAATGTTCAATTTTAAATCCCTCTACCCACCTTTCTAAAGCTGTGGAAGCTGAACTATAAAAAGTTTGTTGTTCAAGTAGAAGACCATACATATTCAATGCTGTTGTATCATCATTACATCTTGCTGAAATTAGAAATTGAAAATGTGTTTTAGTGATTTTTAACACCTATATCAATTGTTCAGAAATTGGATTTTTTGAAAGTACCTCAATCATTTATGCATCTTTACCTACCTAAATATCTTGTCAGTGTGTCTGCGGCAGATGGAATAGCAGCCATTTGTTTAATGCTATACTGAAACATGTCTGTATGATGTTTGCTGTGGTCCTGTAACATACTACACACCCAGTGAGCATAACCAACTGAGCCTTCTGACTGTAAAATAAACATAATACATTCAACAATAAACAAAAATCATAATCACCTGAAAGCTATTATTTTCAGAGTCAGTGTGTCAGTCATTATTGTTTAACCATTGACTAAAGTTTAGGAAAAGCATGGAGGTGTGGATTATCTTTATGTTGAAATTTTAACTAAATTCAGACTTATATGTTGACTAACTTAAAGATACATTTTATAGATGATAAAAAAAGAAAATGTTGAAAATTTCAGTCAAATTACTTTGTTCTGAACGGAATTGTCACTGTTGGAAGTTTGGACTAGAAATAGGTATCAATTGTGTTTGCACCATCTATGAGAATTGGCGATCGTTTGATTGACAGACGATAACTCCACCCACATATTCTCGATTATCAAGTAACATGCTCAATGGCTATGGTATCCTTGCTTGGCAGCAGTGACATCAGCGACTAACGGTAAACGTTAGCTTGGTACGACATTTATTGATTTAATTTTAAATGGACGACTGTTTAAATCCAAACTGTATCCAAGCCATCCGTTGGTCTACATGGAGGGTTGGATGGCCAAATGGTTTGCACGAGTGCGTTGTATCATACGGTCTGTCATTGAGTCAACTGGCAGGGTTTCGATTCCCCGGTTGTACGTGACAAGGAGTAGGGTCTCCTGTCCAACCTCAGGGGTTTTCTTCAGGTCCTCCGGTTTCCTCCCACTGCTAAAGACCCCTACGCGCAAGCGAATGATTGAAATAAAATTGAACCATGTGTTAGTCCCGAAATGACCTAGTTTGTGTTGATTGGACGTTAAACCCCATTTCTCTCTCTCTCCCTCCATTGGTCTACATAGTTGATTTTGAGCTTGTGTAAAAAAAGGTCTAATTAATAATTTCTTTAACATCTGAAGCCTAAATAAAGAATTGCAATAAGCAGATTTAGCTCTTGCATAATGTATGTTTAAACTCATAAAAGATAAAAATTTACATGATAAGACAGTTCTGTGGTATGTCTGTACAAGTCCATTGTATCTTCATGTCCAACAGTTTCTGCTATTATAGCCTGACCAATCCAACATGCTACATAATTAGGATCCAAACTCTGGGCGACCTTAAAAGCTTCATGAGCTAGATTTACATTGTCATGAATAAGATAAAGAGTTCCAAGATTTGTCCACGCTACAACATTCTGAAAATAATAAATATAAATTTACACAAAGATCAATTCATATCCTTGCTGTAAATAAATGTAAATATAATTAATTTAGTTGCATTACAAATTCTGTTCTTCAAAACCATTTCCAAGGTTTTTATATACTTACATTTGTCTCTGTGTTAACTGATTTAATAAAACAATGTTGAGCTAGTTCAGGATTATTCACTTCTGTAAATATAAAAAAACAATTTAAAACAAGACATAGCTGAATCCTGAAATTTATCACATCAAAATGCTTTATTTATTGTCTGAATCGTAAAATTTATCACATCAAAATACTTTGTTTTAATGTCTTAGACTTGTTAATCTTAATCCCATATGAATAAATCATTATAAATACCTTTTGAAGCTGAAATCACACCCAGTGCATTCCAATGAAGATGATTAGTGGAATCAAGAGATATGGCCTTTTTCATAAACTGAACTGACTTTTCAATAACAGATTTCCTCTCACTTTCTTGAACTAATTCTGACAGGTGGAAATATGCAATACCCAAGTCATGCCACAACATTGAATTTTCTGGCAAAATTTTTAATGCTCTTCCATAACACCTGAAGGTAAAACAAACAACAGCATGTCTTAAAATTCATTAAAGAGTTATAAGAAATCAAATGATTATGGATTAAATTGTGGAAATAAGTTGTACTATGGTCTAATAATTCAAAAACATACCTTGTGCTAAGTTGAATAACTTCACGTTTCTTTATTGCTACCAATTCATCAGAATTTTTATCACATTTTTCTAATAGTTTCTTTGGTACAGACAAGCTAAAACAATGAATAAACTGTGAACATTGCATAATTAGTAAAATATCAGACTGTATCTAATTTTCAAAATTTTAATCTTTAATTAAAGAAACAAACAGGAATTAAGGTTAATTTATTTGGTTTACTAAAAATTAAAGACACAAACAGCAATGAAGGTTAATTTATTTGGTCTACTAAAAAATCTCATAGTGTTCTATGATTTGAAAAAGGATATTAAATCAAGTATAAACCACAATGTTGCAAATTTTCATGAGTTTTTTAATATGCATTTTGATTTCTGAATAAAACAGACATCAGTAAACTGATAATTTCAACAAACATCATAATAAACAGCAAACTCACATAAAGTTGTCTGATGCTAATGGTAGCACCAAGATACAAGCATCACCAAGTAATTTCCACAAACATGACATATCAGATCGTTCACTGGCTGCCCTGAAAAAATTTAATAGAATAAAATTAATTCATTATAAGATATCGAGGGTACATTTTACATCAAATTAAATTTTCTTCTTTTTTTTCAGGGAGAGATGGCTCCTAATATGTTCTCTGACAATGTAGCTATATCTTATTGTTGTAATGTTCTGATTATGAAATACCACACTGATTTAGAATAAGAGACTGAATACTTACTTTGTAAGAAATACCAGGGCTTCTTCACAATTATCTTTAACCCTGCCATCTAGATTCTGATTCAAATGACTTCTAGCCATTAATAAATTAGTCTCACCCAATCCTAAAATTAAAAACCAAGTTTATAAGTTTAAAAACAAAAATTATTTTTACTGCATTAGCTTTAAGATCCAATGATTCTATTAAACATATGCTTAATTAAACAAAGCTTAAAACATAGATAAATATTCATTGAATATATAGGTAAAAAGTTTACACAAACCTTTTAATGCTGGAACATAGTTAGGTGATATATCTAAGATGTCTTTATAAGTTGTGACAGCTTCATCATAAATCCCTAATGTTTGAGTAATGGTTGCTATTCTATAATTAAATAAAACATACCAGTCAGTTTTGTGAATATAAAAGTAGTTCAATTGCAACACTTTTAGAAAATAATGCCAGCTAATAAAAGTTTGTACTTTTTTATATAAACAGCATGGTGTATGACTCGTCTAGTGACACTTGAACCAAGTAGCTTTCATTTCTATAATACCAGATATCACTTCCCATTTGCTAATCACACAATGAAAACTTGGTTGTAAGTTTGTGTTAAGAAATTCTCTACTTAATCTTACCAAGTTTAAGATTTCAAAATAACAAATAACTATGCAACTTACTGATATTTACAGTACAGTGATTCGGGACATAACTGAAAATCAAATTAAATAAACTTTACTCTAGATCCTGGGACATTTCACTTAGGATGACCAATGAATGCTCTCCAAATTGTGAAAGTGTTTTCATGCCTAAAGGTTCAACAGAACATACATGTACCTCAGAGGCTTTAGTAAATTATAGATAGCATACCTTCAAGGCTTAAGTAAATTATAGATAACATATACCTTAGAGGCTTTAGTAAATTATAGATAACATACCTTGCAGATGCTTTAGTAAATTATAGATAACATACTCCAGATGCTTTAGTAAATTATAGATAACATATCATACAGACTTTAATCAGTAAATTATAGACAACATACCTCAGAGGCTTTAGTAAATGCCTTTAAAGCAGCTGTAAAACTTCCCCTGTGAAAATATGCTTCTGCCAAACATTCCCAAACATGGCTAATAACATGAAAATATGTATATATGTACCAATATGAAACCAACAATGTGCACTGAGAACATTAACAAGTTTTTATCCAAAGAAATGAGCATACTATCATTAGTTTAAATATTTATCAAATATCTACATGTAATAGAATAATTGGTTTGGATAATGAAATGTTTATATGTAAAATAAACTTACTTGTCAGTTGTATCTGCTCGTAAAGCTGACTGAAATGAAGATATAGCTGCTACAGCATTATCTAATTTAATCTGACATAATCCAAGTCGCAACCATGCCCATTTAGCGCTGAAAACAAAACAATAACACTTTGTATTTAATCAACTCTTTGAATCTATTTGTTCTGATAGTTCAATTTACTAGTATTAAAGTCTGTAATGTAACATAAAGTGTCATTATGCATACATCCGGCTACAATAACAACAACTTATGCATCTTCACTTCCGTTTTGAATACATTTTCCATGATTATCAATGGAGCAATGTCTCTAGAATATTCGATTACAGACACAAAGCTGGCAGTCAAGATGGGAGTTGTTATCATCATATATAGTTGCCATCTAAAATGACAAAGTTGTTTTTATTCTATTCTCAGTATAAATGAACATGCCTTACCTCCCAGCACTGGCTTCATTTGTAACTTTCAACAACAGATCATATGCAGCATCCTGAGAAAAAGAATTGCGATGTACATGTAATTCATAATTTATTGAAAGACAATATACTGAAAGTTAAGAAGACCTATGCCAAGTGCCAACTTTAGCCATTAAAGTGTCTACTGGCCATTGTGGACTGCAGAAGGAGCAATTGTTTTGAGACAAATGTGATGACATTATAGACATTACAATGTGGGCATACAACTACTGAATTGTTTTTACTTATTTTTATAACTCCTGTTTTGAACACTTTCCATGAATGTTTGCATTTAGTACGTACTTACCTGTTCACCAATAGAAGTCATAATATCACATACAGCAGCACCAGCTTCTTCTAATGTACAATCTAGGTGGTACGCTTTCTCATAACATTTCTTAGCCATCCTTTAATATAATATTAAATAAACTTAAATGTTTTTTCCACAAGGTCTGCTGAATATTCATCAAAATGGTATTGCTGTTATCTCCCCAGAGATTATTCCATGTATTTCCAATCGTGTGTAGGATTTTTTTTGTAATTAATTAATATACTAACCTATTATCCTTACGTATATTAAGATAGAAAAGTCCCAAGTATAAAAATGGTTCACCATTATTTGGATCTTTCTGGGCAGCCTGTAAACATAAATATACAATTTATGTTGATGCATGAAAGAGGCAAACAAACAGCAAAATACAACTTTAGAAAGAGTACATTATCTAACATTATCTTTATGCATTGATACAATTCAGCATTATGGTAGGCCATCTAAATATCTATATCACATTTTATTCTATATAATAAATACTTGCTAATGAAGTTACAAAAAATATTAAAATCTCTAATTTTTATTTCAGGGATTTTGATGGGCTTTTTTTTTATATCAGATTGAAACCTAGTCTTAAGAGTATCTACCATTGATATTTTGCTTTTGCTTCCATAATCTAATGTTGAATAATCAATTTGAGTATATTTAGCATGGATTCAGCTGTTTTTATTTAATTTTGAAAGTTCATAAATTGGATGATCAATAAAATGGACATTATATGAGTGAGCTCTTAAACATACATTATGCAAGAGCTAAATCTACCTATTGCAGGTCTTTCTTTGGGCCAGAAATGTTATATAAATTATTAATCAGACATTTATTAACATGAAAAGACCTTAATCAACTCTCGATGCCATCTTATTTGTCAGATTTTTACTGGATTTGAATCCGATTTGCTGCTCAGTGCTCATTGATGATTTAATCCAAAAATGGATAATCAAGACTATGTTTTTATGGTACCGACTTTAGTAATGATGATCAAGGCTAGGCCTAAAATTCAACCGGTAATATATCGGTTCAGAGTGGAGCAATTTGACTGAAATTTTCAGTATATTCACTTTACATTATCTAGTTTTTAACTATTAAAGTGAGAACTGCCGGCTCTTTATCTAATCTTCCATAATGTATCTTTAAGACTAAACTTTTGGAAAATAGTTTGATTGCAAATAAGATTAGTAAATCACCTTAAGTAAAGTTGTGTAACATTTCTGCTCCCTTTCTTTATTATCTGGATCCGTTTGCAACATCTGCCACAAAGCTTTACCCATTAAACACCAAGCATCACTTCCACCATTGTCAGCTGAACAACATAATTTTTCTAATCTAAAATGATATTAAAATGAAAATTGGTGAAAGGATAAATCAAATATATGGTATAACCATGCTTTCTGACTGTCAATTAGGTGTCATGTACAAGTCAGGATGCTTACCCTTTTGTGAACACCTGGTACCCATTTCTATTACGGGATTGTTCTCTTACTTGATTTGCCCACAGGTTATGAAGGATTGTGCTTGAATTTTATTAGGGCTGTACCTATTGCTCTTTCTTTACCCAAAGTCAAACTTTATAATTTCTCAATTTTAACTCATCTTGAGTTCTACAGATTCTACAATCAGCTAGGTCTATAGAAATTACCTTGACAAAGCTAAGTCATATTTCTTCTTACTAAAATCATACCACGCCAGGTAATACTCTTTAACATGTTCTTCACATTCTAGCTGTTTAATCAATTCCTGAATTAGAAAATACAACAGTTATATTTCAATATACAACAGTTATAATTCCATATACTTCAATATACAATAGTTATACTTCAATATACAACAGTTATACTTCAATATACAATAGTTATACTTCAATATACAACAGTTATACTTCAATATCAGTGCTGGATTTACCTATAGGCTTGACAGGTTGAATCCTGGGGTCTCAAGATACTAGGGGTCTTAGGCCAAAGTGTGTTATATTTTGACACTGTCATAAGCCTTTCTTTTACGCACTATAATCTTAAACAAACTTGGCTTTGCTCAATTGTGTTTAAAACCCACTTTCATCATCCTTTAGTCTTGAGGAACAGGATTGGGAGGAGCCTCATAATTGGACTAGCCTAGGGCCTGTCTTCATCTAAATCCGGCACTGCTCAATATACACTTCCATAATTTACAAAGTGCACAATATAGAGAAGTTTTTATTCAAATGTCTTCAATAATTTACAACCTGCACAACCAGTGCTTACAAAAATATATGAATATTTGAATAGTCTTGCAAAGCTATTTAATTGATTTTTTGATCAATGTCAAGTGTATATCTAATGATATTCATTCAATGAAATCAGTAAGCATTCCAAAATCAATCAACAGAATAATGGAAATACATACACTGATTTCAAAATGCATCAAAAACGATTTTAAGTGATCATTTATTTAACTTGTTTTGAACATTCAGTTAAATAGTAAACCAGCATAAATTTATCATAAATATAAACATACCATAGCCTTTTCAGTCTGTCCTTGTTTCATGTAGATTTTACACAATAAAACTTCCCTTTCTCCTTTTACCTCACCCTAAATTAAAGAGAAACTCATAATCGTTTTGGATATCAAAAATATACCAATATAAGTTGATAAAATTAGAAATATCCACAGCATTATTTATCAACTTACATTATTCTTTAATGGAAAGAAGAAAACAATGAATCCTGGAAATCAAACAACTGATAGTATTTATATCTATTATATTATTACACGCTTCTAGGACAAAAACAAGATAATAAAAAAATGCTAAGCAGTGTCATCAAACATAACACCTCTCAAAACAATAAACTAAGCAACATTTAAATCGTGGATAACAATACTGTAATCATCTGAGATTTAAACCAGTGCATTACTTCTTTGCTGCAATGAAGAAACACAATCAAAGAGGATATATAGAGCATTGCATACTTCAATATGTGTTCATTTCTAGTTTAACAGTAGTGAACTACATCTTTTTTCAAGAATTACTAAACACAGTTAAGATATTCATAGAAATATTTCTGATAGAATCTACAATATTTTACCTGTAGAAGTATATGACTAGCTTGTTGAAGTGATGTAGTAGTACCAATATTACATAAAGCTCTACTTTGTAGCAGATTTAAATATTTCTCTATCAATGTTTTATCGGCGATACAAAGGGACTTCTTCTTTACTGATTTTAAAACTATAATACAAATAAACCAAATAAAAAAGCAAGTACATTCAAACATTCAATTAAAAAATAAGTCCTAATCTTAGGTTAGGGGCTATTTTAGACTAATTCCAGCAAAATAGTAACAATGAAGAACATCAAAGTAATTAGTATAAGGTTATGTAAAATATTTGAGAGTACAAATAGCAATATTGATTATTAAAGATACATTATGGGAGATTAGATAAAGAGCTGGCAGTTCTCACTATAATACTTAAAAACTAGATAAGGGACTTTGCTGAAAATTTCAGCCAAATTGATCCACTCTGAACCAAGATTTTAGTCATGGAATTCTACATTTTGCTTATTATGATTGTAAAATGTGTGTTTAATGTATATATTTTAGAAATCTTTTTACCTTGTTGACAGTCAACCACATACTTGATACAAGACTGGTTGTTACCCAGATGTAAATAAACAACAGCTATTAAACAGTAAACAACAGCATAATAGGGATAAAACTCTCTGGCTAAAATAGAAAATTTATAGTTGGTAAAATATAAAAAGTGAAGAAATGCTATATATTCCCTCATTGCCGATTTTCAAAGTATTAATGAACACTTTTCAAATTTGAATGCATTGTAGACCTTTCTTGCAAATATATGTTAGGCAAATGTATCCAAAAATTGATTAAATATGGTTATTATAAAGGTCAGAGCAGCTATCACTGTCAGTTGATTATTTCGGTAAGTATCACATAAGAAATGAAATGAAATGGGGTTTAACATCCTACTGTTCTGCACCAACTGGGCTAATGAAGATAGGCATATGTGCAGTGTGATATGAGGGAATTTTGCCCTGACATCAACACTAGAGCCTACTCTTATATCGAATTCAAACTGACAAGGGAATTTTTACATGCACGCACATTTGTCCCTTCCAGACCTCTGTCCTGCATCACTGACAATGGGGAACCACACTGGAAAATCCTGATGAACGTTCTCGGCCAACGCAGGGATCGAACACGGGACCTCAAAGTTAACGAGTCAACATCTTACTCAGTGAGCCACTGTTCCACATAAGCTTCCATAGGTCATAGTTACCTTGCAGTAAGTTAGCTTTTGCAAGGTCATATTTTTTCTCCACCAGCAAAAAATATGCCTGAACCATCTTCAACATTGCATTGTTTTCATTTACAACAGCTTCTAAGGAGTTCATCTTATCTCTTAATAAACTATTATCGACAATACCTTGATATTCTGGATAACAAAAAGAAATAAATCAGACAATGTATGCCATGCTGGAAAACAATAGAAGGGTTATTTTTTCATTATTAGCACTGTCACTAAGGAATTAAATGCACTACATTTTGAATAATATCCTATTAAAAATAACCTTAAACACATCTAATTATCAAAAATACAATTAAGTGTTGGCTGAGTTGCTTGAAAAACTCTTAATAAAATTTTTTCAAGTCCTAAACTGAAAGTTAAAATGTCTGTATTTGAGCAATGGCTAGGCAGATGTTTTGCACATTTCAGACCTGCTCAATTTAATTTTATAGTCGATTCATTTGTTACTAATTGGCAAAAAAACAATGTCTCCTTAAATAGTTAGGAAATTATTACCAATGTTTTTTTCTAACATCATGAGTATCTGATATTCTAGTAAAACAGCAGAGCTTGGATTCAACTGAGATAACTTGTTTATTTCAACTTCAATCACATCTTTTGGCATTTTCTGTAATATTGATTCAAAAATAACCAATATGCAGCAAGCAATACATTTGGAATCTTGAATATCACAATTAAAAGATAAGGTTCTATATTTTGTGGAACAAAATGATCAGTCATATATTACCATATTGACAAGCCCTATAATGGATTCTTCAAAAAATACAATACTGGATACACAGAAGTTAGAGATATGAACTCAGGACTACAATGTATAGAACCTTTGGAATTTTTGTAGCCAATGTCATATTTGTTGGGCTAATACAGATAAGATAAAACTCAAAGGATGAAAATTAGATACTCATATGAATACTTACATCTACAATAATAGATACATAACCAGTTAACATGGCTTCTTTCTCATCAGGTGTAAGCTGTCCACCTTCTAAACAACTATCATAACAATCAAACAACTGTAAACAAAAACAAAATAAAATTTTAAAAATTAACTACAGCACCAAATACATAATCAATTGCATAATTAAATGTCTTATAAGAAAAAAGGGAGTTTCACCCCTTGGGTTGGACATTCCTATAGTGAACAACAAACAAACTTTCTCTTATATGTATGAAGAAGATTTACTGTCTTTCTAAGGTAAATCCCATCCTGTACCTTATTAATTTTGATTTCACTTAGTAAACAAGAATATATATTTGGATGAAATTCATTTTTTTACACAACAGAATTTAACTTTAAAATCTATAGAATGAAAACATACTAATTTTGTTTGAACAACATCTTGACTTTCTAAAAGTTTGATCATAGTCTGTTTTATCTCTAGCTTATTTTTATCATCTTCTGTTTCATCTAATAGATCCTGATATACTTTGATACACTGTAAAAAAAAAAAAAACATTCAAATTCTTAATTCTGTATGTGGGTATAAAAAATATAATCATAAACCATAAAGATCAACCCCAAGATCATGGATTTTGTTAAATCTACCTAATGAGAGAAGAGCTGCTGTAATTGACAATTCATTAAGAGGACTATCGTCCATTTAAATTTAAATAATACCAACATTTAAGTTATTATAGTAAAGGTTTGATATCCAAACAGGTGGCAATTAGTCTGACAATTATTAAAACAAGAAATTATACAAGACAACACTACAATTAATAGTATACAGTTTAAAATATAGTATAAACCAAATAGTTTTTGTTACCTTATCTGTTGATCCAAGTTCGTTAAGAATACCTGCTAATCTCTTCATGGTTTCTATCCTTTTAGTGGCATCACTAGAAAAACATATTATTGAATAAAAATATTGACTGTATGTTAATAATCCCTGTCTTCATTAGCCAGTCGAAGCAGAACAGTAGGAGGTTATTTAAACCCCATTAAATTTCATTTGATGTTAATAAACATTTATTTGAAGAATACATCAAACTACATGTTTTTAATTATATTTAAATCATCAATTAATTCAAATTAATACCATTTGTATAGAACTATCATTTTTTCATAAACTGGAACAAGATTCTTTTTGTACACTGATACATAGGCTTGATTCTTTTCATAAAATCCACACAAACCCTGCAATGGAGAAATAATTAATGTTATTTTTCATGTTAAGGGTCCTTCTGGATATTAAATGTCTTAAACTACATCAATAATATATTTTCTTCGTTTGGTCTAGTTTACATTCATATCAGAGTGTACTATATTGACTTATTATAATTGGCTTAAAGCATAACCACATGAAGGTTGCAGAGAATTGTTTCAAAATGCATTTTGTTGAATATCTGCAGTTGATTCATACTGTGCTTGGTGGACATTGACATTAATCTAACAAATGAAATAATTCATACACTTTGCTGATCTTGAGTAATTTATGTATTTATTTATTTGGTTTTTTCCTTTCGATTTTTGTAATCTGTTCATAATAATGCACTTTGAAGTTGTCAGTGTTGATGTATAGAAGAAAATAGTTTACTATAATATTCCCACCTGCCAACCAAGTATTTGATCAGGATTTAGCTCTGTAGCCTTTATATAAGCTTTCAATGCTTGGTCTGTTTTATCTAATTTATCAGCAGCTAGTCCGGTAAACACCAGGGCATTATAATTCTTATTATCAGCATCAAGTACATTCTGAAAAATAAAATTGCAATTCCCATTATCAATCTTCATGTAAACAAAATTATCAGCAAAAATTTACTATCCAAAGAATAAAGTACAATAAAATATCAAAAACTTTTAATGAGCTAACAAAATAAAAAATTTGTGTGGTGGTGGTGAATGCGGCAGAATCAAGCAATGAGTTGATTATCACTATGGTTTCTTAAATTCAAGTAAGATCAATATGATACAAGAGGCATGGCATGCCATTCTTTATCAAATTTAGAGAATCTAATTCCACTTCTCAAGTTTATAAATTTTCATATAGTTAACAATTTTTATTGTAATCTGAAACTCATTTAAAATCTGAACAATAATATATAATGTTACGAACTTGACAATGCTGCAAAGCTGCGTCATACTCTTTATTAGAAATGGCCTCGCGTGCATTCTTCAATGCCGCTTTTATTTCTTTATTGTCCATTTTCAGCAGTCACTGAAAATAAAGTAGAACTCATAACATACCAATGGCAAAATACATGTATGTAGGCTTTTTAAAGATGCATTATGTAAGATCTAGATACAGAGCTGACAGTTATCGCTATTTTGATATAGACATTATGTGATATCACAATGGATGCTTTGCATCCATGAAATTGAATCACAATGTCATTGTATTAATTCTTAATAACCAGCGGCTGCCAGGCAGGATACGCCCACATTTTCGAGAGATGGATAGAGAACAAGCTAACAAGAAAGTAATTTTTCCTACAATCAAGGGCCATAATTCAGGAAATTACAATTCGATATGCGCAAATATCGAAAGGAACTGAGATCTTTGTGTTGTAAACTTACATTTCAAGTTTCAACCACACGGATAAAAATTGTGACCTTTATAGATAGGGTCCACAACTTTGATATACCATATTTTTACGCTATTTGAGAACGAACGGCAGCCATTTTGTCTGTCAATTTTGGTGCGATTTTTCACGAAATTCGAACTCAGATGTCTTTAGGGTGTAACAGTGATATAATAATACGGTTTTTTAAATCGAATAAAAATTATGACCTCTATAGGGTCCACAAGCAAAAAACTCAATTTTTCGTACAATCAGGGGCCATAATTCAGGAAGTTACGGTCCGATATGTGCGAATATCGAAAGGAACCAATATCTTTGGGTTATAAACTTACATTTCAAGTTTCAACAAAATTGGATAAAAATTGTGACCTCTGTAGGGTCCACAACCTTGATATACCATATTCTTATGCTATTTGAGAACGAACGGCGGCCATTTTGTCTGTCAATTTTGGGCCGATTTTCACAAAATTCGAACTCGGTCGTCCTTAGGGTGTAACGGTGATATAATAATACGTTTTTTAAATCGGATAAAAATTATGACCTCTATAGGGTCCACAAGCTAAAAATGTGATTTTTCGTACAATCAGGGGCCATAATTCAGGAAGTTACGATCCGATATGCGCGAATATCAAAAGGAACCGAGATCTTTGGGTTATAAACTTACATTTCAAGTTTCAACAAAATCGGATAAAAATTGTGACCTCTATAGGGTCCACAAGCTAAAAACGTGATTTTTCGTACAAACAGGGGCCATAATCCATGAAGTTTCGATCCGATACATGCCAATATCGACAAACAAATTGTGGACAGATGTTGAATTTCTCTGTTTAGAAAGCTCAATGTGTATGTATATGCACCAAAATGATGATAGAGCCAATGCAGGAGGGGGGGGGGAGATACATTGTCTCAGGAATCTGGCAACCCCCCCTCCTGCTGTAACCCCCCTAAAAACATGCAGATGTGTGGCAAATATCATCTGCCCATGGTCATGATAGGAAGTCCCAATGGATGTCACATGGGGCTCATCCATCAAATATTTTGAAAATCAAATGTTTACCGACTGTAAAATTAGTGCCGAGATCAAGCCAGCCCTCACTAATTTTAGTTATTTGTGGTACTCATCTAGGGTTACCATACGTCCCGGTTTTTTGGGTCCTTTTTGTCGTCCCGTCCCGAGGCTTCTCACGTGCCTAAATGTCCCGGTTTTCAAATCAGGTGTTTTTCAATTGAAAATAATAACACATAACACATAAACTAGTGATTATTAATGTATAAAAACAGCGTTTGCTACAAACACTCTTACTTCAGCACGACAGCACACCACTTCTGATCTAAATATTGTTCAGTACACAATACATTCGGCATTTCTCGTAGGCATAACCGAGGTGTGCCTAATGTGCATAATACAGGCCAAAAACTGGAATTACAATGCGATTGTCTTTATAGAAATTGACGTATGATCTTGGGTATAATTTTGCGAAATATAACAGTTAGTTCACAAAAAATAAATTTATGAGAAATGCGCGCGCCATACCAAACGAAAAACGTATGACTAAAATAGGAGCCCCTTTAATAACCAATTGTTATCTTGTAGATAATAATATGATTTTTATTGTATTTCATCTATAATTCCTCTTATTACTTAGTGATTAAAATCGTATTTATTTACCAAATTTTATTATTTCAAATTGTACGATTGTCAAATTGTTGACGTCTATATCAAAGAAAAATTACCATAGGAGCACTGTCCACCTGCCAATCAGTGTTAATTTGAATACTGGTCACAAATTCAAGAACACATTGCTTGTGAAATATAAACGTTGTACATACAACTTGTACAACTTGTATGTGTAGTTTTTAATGAGATCTTCAAAAAATGTACATTCCAAGAAAACAACAAAAATCATACAAAAACAGGTATGGATGTCATGGCAAAATTACGGACGGGCTCCTACAAATATTACTAACATATGTGACAATCGAAATAACCCATTCAACAACATATATTTTTAGTGTAACCACCGTCACAAAACTGCTGAAAACGCATCTCCCTGCTTCTAGAAATGAAAAAATTTCGGGGGGGCATGCCCCCAAACCCCCCTAGTAAGTTCGCGCCTCCGGCTCTCAATGTATCGCGCCCGGCGGGCGCTCATTTTGGTGCCGAATTTAGCTTTAGTCTGCTCAGCATAATAAATGTCCCGGTGTCTTCAATGATTAATCTGGTAACCCTATACTCATCAACTTCATATTCAGATCCTCAAATATTTTCGGGGAGGAAAAGGGCTAAAATAAAAATAGATAACCAGAATCGCCCTGCACGCTCTTCACCTTTTTTTAACAAATACGATTTAGCTTAGTTACCTCAAATAGGCTTAAAATAAAACGTTACAATTTATACTAGCCAACTTGTTCGTTTCTTTTTATTACAATTTCGCTACCATCACTTAGAGTGAAGCCTTGACTAAACTAAAGAGTCAAGTCTAAGTTCCGGCTAATAAATCGAAACATATTAGGTATAGTATGGTCGTTTTCGCTGGGTGAGGGATGCGTGTTTACGATGGTTCAGCCAACCACAGAAGGTTTAACATTGCAATTTAGGATGTAATAGAAAAGTTAAACCGGAAGTAAACACAAGTGTAAATTTCTCTGCACGTGTAGATCTAGTAAGTAAAGAGACAAAACAAGTTATAAATACTTCCAAAATGCATTATATATTTCAAACTCACGTCTAGATTGACACATAAAGATATATATTTGAATACGAGAATCCAGAAAATATCACCATTGAGGATTCATAAATCATAAATAAAATAAAATATATCTCAAACCGAAATTTCAATTTCTATTAGCATTAGATGATTAGTAGATCTACCTAATAGTAATAATATTCTTTATATTATTGCACTGAACATATCTATAGTAAACTGCTGCATTCTCCACACAACTCTCGCTATGCAAGGGACAACTCTGTTTGGGAGATTCTTTTTTTTACCAATGTGTTTCTAAACAATAATAACCACCTCACACCTACAAACTGACATAACAGCAATGTCCAATGTGATGTCGTGGACAGTTGTTAAATTGATATTAATTGTATTAATACATTTTGTTAAGAAAATAATAGTTATAATACTAATGGATGTCTTTTTACTGTATGAGTGTATGTCAAGTATGACTGTGTCAATTAGATATATTCTTGCTTTGCAAATATGAAAACTGAGCAATAAACAATATTGTAAACAATACAACTATTAGCTATTGTTGCCAAGAATCCATTGCACAATTATTAGATACATATTCAGCCCATAAAGAAAAAAAGTACTCTTGTAACAATGACATCCATGATTTTCTCCATAAATGTTTCTAAAACAATATAGGCCTAAACATCCTATAGTAAACATTTGTAAACGAAAGAAATCATATTTTCATGGGGGGTATTTTCAGTCAGTTTGTCTAGAACTGTTTTAGAAACCAATAACACAAACCCAAGGAAAAGATACTGACATTTCAAGTAATGGATCTAGTGCCCAGCTGTAAGAGTCCACCGCGCTGTACAGTCTGGGACCAGTTGTGAAAAATAAAAAATAAAAACTCTTCACATTCTTTACCTATGAGAATAAACATACATGAAAACTTAAGCAATTTTCAGCTTGATTTCAGAAGGTCCTAGAATATTTCCATTTTACCATCAAATTAAGCTTAAGGACACAACACAAAGTTTAGTGGCAAGAATTTCAGAATTGTATATTGCTCATCTCATATTTGACATGTTTGAGTCACATACATATAAGTTTAGGGCCTATATCATACTAATTTGAGATTTTTTTTACACAGAAAATGACAAGATTTGCTAGAGCTGGAGCTTATCAGAAGAAACAACCACATGATGCTACTAGTTGGTTAGAAATGAAATCTTCAGGTGCTGCAGGGTCATCATCATCATCTGATGGCAGACATAGAGATGATCATCAAAAGACAGCATCAAGAGATAGATTCCATAGAAAAAGGGGTTATGATGATAGTTTTAATAATAGTCAACAATTAGATGAATGGAAAAGAGGCAATCGAAGTGAGTTTAGACGACAGAAGAGAATGGATAAAAGAGAAGCTGTTAAGGTATATTAATATCTTATACAAATTACTATACTTAATAGATCCCGAGGAGTGACCAAGTTCAACCATCCATTAAACATATGGCAAATTATGGACTTTCTAAAAGAGGGGAAGAATTCAAAAATATAATCAGTATTTTAGTATTATGGTTTGTCTGCGACAAAGAGATGTGATTTTGAAAAAATGTAGTACATGTTTGTGCGCTCAAAGATCTCTGTGTCTTGGACTTAATCCTGTCGTCTTTCGAGCTTGAGAGGTTTGTGAAGACAGTTATAAAATATGTCATTCCAGATCTTTCTACAACTTGTATATTGTATTGGAATTTGTGCCCAAAATGAAATGAAATGAAATGAAATGGGGTTTAACGTCCTACTGTTCTACTCCTATACTGGGCTAATGAAGACGGGCATAATCCATACAGTGTGCTATGAGGGAAATTTTGCCCGGGCAGCGGCACTATCACCTACTCTTATATTGCATTCCAATGTATACACAAGACCTCGTTTTTTCGTCTCATCCGAATGGCCAAAATGATACTACCAGGCACTTGAATATACATGTAATCTACTGTAATATGTATTGAGTCTCTCTATCATGTCTTTGTTACTCAATATGTGGTATCTTGCAATGAATTAAAAACAATCTAGTTTGAACTTTATTTTCAGGTGTGTTTTAACTGTCGTAAAGAAGGTCATATGGTAGCTGAATGTCCAGATGAGAAAAGACGTCAAGGAATGGGAATATGTTTTAAATGTGGTTCAACAGAACATGGTGTTAGTGAATGTAGAGCAAAGGTTAAATCAGGTTGGTAATTATCCTTCTTTAAACCAATAAATGAAATGTATTAATAAAGTGAGGATTTGGAAAAAACACATTCCACCTTTATGTTTTATTATATTAATGATAAATTCCCACTGTCGTGCGATGCTTTACAATATGATTGTCCCTATTGAGTCCATGATCTGGTACGTTCAGATGCTTTAGGATATGTTTCGATACGATCAACATGATTGCTACGACCTTAATATATGATAAGACTTGATAGGATCACCACGATTACTCCACGATTTCAATCGTAGCACGAATTCTTGCTTGTGGGAACCTAGCATTACCAGTTATTATTCAATATTTGCCCAAATGATCTTCAAACTGCAGTTATAGATTAAGCATCAGTTTCCCAATAACCTTCAGATATTAGATTATATGATCTGCTTTCATGAAAGGTAACACAATATGTAGCAAATGATGTAAAACAATATAAGCAAGAAATTTATGCTTCAAATGCAACTAATAGACAGTCAATTTAATTTCTATAGACATTTTTGTTTTATACATATCAAATACATTATGGATTAGTTACCCATTAAGTCAGCAGTATTGTCAAACAATAAAACGATATACAGTGATTTAATGAGAAGGTAATCAACATTGTTGGTTATAGAACAAATAAGTAATTATCTCTGAAATGAAGAAAGACCGGATATGGTGGGTTGCATGAATTCCAATAAACATTTATGTAAATCCTCTTTAGATCAAATTAATTCCAATACACATTTATGTTCATTCCCTGAAGATTGCGTTAATCTCAATACACACTTATGCAAACCCCCTTTAGGTCATTTTAATTTCAATATACATTTATGTCCACTCCTTTAAGATTGCATTAATCTCAATACACAGTTATGTAAACCTCCTTTAGGTCAAATTAATTTCAATACACATTTATGTCCACTTCTTGAAGATTGCATTAATCTCAATACACATTTATGTAAACCCCATTTAGGTCAAATTAATTTCAATACACATTTATGTTCACTCCCAGAAGATTGCATTAATTTCAATACACATTTATGTAAATCCCCTTTAGGTCACAATAATTTTTTGACACAGTAATTTTGTTTTACTTTTATATATGTAATTTTTGTTTGATAACGTCTGATATATTTAATATTTGAATTTCAGATGAGTATCCTTATGCTACATGTTTTATATGTAAAGAAACTGGTCATTTATCTAAACAATGCCCAGATAATCCAAGAGGGCTTTATCCTAATGGTGAGTATTTTCATCTCATTGGCAAACAAAGTCGCTGAGGTGAGATATAGCATTCACACTTGTTCATCCTTGGTGTAGTCGTCAACTTTTAATCTATACAATTAGCATGACGTTGATCACTTTAACTACCATCAAATTTATTTGACTTTGATGGGTGTTTTCTACCTCCTCTAATCATGCACAATAAGCATATTAACAAAATACTGGCTTCCTTTCTACATACCAAATTTTACTTAAAATAAACCATTTGTTCATGTGATAAATAAGCCAATGATTATCATGACTTTCAATGTTATCGTCCTTGATCTCTTTGATAATCTTGGCTTGTTCCTCATGATCAGTTTTTAGTGTCTTGTTAATGCTCACATTACCTACAAAAAAATAAATGTGACAATCATTGTAGACTACTCCATGACTGAGCTGCTTGGATGTATGATTTGTTGCCTGGCAATCCGTTTTTTTTAATATACTTTTGATGGCCTACACTACATGAAGATCTCAGCGATTGTAGTGGAAGGTTGCGTTAGAGTCATACGAGTGGCTTTTGACCCTATGCCGTCAGACATTTGATTAACCAATCAGCATTCATGTTTCTAATGTGTTTCCCAAAGTTCCGTGCACCTCATGCCAAAAATTCTCTGTAACAAACTGTTTCATTGACTAATTCCTCACATCATTCAGAACGCGGGTTATATAACAACTCTGCCAGATCCTAGTGTAGTAAAGACAAGTAAAGCGAAATTTTGAATTATAAAGAACGAAACAAAATAGGATCTGTGTTTTAATCAGATTGATCTTATAAAGAAGCCATTTATCAAATTGATCAGTGTCTTGTACACTGAAATATATTGTATGCATAACATCTAACATTATTTAAATTCTTTTTTTTGTGATTCAGGTGGCTGTTGTAAGGAATGTGGTTCAGTTGAACATTTTAGACGAGATTGTCCAGAATTACAAAAGCAACAAGGTTTATATATTTAATATTATGCTAACTGTAACACCCAGGCCTGACGACAGTGAATATAACTAAAACTAGACTCACAGTGAATATTATTAATTACTGACCAACAATGTGACATCAACCATTTTTGAGTTAGTGTTTCAGCAATTAGAGAATCTTTCCACCTATTTTTTCTACACTATGCATAACCTGAGGTAACCCAGATGTTGAATTTACATATTACTGGTATATGGTAATCTGGAAGACAAAATTTAAAACCTAGCCCAGACTCACGTTCCCTTGGACTTCTATTATAACTATCTTGTTGCTGCGAATTTCACCAGCTCAAGAAGTGACTGTATGTGTATGTCACTTTTAGCAGTATTATGCATAGGCGTACGGGGACATTTTTTACTGGGGGGGGGGGGGGGCCTGTGGTGGTTGGTGCCCCAAAAATGTAGTTAGGTTCTTAGTATGTTACATAATATCTCTTTTGCGATGAATAAGTTCTTAATTTCTAAATCATCAATAAAAGAGAACTAAATTTTATTTACTTGTAATATACACAACTAAAATCAGTTGTTTATGTAACTGTAATTTGTGGCTTACTGTACTCCAAACAATAGAGGGTTCGAGTCTTAAGATTTTTTAATTGCCTAACTGTAGACACTCTGAATTTAAATTCGCTGTTAAATTGGACGCATTCAAGAACACAATATTTTTTTATACAACTTTTACAAAGTACAATTGTGTGCCCCCCCCCCTCCCAGCTCGTACGCCAATGGTATTATGTTACAAATCATAATAGTTTTCTGCACTGGCATTGACTCCAAATAATAAATCTTAGTTCAAGTGTGTTTGGTCTCTATGCAGAAATTCTGTTTGTTTGAGAGACTGTGTGATTTTAATGGTAACAAATGTTACTTCAGTTACAAAACAATAATCATACCAATCAAACTTTAACATTTTTGTTTAAATTATTTCAGGTTTTATTGATGTAAAAGCAAGTAAAATATCTGATTTATCAAGTGCTGATGCAGAGCCTACAGAAAAGATTGACTTTCCGCCACCAAAAATCAGGAGAAAAGGACCAAAAATTGTCAAATTTTGAAATGTACAGTAGAATCTGCATTAAGCAGCCACCCAAGGGAATTTTTACAACTGACCGCTTAACGGGAGTGGCCCCTTAATAAAATCTTGGTGCTTTATGTGCTGACATAAATTAAATATTACGCTTGAATGCATTGGAAGCGGTAAATTTGACCATCGCTGAATCTTGCACCGAACGAAAATTCCTTACTCAAATCTCTGACGTAACTTCTGTATACTTGTCATTTTGTACCAACCTTCGATACTACTGTCTACCATTGTGATGCATTCGATAATATTTATCCATTTTTGTGAAGAGAATTGATGAATTAATTTTATTTTATCAAAAAAGCACATGCACAAAAAAACATCGCTAATTTTATCACCTATTTACAGGGGGTGTAACTCTGTATGTAATATTATAGGAGGCGCTAAAACGTCTGTTGTTAAAACAATAAAGTGGCAATGGAAAAGAGATACTAGATGATCGTGACAAAACTCGGTACTTTTTTTTTATTCAATCAGTATCAAATAATGTGTCGTTACGCGTGAAAACAATGATCAGGTTAGTCGTTTCATAAAACAAAAGATTAATTAACAGATAATCCAGGGTTGATTGTTATTTTTACGTTTCTTTTTACCTGATCAGTGGGGGTCCAGTTTATTAACTACTACTCACGGGATTAGCGTTGGTGTTACAAAGAACGACAAGATGGTATCATTCAACAATGGCCGTTGAATGGACGATGTTTTGTTGAATTTATTAGTAAAATAGTGACCGCTGGCCGCGTTAGAGGAGTGACCGTTGAATAAAGAGATGAAACAATAGAATTTCTACGGGGGGAATTTATCGTGACCGCTTACAAGGAGATGTCGCTGAATAGGAGTGGCTGCTCATACAGATTCTACTGTATATAAATATTAATTATTTAAATAAATTGTATATAGTTAAGCAGAAAATGATGTGTTATTTGAATATTGTCCAGGGTTGCAGTAGGGCTTAAAATATCAGTTCACAATTTCTCTGCCAACCCCACTCGGATTGGAATGAACACTATATTTCTAAATGGCTTAACTGAATCCTGTAAGAATGATTATTAACAGAAGTACGAAGTAAAAACACAATGTTGTATCACCACTTTTGATTAGCTAGCAAGTGATCCTAGCTGCCCAATGAAATCAATGCCTATAATTGCTATCAATCCACTGTGGCAATGGTTTGAGTCTGGAATATGTATATTGTTACTTTCCATAGTGTGCTGTTATCAATGCAAGTTCTGGGTTTGAGTGGGACATAAAATAGAGCCACTTGACTAACCAAGTGAAATTTCCCCAGATACTAAGTTTTCCTCCAACTTCTAAAGACCGCTGATCTCCAAGCAAATTAATGAAATCAAAATACGATTAATCCTGAACGGACCTGTTTACAGTCAAGTGAACAAACATTAAACCCTATTTCTCTCCCTCTCATAGTCACTCCCATCTTTTTCTAATGAAAGTAGATTTTTATACGCATGGAGTTTGGGCGTATATGATTGTCACGGAGTCAGTCTGTCAACAATTGGTTTGTGTATCAGATGGAGGCTTAGTTTTTGACGGATCCTTTTCCTATTTCGTGTGAAGCATTGTGGTAATGAGAGAACGAACCCTATCAACGTTCAGAGTTCCACGGCAATCTGTACCAGAGAAACCCTAATAATCAACGTTCCACAGCAATCTGTACCAGAGTAACCCTAATAATCAACATTCCACAGCAATCTGTACCAGAATTAGAGTTACTCCCCCCACCCTTCTAAAAACTTTATGAACACAATACAGTATTGAACAGATTGTTTTCAAATTTGGTGTGAAGCATTGAGGTCTCGAGAGGACAAACTACAAACCCTATCCATATTCATGTTCTATGACCTACTGTTCCAGAACCAACTCCCCCTCCCCCACTTTTCTATAAAAGCACAGGGATCAGAAATGATAAACCCTGTTGATTTTCAGCAATCTAGGACTTTCTGTTTCAGAAAAGCTTGTAAAAACGATTTTGGAATATCACTTTCATTGCTGTAAATCTTTAATTCAAATACTTACACTATACAACTACAGCAAAATATATGTAAATTACATATTTATAAAGTAAACAAATAACAGTATGGTAATGGATTAAAATTTCATACATCAGGTATATTCTATAGTATTAAAGAGAGTTAAAAATAATATATATATATATAGATGTTAAACAGGTTTAAATCGGTAAAGTTTTCTACACATTAGATACAACAAAAATATAAAAAAAAAATTATGAAAAAATATACATAGATTATTATTGATGTGCCATTGATGTGCCAACTTTTCAAAGAATTCACAGTAAGAGTAAGCTTTTTCCAATACATGAAAATTGTCAAATGTTTGAAGACCCAACATATACAGGATTTTGGAGACAAGATTCTTTTGAAACCTCATATAGCAAAATGACATCACAAACTATTCTGGATTCTTTGTCCTGTTGGGCACAGCCATTTCACTCTTAAATGTACCTAATAAATAATTTTTAGATTTTAATTGTCATATTTATTTGACCATTTATTAGTGTCCAAAAATGAATTAAATTATGCCAAGAAGCAAGCCAGAAACCTCAACTCTGAAATACTGTATTGCATGGTAATTGCAGAAGACAATACAGAACCATTGTCTAATTATAAATACTATATAAAAAGCAAATAATTGATTTGTTTATACATGAATAAAACACAGATAAAATGATGAAATGTTTGCAAGATATATGATGCTATAGTTAATTTATTATCAATTAAATTATGACTATTGGAATAGAATTATCATTGATTAATATGTTTCAATTAATTTAGTGACCAGCACTTTCTAAATGAACATAATTATGTTTTATATATTATCTGATTATATACCTGATATGAAAATATAGATATCCATGTATGAAAAAGATAACATAGACAATAATATAGCATGTAATGTACAATATATAGATTTAGATATTTTAATATTTAAACTCTATAGATATCAAACTTGCAAAAAATTGCAAATGATTTCAAATAACTGAAGGTTCTCGAGTATGACTATGATGTCATAATATATTTTTAAAGGTGCATAACTTCTAAACTATTACATATCGAGCATTACATATTATGTTTATTACACAGAAAACTGAATGTGTTTTTACATGATAGAAAAATTATACAGGTGTCTGTTAAATTTATTTCAACTTTAGAAACATAAGTCATAAAAAAACAATTACGTTCCGCTGCATATGTAATGGCTCTCATTCGCACTCATTAAGTTGAATGTGAAGTTTTTTTTCCTTAGCCATTTAACTCACTTAGTGATGATTAACTTGTGTCAAGTCAGTAGGAGGTGATCATAGTGATTTGGTAATTTATGTCAAAAGTACTTGGTTACACAGGCAATGTTATACCTAATGGGTAATTAGATTAATATAATAAATATTTAGAATTTTCATACCAAATGGAGTAAAACATTTATGGATCCAAAACTGTTAATATGTAGATACGCAAAATCGTGCCATTTGAAAACAAATATAACAAAATAGAAACTAATACTACAGTGGTTTTAAAAAAGTAGTGTAACCTATTTATGTTCTTGTTGTTTCCTTAACATGTTTACAAAATATCTATTTTATAATACTGGTACATATATATTTATTACTGTCTATATTTATATATACATGTACCTCTAACAAGTGATCAACACTTAATATAAAAGTATTTTCGGTAGAGTACATTGGTTGTATCTGACTACATCAAACGATGAACAACTTCAACATGCCCAACTTAATTTGGTTTTATTAAGCTGTGCATGATGACATCAATTTGTCCTGACTCTCCCAATATATCAGCCAAAAGATAGGCATGGAATCATTAACAGTAACTGGATGGATGATGTATAAATCCTACCCTGTATTATAATGAAGAAATGATATTGATAGTATATAATAATACATTTTGTATAAGATTAATAAATCTTAAATCCTTCAGATCATATTTGAATAAATAGGGTATATATTATATAGAGATATACAGTATGGCCACATTCTACATGTTTAATGTTCTGGGAATGAGAATTTTGGTTGGCAAAGGATCTGTGAGGAAAAAAATATATAGACATTATGCAAGAGCTAAATCTGCCTATTGCAGTTCTTTTTTTCTGGTTTCAAATATTACATAAATTATTTTTAGACATTTATTCACATGACAAGCCCATAATCAACCCTCTCTAGGTGAGTGGATGGCTTAGATATTGCATGGATTAGACAATGACAGTCATATATGCATAAACAATCATATGGCTACCACTGACTGCCCATAGAAGGAATGAAAATCAAGATTCTGTTTATTATCGTTATTTGACTAAAATTTTCAAAATATTAATTTTTCATTATCTATTTTTGAACTATTATAGGAAGAAGGGACAGGTCTTTATCTAATTCTTACATAATGCCTAAGCAGATTCTGGGTAAAATAAAACAACCTAAAACACTGAAACATATTTTGGTTGGTTGGATTTTCCTTTAAAGTTACATTTTAAATAAGAACAACTGAAATAAGTAGAACATAAGTCATGTAGAATATGATTGTACTGTAGGTAGAAAATAATGAGACCTGAAAAATAATCTCGTTTTTTAAAATGAGCAAATGTTCTTGTTCGGAGGGTTTAATCTTTTATGAATGTTGCTAGTGTGATAGAAAAGAGAAAAAAAAAATACATGTAGTCTTCTTTGGCTTAAAAATATCCAATTTTCTAAAGCTAAAATCAGACAAATTTCCTTTGAAATGTTATAAGGTTTTAGGGACTACCGTCACGTCAAGGACCATTTAGTGTGATAAACCAACAACTATTTGTTAAAAAATGTTGGAAAAAAAAAAAGTAACTAAAGTAAAAGTATTATTATTGATCTGGTTGAATGAGCCAAAACAAAATAGTAATAAATAAATGCACTTTAAAAAATATAATTTGAAAAACTTGTGCGTGTCTTTTTATATTGTAAAAACTAGTGTTTGATTATTTTGTCATGCTTGTTAAGGAAGAATGAACTATAATATCTGTAATACATTATGTTGAGATGTATCTGAAAATTCTTTCTTGTTGCGCCTTTTAATTCATTTTCACATCAACATCACCATTTTTGTTTTAGGTAATACCAGCTAATAAAATTATGCCACTTAATAAATGTTGTCCTGTTCAGTTGCACTGTCAGTTGTTTAGCTAATAAACACTATTGGTATATAAAAACATCTTCAAATACATTTTGTCAAATGAATAATAATGCTTTCTTGTAAGCTTATAAATTTTAAAGGGCTCCTTAAATGAACACATGAAAAAAGATCTAAATTTTATAGCTGGTTTGTTTTACTTGATAGTGGACCACGGAAATGATAGATTATTTGTAACTCATATTATTAATTTTAAAAGGTCATTCACTCAGCAGGCAGAATAAAGTTACACAGAATATGTAGGGTGATGATTTTTACCCCCAAAAAATAAAATTGGGATAAAGTGCTCCCTAGAAACATAAAAAGTCTTTGTTTTCAACCTATTTTTTTTAAAGACTATGATGGAAAAGGAAGTCTTGTGCTGTTTTTTTTTTTCATCTAGATGTGGCTTAACAAGATGTTATAAAAGTCTTGATTGGTTTTTCTAACAACAGTTCACTACCCTGTGTTACAATGGGCAAATTATTTTGACGATGATACTGTACAAGATGGCCGACACTGTCAAAAATAAAATCTTTTGTGCGAACCTGGAAAATGAAACAGTAAAATGATTCCTTTATCTAATGTGTTAATACACAATTATCATTAAGCATCATTAAATTAATAAGATACAACAAGACATCTAAAAAAACAACTGAAGAAGCCAATGCTTTATATTGGAATGAATTATTGAATTCAGTAATATTTGTCAAGAGGAATTTGCCATTCTCCTGTGAATGGGTATTATTAATACTTTGCTATACGTAATACTACCCTGTCAAAGTACTAAGACCAATTTATGGATAAAGCAATATCTTCAACCAATCACAGTCTAGTGTTGATTATAAATCAGAGGAGGTATGAATCATGTCAGCTCAAACCAATGAAAATTTCTATTTAAAATTTGAAACCTGAAGGTTCTAGTTTTGTGCCCAGAACCAACAATTTCATTGGATAGATTATAAATACTCATTTTTTTTGTCATGGTAATAGTAATAAATGTCTTAACATGAAATGTACAAGTGTTTTACTTTGACTGTACAGATTTGACACAAACATTTCTACATCAAAGTATAATAATAACCAATACCTACCACACCCTCTGGATCAACCAGTAGCAGATGTCTAATGACACCATCTTGTTTTCCACTTAAAACAAATTGTCCAGCTTTATTTGAGCTTTCACGAACCAGAAATTCTCCATTATTGCATAGCAATTTCTCAGCCTAGCAAGAATAAGAGTTTATTAATTAAAACAGTTCATTATTTAAAATATTATTGTGTAGTAACTTCTCAGCCTAGCAAGTTTAATTAAAACAGTTCATTAGTTAAAACATTATTGATTTGTAACACCCTTTCTATTCACTTGGAAGTATATTCCACTAACTTATCATAACAAAAACCAGCAATAATTTCCCATGACAGTCTTGCTATATGAAGGATTAAAGTAATGATGTTCTCTTACATCTTTTCTCGATAAATTACCATGGAACCATTCTTCAAATATTGGTGATGTTATACCAGAATCATTCCACATCGATTCTCTGCTTAACTCTGGAGCCTTTTCATCGGATAAAACTTTACTATCAAATGGACCTAAAAAGAGAATACTAATCAACACAGCCTGGAAGCTTCAATACTAACATAGTATCTTTTTGGGATGGACATCATGGATCTAATCCACAGCTTTAGATTATTCAGTTTGAGGCACTTACCTAAAAGGGCACCAATACCGACCACAAAATAATGCAATAACGTTCCCTGTAGATAAGTCTCGAAAACTATTATATCTGTCTCTTCTATATGTTTTACCAGAAGAATTACATTTGCTTAAAACATTGTATGTATGGTGCATTGATTAGTGCTAGTGAATTCCCAAAGTGTGAACTGAAATTTGGAATTAATCAGTTGTCCGTGTTCACTACCCAACCACTGATCCACAGAATAAATTAAACTGTATAATGTTTTGTATAATAAATTGTATACTTACTCATATCAAAGGCATCTTTATTGTCCATATCATCATCATGATTATCATAAACATTACCATTTGTTCCCACAGCTCCTTCAAGTTGAACTTCTTGTTTTAAGCCATTTTTATTATCATAGATGGTACCATCTACATAGGTTGGATCTTCAAAGTCTTCTGGAACTGTCAAACAAAAATATAAATAAATAAGATTAAAATGTATTTTAATATTACTTAAATTCAATTCTTGTTTTGACCTATATTTTTTGTTTAACTTAGTTATAACTTGTTTGATCATCTTTTAATATTCCTATATAATGTCTCTATCAAATCAAACACACTCATCAGAATAATTTTGATACCGATATACTCTTACCCAGTTGGATAGTAAAGTTATTATGTCAGCTTGTATTAAAAGAAAGTCATCTGACAAACCAAACCCCTCCCGACCCCCTTTGTTGTAACTTGTAAGCTGCATTTAACAGTCATCAAATTGCAATGTATGGTAGATGTAGGCTATACATTTCTAAAACAAAATATGATTAAAACTTAAATAAACTTCGTACCATCTTCTCTATTGTCGTATATTTTAGAATCAGCCAATAAACGAGCCTCTATATCATCAGATATATCAGAGTAGCCATTTTCAGAATTTAATTTAACTGAATCATATTGATTTACCTGTAATATAATCAAATATAGAAAATAAATTAAATATCTCTAACAGTGCCATTGAAAACAAGCGGTTACCATGCAAGATATGCTCACATTTGCAAGAGATGGACAGAGAACAAGCTAAAAAAAACATGATTTTTCGTACAATTAGGGGCTGTAATTCAGAAACTTAGGGTCCTATACATGCAAGTATTGAAAGGAACCCAGACCTTTGGAATAGAAACATTTATTTAAGCTTCATCAAAATCGGATAAAAATTGTGACCTTTAGAGGGTAAACAACCTTGATATGAAAATGTTAGCATATAAAAACATTATATACACTGTGCTGTGCTGCTGAGGCACATATCAAGATACTAAAAGTTGATTACCAATAAAAGAACATGGGTTTACGCAGGGTAGCTTAACTAGATCTGGTTTTGGAAAGCAGAAACAGCAACTGGTACTCGGTTAACCACTTCAACAGTATATATTAAGCTTCGCAGCTTGTCCTAAATTCAACATTGGAAATCTACACTCATAAAGGTAGTAGTTTCGTTTCTTTGCAAATTCACCAGGCTTAAAGACACATTAGGTAAGATTTAGATAAAGAGCTAGCCATTCTTGCTATAATAGTTCAAAAATAGATAATGTAAATTGAATAATTTGAAAATTTCATTCAAATTACTCTATTGCAAGCGAAGATATTAGCCTTTGAAGGTTTGACAAGACGTGCAATAATTTCAACCACCGTATTGGTTGTTCAAAGCTAAGTCTCGCTCCTCCATTTTTAGCTTAAATCAAAATATGGCTTAACAGTTCTAATCTATTTAATGTCGGAGAAATCTGATGACATCGAAAGTTGATTATGGCCTGGATAAGTTAATTAATGTCTAATTACTAATTTGGAAAACATTCCAGGCCTAAAGAAAGACCTGCGATATGCAGATTTAGCTCTTGCATAATGTATGTTTAAGTGAGGCTGTACAGCTGTTTAATTAATATAGTCATTGCGGACCGAAGTACAGATGAATTCTCAGGTGAACTTGATTAACTCTGTTACACCGACTTTTGTTGTATAATGGCTGATTCTGTTTGGCAGATTCTACTTCAGAATTCATCATATTAGATTTCGATGCTTACTTATCTTTTAATTGATTGATTTACAACTGACCATAATTCTAAAGAAGGTATCTGTACTCTTTTAAACAACAAATGACCCGAAGAAAATTATGACAGAATAGGACAAATATGATTGTTTAAAAATAATAGAGAAATTCCATACCGGAAGACTTGTAGGTGAACAGTATTGTGGTATAGGGGGTACTGGTGGTCGTGTGGGTGTTGGCAGATGTGCAGATGAAGGAGGCATGGCACCAGGGTGGTCATTATAATATTCTTGATCTTCTCCCCAACCTTCTCTCTCAAAACCTTCATTGGTGGAACTTTAAATAAATAAGAAAATATTTTACCTGCTCACTTAAACACAGTGAACTGTGAGGGGTTTGCTCAATTGATAGTGTTGAGTTACCTCCCGTTCTAGCTGCACTCTGTTTTCTGATGGCACAGAAAGAACATGAGATAGACGATGTATTGAGCGTCAAGTTGCCTGGCAAACAATGGTTCAACATAATATATTGGAACAAAAATGTCTTCTTACCTTTCAGTAACTTGCATGGCTTTGGGCAGTTTGTGCAGATATTGTTTAAAACGTAATTCGAAAGCCTGTCCTATGGTAGTGACAACATCTTCTGATAAACCTCCGCCACATTCTAACACCTGACATGTACGACCATGTATTTCATCTTTAGCTATGTAAGCTACAAAATCTAACGATTCCTGAAAAAATCATATATAAAATTATCAGCTTTGAACTCTGTATATATATGTTTGGGGGCAAAATTATCCTTTACTCTTTTGTATGGGACTATGGAGCTATAAAACATAACTTTTGCAAAATAATTCCTGAAATACACAAATACTATTCACAAAGTTTTCTTCAATCTTCTTTTCAATTATAACCTGTGGGGATATGTAGAATTTCTGAAAGGGGGATTGAAGCAAATCAAAACAACAGTGATACAGATGTCCCCCATCTTCATCCCAAAATAAATAGGTGGCACTCATTAACTACTTGCACATTTCCATTTCCATAAAGCACTGAGCAATCAAATTATTTATCATTCTGCTTAACCTAAGTAGAATTATAAACATTATCAAACTAAAAGCATCTACAACAACTCTGAACATTTTACCTCATTTAGAAATACCGTGTTCCAAAGTCTAGACCAATTAAAAAGCTTATCTCTGCTTAGTCACGGTATTGATGTAACAAAACTATAAACCAAGATATCCTGTTCCAAATCACTGACATATATCCAATTGCTTATACAGAAACTGATCATGATCTTGATATTAGAGGGAAAGGAGTTTTGAAAGCAGGGGGACAACAAAAAATCTTGGTTGTTGTTGATCATTACAAATTCAATGTCCAATACATTATAAATGATATTATAGACAGGTTGATTTAATTAGGAATATTTATAATTTGAAGAAGTACAGGTAATAGAAAAATAGGCAAAAACATAAAAAAGTTCTTGTATGTAAAAATGTGACGTTAATAAAAACACAATGTTAAAATTTGCTGTCGTTAGAAGGGAGGGTGGGCAATCTTCTCATCATAATTTTGCTTGTTTAGACTTTGCTTATATACCCTCATCCTGTAAATACACGTCTGATTTTGCTTCAGTTTATTTTAGATTTTAGTAGGGCTGTCAATAATGAAAGACTATTTCTATTATAGAAAGGAATTACTTACAGCATCTCCACCAGAAGCAAAAGAAACATTATGCATTGTGTGATTAGCTATCATCTGAAAATAAAACAAATATAAAATCAATACAAATATAAATGAACATGTTCACTTTAATAGAAATTGGAACATGAAAATATTGACACAATTAGAAAATACCAGTAGTTGTGTCAATATTTTCTTTATCACCTTGTTAAGACATGCTACTACTTGGTGTTGTAGTTTTTAAAATCTTATTTGTCTATTCCATTTGACATCATTCTGTAGGGAAAAGAAATATGTTACCTTGAGGATTTGAAAAATATGCCATTGATTTTTATGGTAATATTTCCAATGAATACCTTTAGTTATACAGGCTGTAAACTGTAAAATAGCCACGGTTATTTGGAGATAATTGTTTTATGTATCAATACACAAAAATATTAACGATATATTAGTTAAGCGTTTAATAAAGAGTTTGTCATTCTTGCTATAATAATTCAAAAATAGATGATAAAAAAAGAAAATATTGAAAATTTCATTCAAATTACTTCATTCTCAGCCAAGTTATCATTGTTTGTAGTTTTGACAAGATGTGTGCACAGTGGTAACCAGGGCACTGGTATAATCGTGACTTAGCCTCACTTTCCCATTTTTAAATGGCGAACCGTTTTAATCTAGTTAAAATCTTGAGTATCTGTTGCCATCGAGGGTCGATTATGGTCTTGTTTTGTTAATAAATGTCTAATTAATAGTTTATATAACATTTCAGGCCTAAAGAAAGACCTGCAATAGGCAGATTTAGCTCTTGCAGAGTGTATGTTTAATGAACACGAAATGCAGACATTTTACATATTTCTATTGACTTTTATAACAGGAAGAGCAAAAATATTATAATAAATGTATTTGTGTTAAATATATTTATTGCTAAAACTAAAAGTAAGAAAATACTTCATGTGAAACAGAATGAAATGTACTATTAATGTGGATATTATAAATCAAGGCATTGATGGCATATTACATATTCTGTATTATGCCTCTATACAAATGAAATGAAATAGGGTGTAATGAGCCAATAAAGATAGGCATATACCAAACAATTTTGCCTGGAAAGCACTGTGAGCCTACTATTATTTAAATTTCCAATGGTTCATGGATCTTTAACATGCTACCTCAGTCTGCTCTCCAACACGAACGACTAAACACTGTTCCTTGATACTTACCTGTCCTGATTCCATCACCATCAGAGTAATTCTGTTTGTTGATATAGTTAAATTAACATTAGCTCCAGCATGCTGCATGTGGGGATGATCAGCTAACATTTTACTGATCTTTTTATCAGCCTGGAAAAACAAACAATATAACATATACCTATACAATATTTGATCTGAAATATATCTGATAGATATAACAACTTGGAACTAGGTAGAAACTAATAGTTATCATTTACCTACTGGTACTAGCAAACCTTTAGTTTATACTTTTAACATGAAATGGATTACATGGCACGTTTGTTGCTTTGTTATGTGATCCCATCAAAATTCTGTCATTTTGATATTTTTAGATTGATATATATTATGCATTAAAAGGTTGAGAGGGTAGGTATTGAGGTTTTCCTTGTTTTGGCTCCTAAGACACAGTCCCTTTTTTCAACATTTCTGTATTCGTACTTTATAATCAATAATATAAATATAAATATGTGACAAACCTTTCTCTTTTTGGAAGCAGTTTTTAAACCAGCAGCCTCTGCTACAATATTAATAGCTTCTCTGAAATAAAACAAGCCAACAGTGAGGCTGAAGTCCCCCAACAATATCCTAAATATTAATTAACTGCACATTTATCTTTTTGAAAAGTATCGAGCAATCAAACTGATTATCTAATTTTAGTCTAAGCAGAGAATATTTACAAACGAACTCAGTCAAGGTTTTGAAGTACCTAGTAATGAAACTATACACTTAGTTTCATCACTCTCCATGAGTTAAAATCAAAGTTATCTTGTCCCAAGGTTTTGAAGTACCTCGTAATAAAACTATACACTTAGTTTCATCATTCTCCATGAGTTAAAATCAAAGTTATCTTGTCCCAATAATGCATCGACTAATAAAATTGCTTAGCTATGCTTAGCTTTAGCCGAAAATGTTAATCATTGAACTAGTTCAAACTGCTTATCTCTGTTTGAACATTCTAGCTCAATTAGAAGGAGAGTTATTGTGTCCCAAAATATGTGATGACAGACAGACGGTCAAAGGGACAGACCCATTTTAATAGTCCCCTGCTTTCTTCAAAAGACAGGGCACAACAATAATACAGGAACTTGTATGGTGAACTATATAAATGACTTCATTAGTAATATTTTTTTTATATTTCATCTTTTACCATTTGGATTATAATTTGTATTTGGTGGTAAAGAAAATTGCTGTATCTGTTTATCATACATCAAATATAAAAAGTGCAAAGAATTCTAAAAAATTCTTATAATTAATTCATATTTCTGTTTACCTGGCTACAGCTGTTCTTGTTTCAAAATCCAAACTCTTCATGGATTCTTTAACGTCTATGCTGCCTATGAACTGCAAGATAAAGATATTTTCATTCACTGCAATTAGTTTAAAAAATGGATATTGACTATTTTTGCAAATAAACTGTAAATAATTGCAAACATTAATCTTCTCATCCATTTTGATCAGATTTCAAAATTTTAATATAAGAACAAACTGGACAGAAGAATCTATTGAATTAACTACCCAATCTGATTAAGATACAGATCTATATTTCATTTCGTTTCGGTTTTTTTATACTTTAAATGGCCAACACTACATGAAGATTTTGAACTACATGTATAAAAAACGAAACGAAATAGGATCTGTGTTTTAATCAGATTTATTAACAAGCACAGATCCAGATTTTGGACAGAGAGGATCAAATCACAAAGGACTCATTCCTGTAAGTTGAGCCCATTAAAAACTCAGTAAAAAAGATCTTCTGTAATTTAATTGACAGATTCTTAGTAAATATATTCTTTTTAAATATTTCACTGATTTTGTTTTCAACCCTTGCAGATAAAAGGGGGCATATGAATTCTTTCAAGGAGGGACATAACATTTTTTTATCTCTATCCCTCTTCTCCTCCTTAACGTCTGTGGTTCAAATAAGATATACTGCTCTTAATTAATAAATATATAAATAAATTAAAACATACATACCCTAACACCATAACACACCCCACCATCGCCATTAAGTTGTTGGTCTGGATGGATCCAACCTCTGCCTGGTTTGTGTACAAAACTCCCATTGCGTGACCACTCTTGCGAAGTGGATTTATTTTTCTTCTTTATGCGATCAAGAACTCCTGCCATACCGGTACTGGTATAGAAAATCTAAATACAGGACATATCTAGATCAAAAGATCTCCAAGAAATTGTTGTCGTTATTCCTTCAAGAGATAAAGAAAAAATTTCAGGGTTTTTTTTCTTGCAAATCCATATTGAATTTTTACTAGATGTTTCATTTTTTTTTTTAAAATGGGGGAATAAACTAGAATAAAGCATTAAAAGGGGATCATCCTTATGTATACCCCAATGAAACATTCTCATGAGGTTTCCACGGTGAGTTTGACCATTAAGATGGGTAAAACTCTCTAATTTGTAATGGAAAATTTCTGAATATGAAAGGTTGCAGTCCTTCATGTTTATAAAATTGTGCGGGAGCCATAAAAAGCTCCTGATACCTTGAATATATGCAGTTTAAAACTTAAAAGTAAACAAAATCTGAAAGTAGTTTATTAATCTCAATATTTAGAAAAGCGATTTAGCTTATTTGCAGGAGTCTTTAATGACTCCTTCGAAGGAAAGCCGACGTGCGTCGAGAGGAGCAGGAGCAAAAGCTCCCCTTAAACGTTAAGGACTGAGGTTGGTAAGAGTATTCTTCTTGCCCCAGTGTTGGTTTTTCATAACATATGAATGACCAGACAAACTAGGTAGGTGCCCTCTGACAAACTGTTATGTCAGGCGTAATTAATTATGGCACCTTTTTTCTAGCAAATAACCTCTCTCACCTCTGTATCTCAATATGCACCATTCAAAATTGTATTACAATTAGCAAAGGCATATATACTCATTTAATTTGTTTCGTGACAAAGAATAAACGTTGGCTTCTACAATTAACATAAGCATATATAAGAAATGACCTTTTTTAGGCAATGACTATATCAGTGTAAGTAAGTTAAGTGTAAATGATGACTCAGAAATGACAGTGACAAACTTCAATGTCCATGCTTCAATTGATGACAATTTTAATTATCAAAATGGAGATAACAAATTTGATATTCTCAATTGTTGACTGAATTAAAAGGAAATCAGAGTAAATCTAAAACAACGACCGAATACACTAATTGGTGAGCTATTCTTCTGCTCAGGCAACTTTGATCAGAAAAGTAAGGATAAAGGTTGCCACTGTCTGAGTCTAATTTAATACGACGACGATAGGTCAAGATCAGCTGTGTCTATGTAAAAATAATCAAATTAAAGGACTCTGAATCACTGAAATTACCTTTAAGTACTATCGATCCAGACAGTTTAGTCCCCTTTATAAATATAACGACATAACTGTAAAACCCTATGATTAATCAGTGTTCAAGGAAGTTAATAAAATGAATGAACTGTATAGTGTACTAAGGATGTCTGGATTAAGATTACACGGAATAACATTAGGCTTAGTTATCCAGACATGAATTCATGTATATTTATAGAATGTTGAAGCAAGTGGATTTGGGGATTTTATTTTCCTTTCTTTTTTCACCTTTTTTCTATTTTTCAGTATTCCATGCTGAAATTTTCTAATTCATTTGAATAGCCTACTGCTGTTTTAGTAGATAGTGTTGATGGTGTTTAGTGCTGAGTTCATGGATGGTTTCTGAAATTGTAGACATGTGGTTTTACTCCTGCTTAAAAAGGTTTTGAGAGAGACTAATAATCAAAGACTACTATTTTCTAATAATAAATTAAAAACCGAAACGAACTATTACTAATTCCAGTAGTATACATATGACTTTTAAAATTACTGCTGTAAGAGTCATATTTCAATATATCTACGAAAATAATGTGATTAAATCAAATCTTTAGTTCAATATATTAAGGTTTATATAAAATATTCGTTCCAGTTATTTAATCCGACTCACAATTTGTAACGAAAATGGCAGACAATAGTTAAGAAAGGTCGACTGTTTGTATTTCTTTATATTTTCAGTTGTAAATCATTAGGTTATAAAGTAGACATGGCACACAATTACAACCATAATCAAATTCACAATTCAGGGCCTTCAAATCAAACTTTTTATTGCCAAACATTCGGGAAACAAGAGGGAAACCGGCCCGAGTTAGTTCACCAAGGGAGACAACCCTTCACTCGATCTCCAATAGTGCCCACCATGCCTAATAATAACTTTGGCTTTAATAACGTGTTCAGACACCCAGTTCCACATTCACAATCTGCAAGCAGTGAACACCAGCCATCTGTGGGTGACAAGAGACATCAATCTTTCAATACATGGAGCAACAAGCAAGATATTCAACCATCTACGCAGTCGCAATATTACCACCAACAACACCACATACCCCACCTGCCAGTTTCGGAGTGTCCTCCAGCTTCAATTTCAGGCAATGACCATTTTAATCATAGCCAATTGACAAAGCAACAATCGCAAACTCAAATGACAGGCCATCATTTTCAAAATCATCAATTAAATCAAATTCGAACTCCTGAACAGTATGAACATTCAGCAAATTATTCTAACTTTAGACCAAATTTTCCACCGCCAGCTATCCCACCTTCCTTCAATAATCAGTATTCAAATTCAGGAATTTCTCCACATGCAAATTTCCCTCCATCTACTCAGTCTTTTCATCCTCAACCTTGCATTAATGCCAGTCAAAATTCTATGACATTTCCACCGCCTATTATAAACAGACTGGTACATCCGCAATCCAGTTTTAACCCAAATCATGAAAGAGAAGTATTTGAAGTTAATCAAAGCCCTGTCAATAAAGATGGCAAACAACAACAGAGAATAACAGATGAAGCATGGCTTGTTGATTGGTTAAATAAGATTAAAAAACCAGATGTAAAACCCATTGCAAAATCCAATGACGAGGAAAAGACATGTTCTTTGAAGGTAACAGTAGTTTATGTTAGTTTGCACGATCGATTTGCATTTAGTAAAGCATGCTATATTATAAAATTCAATATGCAGATCATCAATTGGGCTGTATAAAATAGCTAGCACTTTTTCAGACAACCAAAAGTCTTCTTACAATATATTATTTGTTTATTTTATGTGCTTGTAGATGTAATCAGTATTTAAATAAAATAATATATCTCGATTTTATACTAGATAAAAATAATTTTCCTTTGTGTCTGTAATATTGTTTATTTTTTTCTTGAAGATAAATGAAGCTCAGAAACAAATGAGGTGCCTTCTTGTCACAATGGCAACATTAAAAAATCAATCTGCAGTCTTAGAAGATTGTGCTCTTAATGGCAATTGTGAAGACTGGCAGACAGAATTTGTGAAGACAGAAACTTTGAAGGTTTGTAAACTTATTTCTTCTACTATTAGAGTACCATTTAATAATGTAAATTTGAAACAAATAACCCCAAACCTTCTATATTAAGCTTGAAGGAGCTAAATCGCTAATATTTTGGACCTAGAAATTGACACAAATGGGTCGCAACGCATATAATAATGTAATATGAATGTACATAAACTGATTTAAATTCAATCGTTTCCGTTTTTACTCTAATTTCAAATCAGTTATGTTTGGCGAAATACGCCATAAGTCTCAATCGAATGGCAACCTCTAGCGTCTGGTTATTCCAGTCTACACCGATATTATTTATTGCACATGCTCTTTAGATAAGAATATGAGTGACGTCACTTTTTGACATGACTTGTGGAATATGTCTAGCCTTGTTCTTCGAGGCCCTTGTTAGAAATGGTACACGATCCGTGTACCAATGGTAAAATGTTTATTTTTTCTAAGCCTATCTTTTCCCATTAAGATAACAACATCATGGTTGATTTAAATTGACAAATAATTCGTGTTTTCAATTTTGACGTCTTTGGAAGATATTGACCTAGACACTTAGCCACTTTAATTTACATTTTTTATGTATTTTCTAGAAAACACTTATTGATATACAAACCACCTTCAGTTCCCCTCAGAACTTAAAAGATTTAAAAACAAGTATTGATAAAAGAAGAAAGAAAAGGGTGAGTTTTGAGAAAAATATTTATTTATTAGTAGTGATGGTGCGATAATCGGTTAAAAAATCGGTAATTGGCAATAAGTGGCCAGTCGGAAGAAATGGGTATCAACCAATACTGAGCCATTTTGCCGATACTGGAGTCGCGGATATCTGTTTAAAAGGACTCGGTAAATAACTCTAAAATGTCATTTGAGTTGTGAACAATTAAATCATTAATTTGCTTGACACTCGGTACAATTACGATTATTTTAATTGCTGTGCGCGTGACTGTTAAACATAATACAAGACTCACATGGAGGCTGTAAAAGGAAATAATAAACAGTGTAAAATCTTTACCAGACTACGTTATCACACAATCCTTCTTTAATTGCTGTGTGCGTGACTATTAAACATAATACAAGACCCCCATGGAGGCTGTAAAAGGAAATAATAAAGAGTGTAAAATCCTTACCAGTCTACGTTATTTTTTAATCCTTATTCACACATTGTATGAGAGTTTGGGTGTCTCGATGCGTGGTTTTTTTTTTAAGAATAATATTTCTGCACATGTGCAAACAGACATAAACATACAACAGTCTTCCGGATAAGACATGTGACTGGAATATGGAATAAGCCCATTTCATGATGATCAAAAAGGTAGAATTAGAGAACGCAACAGTGAGTCTGTTAAAAATTTATAAACTATGAAATAAACAATGATCCTCCTTTGATTACTGTGGCTGATGTGAAATAGTTCCAAATCTTACTACTTCGCAGCATTTTTTTTTTTTTCGTTTTATCTAACTTACTACAGTACAGGTATACGCATGATTGAGATGAAGGATGGAATGGGGGGAGAATATCACGTGATTTCTACTGTTGACAGACGGGAAACTATTGCTTTGATTACTGCATGAACCATTCTGACATAGATATAATACAGGTGCCATCCAAGTTTGTGGAATTATATCATACTCAACATTTAATAACTGACAATCTCAATTTTATTTATTATTCAAACCGCAAATAATTTTAGTTCACAAAAGATAGTGTGTATTTTTGACTTCGGAGGAGGTGTGACCCAATTATTTTTACCTTAAAAAAATACATCGCGTTCCTGTTTGATTCCCAAGGTAAAAAGTACCAGGCGTTTTCCAACTAACAATGGCATGTAACTACATTGATTATCATGACATTCAAGACATTTTAATGTGTAATAGTTTTATATCAAATCAACCACTATCTGTAATTGGATCTGTTTTGACCGATATATTTCGCTGTCAGTATCTGAAATCGGTTAAACCGATACTAGCCATATCGGACCATCACTATTTATTAGGTTAATCTGGTAACAAAAAGATGAAAGCCGTTTCCATGACTAGCAAGCTTATCTAAAATTTTATGTTTATAATGGAAGTTAAAAATTTAATTATAGTCCCATAGTGTCCAATTCAGAACCAGTAGTCACTACTACTTAATTATTACTACATGTGTATGAGTGCACATTCACAAAAGATGTCAACGACGAATGTATAATCTAGACAAATTTGTCATCCAGACAATCTTTTTATTTTAGATCTGTCATATATTGTAAGACAAGCTTACATCGTAGTTGAAAACTAATAGTTTGATTATATCTCCAATGTATGGTGCAAGAGGCATTATGTAAGAGCTTATTAACTTGCTTGTTGGGGAGTGTTTTTCTGGCTTCAAATGTTGTATAAATTTTTACTTAGATATTTATTCACATGACAAGTCCTGAATATGCTCTATAGACCATCTGATGTCATAGATATTGTATGGATTAGACAATGTGTAAATAATTTGACGGAAATTTTCAATATATATTCATTTTTCATATTATAGCTAGAACGGTCCATTCTATCTCTAAATCTTGCATAATGCCTCTTTAAATAAGTACAGCTTTGACTTGTCAAAGAAGTATAATTATCTTTTAGCTTAAATTTTATAAAGTTATTCCAACTAACACTTCACCAGATGTTTATTATTGATTATTCTTTGTTTTCAGTAAGAATCTTTGTTTGAAAGAAAAAAAATATCACATCTATTTGTGGATGTTAACTTCATATATCCTTATTCTACACAATTTCAAATGTATCCTTAATTAAATTATATTAAATTGTAATAAATAGTGGGGTTAAACATACATTATGCGAGAGCTAAATTTGCCAATTTCAGGTCTTTCTTTAGGCCTGAAATGTTATCCAAATTATTAATTAGACATTAATTAACTTATCCAGACCATGATCAACTCTCGATGGCATCGCTAGCCTGCGATATTTATTGGTTAGAACCCGGTCTGCTGCTTCTGATTAAATCAAAAAATGGATAATCGAGACTGTTTTTTATCGTACCAACTTTAGTAATGATGATCGAGGCTAGGCCCAAAATTCAATCACTAAATACTCGGTTCAGGGTGGACCAATTTGACTGAAATTTTCAGCAAATTCCCTTTACATTAACTAGTTTTTATAAACCCACATTTTAATGTGGACGTATATTGTCGTCGCCCCTGTCCGTCCATCCGTTTGTGGACACTCCACAGGTCACAATTTTTATCCGATTTTGACGAAACTTGAAATATAGGTCTATCTCCCAAAGATCTCGGTTTCTTTCGATATTGGCATGAATCGACCATAAATTCAAGGATTATAGCCCCTGATTGTACGAAAAATCACGCTTTTAGCTTGTGGTAACTGTAGAGGTCAAAAATTTTATCCGATTTAAAAAAAATACTTTTTAGTACATCACCGTTACACCCCAATGATGGTTGAGTTCAAATTTTCGTGAAAATCAGACCAAAACTGTCGGACAAAATGGCCGCCCCTTGTACGCAAATAGTGCAAACATCTGGTATATCAAGGTTGTGGACCTCCTAGAGGTCACAGTTTTGATCCGATTTTGATGAACCTTGAAATGCATGTTTATAACCCAAAGACCTTGGTTCCATTCCATATTCGCACATATCGAATCGTAACTTCCTGAATTATTGCTCTTAATTGTATGAAAAAAAATTTTTTTCAGATTTTAAAAACCGTTTAGATATATCACCATTCCACCATAATGAAGGTTGAATTTGAATTTCGGGAAAATCGAAATGAAACTGCCCGACAAAATGGACGCTCTTTGTACGCAAATTGTGTATAAGTATGTAATACAAAGGTTATGGAGTCCTCTAGACTTATAGGTCACAATTTTTATCCAATTTTAATGAAACTTAAAACATCTTTATATTCCAAAAATCTTAGTCCTTGTCGATATTTGGTCATATCAGACCATAACTTTCTGGATTATGGCACCTGATTGTACAAAAAATCGTTTTTGTTTTTAGCTTGTTGCTGTGTTAAATATTCGGGGGTTCTCCATCCCAATGTTATTTCTTCTTTGATAATATATCTAATTGTACTGTTTATGTTGTATTGTTCTGTTTGTATTTTGTTGTGCAGTTATCCTGATTTGTATATTCACAAAATTCTTTTTATTAATAAGTTATGGGGGAAGTTTGTTTTATGCATGATGTTGGGAATCTCCTGTAGCCCTTGTTCTTGCTTGTTGGCATATTTTGTGCTCGATTCCATACGAACCAGAGAGGCTTAGTATTCGATCTCAGTGTTGTCTAAGAAAGTACCTCAGGATTTTCCATCTTGGTTTCCCCTAATTAGTGGTGAAGGACAGATTGTCTGGAAAGGAAAAATATTAAGTTGTTAGGATGGGGAAAAAAAAGAGGTCCGATGTATATCATTGGTAGCTCAATAGGATTCCATGACATATTGAAATCCAAATAAAAGTAGGCTACAATACTCCTAATGTCATACTGTATGGTGTATACTCATCTTCATTAGCCCAGTTTGGTGCAGAAAAGTAAGACATTAAACCCAATTTCATTCAATTATTGCTGTATGATGCATACAAATATTTAAATTTAAACATACATTATGCAAAAGCTAAATCTGCCTATTGCAGGTCTTTCTTTAGGCCTGAAATGTTATCTAAATGTTAACTCTCGATGTCAATGCTAGCCTACCATATTTACTGGATTAGGATCCGATTTGCTGCTCATCTTTCACTCGTGATTAAATCATGAAATGGATAATCAAGACTATGTTTTTTATCGTACCGACTTTAGTAATGATGATCAAGGCTAGGCCAAAAATTCAATCGCTAAAATCTTGGTACAACTTTAGTAATGATGATCGAGTCTAGGTCAAAAATTCAATCGCTGAAATCTCTGTTCTAAACACATCTATAGGTACACTATAACAACCTGTAATATACCGGTACTGTAGTAAAACTCCTACATGTGTACATTGTTTTGAAATATTGATTTTCTTCTCACAAGTAATGATTTTTGGCTTTTAATGCTCGACATTCATGGTCGACTCAAATTTGAAGAATATTGTCAAACTAGAAGTAGAAGGAATAAAACCAAACACCAAAACCACTGTTTGTCATGTGACCCCAAATCTGCTGCCCCTCGAGGACAGATTTAAGTTTGGGGATGAGGAAGAAGTCACAGAGAGCTATATATAGATCTAGATAATAGGCTGGGTGAGGGGGGATCTGCATGCCACAGTCCTGTGCAGCACTCATTAACTGCTATTTGGGCGTGTGAACTGGAGCATAGTCATGGAGCAGCCAGACACCTCAGCAAATTTTATCTCAATGCTTTTCTTTGATTTGATCTTGCAACCTGCTTAATTCATGTGCATAATATGCAAAAAAAGAAGGCCATGATCTTGCCACTGGAAGATGTTCCTGCATACTTTGACTTTTTGTCTTTGAGTCAAAGAAATGAATCCAGGTATGATCCTGAGTAACAATATGACCCAAGAAAGCTTGTGGATCTCTCTGTATTCATCGAAAAGCTGTTGATTAACGATGACTCTGACAAATTTGTTCTTCAGTCAGCATTCTGGGCACACACGTTTTTATGTGCAAGGGGGGTGGATGGCCGAATTGTAAGTACATGCACGCTGTATCATAGATCTGTCATTGAGTCAACTGGCATGGTTTCGATTCCTCGGTTGTACGTGACAAAGAGTAGGGTCGCCTGTCCAACCTCATGGTTTTTCTACAGGTCCTCTGGTTTCCTCACACTGCTAAAGACCACTACGTGCAAGCGATTATTGAAATAAAATTGAACCATGTGTTAGTTTGTGTTAAGTGGGTTAAACCCGACCGTGGTTCGTCTTAGTGCTGACACTGCCCCTAGTAAATTCAGCATACTACTGTGTGACTGTACTATGCGAAGGAGCATTTGTCACCAAATGTTTGTGTCTTGTCATCATGAATTTGCTTTGTCGTAAACTTTTTCAAATAAAGATACTTACCAGGTAATCACTGCTCTTCTTTAGGTTTCTCCATTTTGAGAGTAAATGAGTGAGTGCTTATCAAGCACATGCTGAGATACTTTTCTAGCAACATGAGCAGATTAGTTGAGTTTGGGTGATTCATTCATCATGAGGTCGGAACTTTTGGGACATCCCTGGTATTGTACAATAGCGAACATTGACCTAAATATTGTGTTGAAAATGGTATAAAATGAACTGCCCTGAGATGAAATTTAGAATACCTCTACACAGTCAGTCTAATTTGTGTATTTTGTGAATTGAACTCTTGGACAAAATAATTAACAAACTTTCCACACATAAGTATATTTATCTATTTTAGGCAACAATACACTTTACATTCAATAAAAATTATTCTGTTTGATTTTACAGGACAGATTAAAAAAGAAAAAACAGGCAAAGTTTGAAGAGAAACAAGCAGAGTTAGCACAGAGAGAGATTTTAGACAATAAGATTGACAAATGGTGTGAATCGGTCACACAAAAGATGTTGGATGCCAAACAGGTAGAGTTAAAATTTTCAGAAGTTTTTTTTTTTTTCATAGAACATGAAGTAAAGAGTCCTATCTGAAGAATTAATTTAATATGGTGTTTCAAAGATAACAATTTCTTTTGTTGAAACCATAAAATAGAAACATGTAATGATCAAAAGAATTATTTAAATATTTTTCCGCCTTGGTTTTAATCTTACTGTGAACTTTTGTCATTCAATTTGTATTTAGTTGACTGGATAGTGAAACAACCTTCATCCATTTTGAATAGAGCAAATTGTTAAAAAAAAATTATTTGTTAAATAAGATTAACCAAGTAAAGGATGGTGACCACTTATGGGTGGTCACAGATAATCCATAAATCATTTCACAAATTAGATTTGATAATTTTGAGGAGTCAAAAATTAGAAAAACTACAAACGTGTTCCATTTCAGAAAGTTGAAATGAAAAAAATGGCTGATAAAACTCTCAGTGAAGTTCGAAGTAAAATAAGTGATACAACAAGGAAACTGGATTTATTAAAAGGTTTACAGAGACTTCGTAAAATAAGAATGGAAGCTGCAGTACAAATAGGTAACAAAATTTAAATAATTTCCTTATTCTAAAACTGTTATATATTTGCATGTAACCTGTTGGGGTTTTATTTTGCTTGTGTAATGTATCTACTGGTTGGAGGGAGTTTTAAAAAATTTGTTTTGGAAGCTTTCTAGGGTGGCTATAATACATGTATAGGCATTATTCAGGGGAGAATTACTGTTTTGCTGTGATAAAATGTAAAAATCACAATACAGTATATTGTAAAAAATCTATAAAGAAAAATCATTTAGCTTTTAAAAACTATGATACTTGACTCAAAATGCTAGTCAGAAATGTTTGGACGTGTTTATTGAGACAAGCCATCACCTCTCCAAATCTCTCAAAAGATTTAATTGGCTTGTCTCAATAAACACGTCCAAACATTTCTGACCTTCAAAGCAATAGAAATGAAGCCTGAAAGAAAACCCAACCAAGCAGACCATCAGATAAACATGCGAATGTTCCTAATGTTATGCAGGGACAATAATAGGAAAAGGTGTATGTGCCTTAATGTTACACTGCGTATGTTGGAGTATGCTTATAAAATATCTGTTATGTTATAAACCAAATAATGCAAGCTATTGTAAATTCTTTTACTTGATAAATTCATTCTCATGTATTTTTTTTTTTACAGGTCGATACACACCAAATGAAAGTGATTCTGTTTTTGAAACCAAAATATCCCAGCTGTATGACATTCTAACAGTCCAGAGACAGGTCTATGAGGGAGAAGAAAAAACATTGAAGGTAGAATTTTAAGCAGCAAAATCAAAATATCAACGGTAGATAATCCTCAGCTTGGATTCAAACAGATTTTAATAAAGCTCACCATTTTAACTAAGATTATAAGTGGCACTGTCTTGTTCTGACCATATTCCGTTTCCATCGTCAAATGTCGAAAAATTTTCAATTCATCATATCGTTGTATATAAAACCATTTTATGACTGATATTCCTTTTAGAGATTCAACTTTCATAATATTGTAGTTTGCAAGGGACTAAAAATACCTCAAATGACAAGAGGCTTTAAACCCTATTTTCATTTTATGACAAATAATCATAAGATGTAATCTACTACACAAATAAAATTAACTTAGAATATTTAAAGAAGGCTAGGCATGGATTGGAACATTAAAGTTCTAGATCATCATTTGGATTTTTGGGACAAGATCAAATTTTTCACTTATTTCTTGGCTTAGATTCAAACTATTGTGATTAGGCACATCAAAAGAGTTCACTAATAGGTTGAGGGTGCAGAATCCTGTACATTGGAAGTCTTGAGTGTCATTTTAGGGATTTTAAAACCCTTGCAAACTACAATACAGATGGAACTGTTTTAATCCGATTAAATCCAAGCCAAGAGTTTAGCTGTGAAAAAAGAGATACTGTTCCAAAAGTGCAACAGCTTTAAACATACATTATGCATCTGCTTATTGCAGGTCTTTCTTTAGGCTTAAAAAGTTATCTAAATTATTAATTAGACATTAATTAACTTATACAGACCATAATCAACTTTCTATGCCATCACTAGCCTGCAATATTTACTGGATTTGAATACATATTTTTGTGATGGATAATTCAATTGCTAATATCTCAGTTCAGAGGGAAACAGTTGAACTGAAATTTTCAGCATTATCTTTTTTTTAACTATTATAGCTAGAACCATCAACTCTTTATCTAATCTCCCATAATGCCCCTTTCAGTTTTGTGTTGGGGAAGATCTCAGTTATCTTATATCGATATCACTTACCTAATTTTAAATACCTCATTGGTACAGGTCATATTAGAAGCAGAACAAGAAGAAACTCAAGGCTTACAGAAAGAAAGAAAAAAACAAATAAAGGAACATAGAGAAAGGAAAGCAGAGAAAAGGAAGAATGAAATGTTATTTGGAAAACCTGGTATGTTATAAAAAAAAAAATTACATTACAGTGTATTGGGTCATTTTAGTTTGAACAGTTGTTAAGGGATACAGAGGCTTGTAAAGAAGATAATAACATACAGTAGACACATCAACTACATCAATGGCAACTTCAACATACTAGAAATGGAAGCCATAATTTTAACATTGAACTGTATTGGGGGTTGCATTGACTCTATCCACCAATCCGGTTTCCTCCCACTGCTAAAGACCCCTACGCGCAAGCGAATTATGTAAATAAAATTAAACCATATGCTAGTCCCGAAATGACCTAGTTTGTGTCGAGTGGACGTTAAACCCCATTTCTCTCTCTCTCTCTCTATCCACCAAAGCTGTAGTTTTGCTATATTTGAATTCGTAGGATTATAATAATAATATAATATTATGTGTATTTTCAGTAGAGATAGACGAAACTGATCCCTTATTTCCATTTTATGAGTTTTATAAAAAAGCTGAAGTTGATTTCAACTCTTTCTTAGAAATAAGGTATGTATATTTGTTTTCACACATAATTATATGTATTATTACAGTATTTTATGGTTACCATTATCATTGGTGGTCTTAATATGAAATGTTTTATTATTTTTCAGACATAGTTGGGATTTTTGGATGGTACCGGATAATGTTGTAAGTGGTAGTCGAATACCAGATGAATGGGTTTTACCATCTATACCATTTAATGATAGCTGGGCTAAATACCTTTCTGTGTAAAACTTTGGAATAAATATGTCTACTATGACAGGGATAACATTTTAATTCCTTCCATGAATTGCTTATTTGTGGTATAGCTCAAAGAGTCTCAGTTCTACAAAAACCTGCAAAAGAATCTTGCCGTAATAATGTGGATTATCAGATAAAGGAATATTTGCTTAGTTTTTGCTCCAAAATCAATGAAATTTAATGACCAATAATAACATTGTGTATATGTATTGTTAAATTTTAATTGAATTTGGACATTGAGTTACAACCGATTTTTAATATATAAATAAAATTATTACTATTTTCTTCATGTTTTAGTTCAGTATAATGAATGTTTGGAAATCCCCTGATGAAGTTAACATGACAAATTTTAGCAGTGGGATAACCTGGAAAAAACCCATGATGTTGGACAGGTGATGCTACTCCTTGTCACGTACAAGCTTGGGCTCAAAACCTTTTGCATTAAACCACTCTTTCAACCTTGAATGAAAGAGATTGTTATATAACTAGATACTTTTATCCACTGTCAAGAGTCTATGGATTAACATTGACTTTGCTGCGGAGGAGATTTCATATATGAATTACATGATTTCCGGAGGTGGCACACCATTTCTGAGAGCCCCTAGGAGTAATACATCCACCCTTCCCTTGCTTCGCTAGCCCTTTCATTGCTTCACTAGAATCTTCATTCATCTATATGTAAAAGTCAGAGAATAAAAAAAAGTCAAGACTCTTTTAAATTTATTTAGAGTAATATCTATCAATGCAAGCACTGGAAACATTTCACAAGAATTAATGTAAAATACTGTGTAATTGTAAAACATCCGTTTTTGTTCTCAACTGGTCAAGACACAATAAATTAGGTTTTGTTTTTGCCAATATGTGGATTTAAATTGCAGAGTGATTATTTTGCAACTTATCTTTGTTATATATCTGAGAGCTAATAACTGACCAGAGTCACAAAACATCAGATTCATCTACTTAGTGTCATAAAATTTAACTTGTTTTCACAATACTAAATTAGTGTGTTCATCTATGCATCATGTATAGAATATACAAAATACAAAGAACAACAAAGAGTATTGGCTATACTATATATAAATTTCTTATATAAACGAGAAATGTTAACAAATGTTCTAGAAATATATCATACCACAGGAAATAGGTGCAAGGGAAATAGGTGCAAGTCGGAGTGCTCAAATGAACTGTGTAGAAATACTAATTGAGCCCAACCAATGCTTGTAATAGTTTCCTGTAATCTCCACTACAATCATTTTCTAACCATTTCCATACTGTCTGGTCAGTTAATTTCAGGAAGCACTCTTTTATTTGCACCATGTCAATTTCTGATCTCGAGACAATAAGTCTTATTAAAGCACTGTCCTTTGTTCCTAGACCTTTCATCGCCTTCTGTAATCTCTCTGCAAAGTACATGGGCCTGCATCTAATGTTCATAACTAATGCTCTTAAACCAGCCTTGAAGTCACCAGATGTCTCCCTATCTACAGAATTCAAGATATCTCTCTGGGTAATCTTCACATACTCTTTCCATATTGCTCTCAGCGAATAGTAATCTCTAGTAGAGAAGATACGATTGAATGTCTCCTCATCTGTTCCCCATCGAGCTTCCCCAGCTTTGTAGAGTTGTTCAGCCTCCCTTTTAGCTCGATCCATGTCACACAAAGCTTCATAATTAACCTCGTACATACCAGTGCCTTCTCCATCCTCACGAATAATTTCTTGTACAGCCTCTTCGAGTTGGTCTTGAGATATTTCATTCCGGTTTCCAGTCGAAGCTGATATTAGCAGACGTTTGAAATCGCCACTGGTATCATCTTCTATGTCTTTTTCTATGAGTGATTCTGAAGTTTTTTTATGTGGACTTACAACATCACCATAAACTTCCCTCAATTCTGCTATCTGGGCATTGGTTCTAGTCATCAAGATTTCGATTAATGTCTCTTCATCTGTACCAGGACCATAGATAGCTTCTTTAATACACCAAGCATCGTATATAGCTGGTTTTACAAAACAGGCCATGATAGCTTCTTTAAAATCACCGCTTAATTCGCTCTTCAGTTCCTCAATTAAATCCTTTCCATACATGGTTTTAAAGTACTTTTTCAGTTCTTGTCTTTGTGAATTACATCTTGATGCTACAACTGTGATGATAGCATCTTCATTTGTTCCAGCACCCTTCATGGCTTCATTCAAGTATTCACAATCTGCATCTTTACTCCAAGGCTTATCAGTTAAATCTTCTCCACGCTCTGTGTTGTACCATTCAACAACTGGGTCTCCAGCTTCGTATTTTTCTAATGGTTTTACAGTACCTGAAGTCATTTCAAATGTTCCTGATACCCTCTCTCTTCTAACTAATTCTTTCACAAATGTCTCTTTCATCATAACTTTCATCTTTTCTTTCATGTCTTCTTCGGACATACCACCAGATGATTCTTCGGTTTGTTCGGCACCATCGCCATCATCCTGTACGCTCGTTTTCATCATCTGCATCTGCATCATCTGCATTTGCTGCATCATCATTTGTTGTTGTTGCATCTGATATTGATACAGATGAGAATCGTAGTTCTGTATATGACCCGTAGTAGGCATGGCCATGGGTGGTGGGCCGTGCTGTCCTTGGTTCATTTGGGAGTATTGCTGTACCGCTGGCACTGTAAAGCCCGGAACAGCTCCTTGTCCAGCCACATAGTTATGCCCCCCTCCGCCATATTGTGGTTGTTGCTGTTGATAACCATACTGATTGACATTATAAGCACTGTTATATTGTCCTCCCCCACCGTACCCGTAACCTCCATATTGTCCGGGAGGCGGTGGTGGACCAGAATTTGGATAATTGCTCTGATAATAAGCCATGTTCGTAGTAATTCAGCTCTCACCCGGTCAGTTTTCAGCACGACATTTAACACTCGCCCAGTCAGTTATGGTGGATTTATTAAGCGCATCATAACATTGTCTTGCAGCCATGGAGACGAACACGCTATCGCAATCAATAGCGGTAATAATAATAACACAAGTGAAATCGTCAATACGTCATTTCATTACATTTATTTATAGAATGGCCTTTTAATAATAGGGTCCTTTTGTATAGTGAACACAGTAACAGGTCGTCGGGTAAAATCATGCTTTACTGTTTTAATAGATTAGTTTGGTACGGGCAGTTGTCCCAACTAGCATGCATACCTTGTTACAAAACGGAATTTTATGAATTTTCATTAAGTACGAATTTGTTGGTAAAAATAATAGTCAGTATGCGGGGTGAGTAAAAGTATGTATTTAGACCTAAACCCCATTATAAATTGAAGGTAAATTTAGATACAATATGCGAGTGGACTATAAACTGACATAAATAGACGGATTAAAAAAATACCATAGAGATAACCCCACCCATCGTAACATAAACATTACAAGCGTCCTTGAACCTGATTAAGTTCACTTCTGACATGCTTCGGTTAACTTGCTGAAATTGCTGGTGTTCTGTTGTGGTCATTCACTGATAGCTGGGACGAAATTCTTTTTAATCTTTAAAATGGCGTTGATTATTGCAGAAACCGTAGTCGCTCAAGATTAACCGGGGGGCTCGGATTTATTCCATGTGTTGTCAAAGAAAATTTCCTCGATATTTTCCTTCCGGCGCGGATTTTCCTTGTGATTCCGATGTGACAAAAAAACGAGGTCCCGTGTAAACATAGACGTGCACATAAAAGAAATCATGACAGGTGTAATTCGAAAAAGAGTAGATCGTAGCTGCCCTGTCGGGGAAAAAAATTTCGTTCCTTGTTATAGCACACTGCGTGGCGTATGTCGGTCTTTATTAGCTCAGTCGGCGCAGAAAAGTAGAACGTTAAACCGCGTTTCATTTTTAAAAAATAGGACGTTAAACCGCATTTCATTTCTGTCTATTGCTGGGTGTCGCTACTTTAGATATTTGATAGACGGAGTTTTAATACTTGTCTATAAATGAAGTTTTATACGGTTATTTTCCATAGGTCGCGTTTGATCCGGGATTTGTTCAATAATAAACCTCCTCTTTGAATACAGAACAGAAATATATCAATGAGGAGTCCTCAAGAATCGCCCTTTCCAGCTTGATAAGCTAGAATGTTGACGGCAGTTAAACTGCAAGATCATAAATTATTCCAAACACAGAATTTGAATCGATATGGTCTTTATATACACAAATGAACAGCGTGCGCGCTCAAAAATATAAAGAAACATTTTAACAAAGTAGGAAACACAGTACAGCTTTATACAAATCACGTGCATAGACATAAATATAAAGTTAAAAACAATTTTAAAATTTAAAATGTCCATAATAAATAGTAATTGTATACTATTAATACCAGGGCCCTTATTCGCGAAAACATAAACTAAGATACAATCGAAATTTTAAGAAATACTGCAATTCGATTGGCTGACCAGTAAAACCAATTTGCATATATCCAATGAAGTTGCAGTATTTCTTAAAATTTAAGGGCCCCGATCTCTAAATTGTACATAGAATCTTTCCGAACTTTTCGAATTACGGTATATAGTATTTTGCTGTCCATCGTGTCATCCGTAAATATTTCTTTCCAGTATGATTTTATATTAAGTGTGTACATAATGAGTTAATTCATTCAATATTCATATTTGGTAAACATCCACTGTTGCGTTAATTTATCTGATTGACATGTCTTCATAATAGGTCCCCAATAATCTAAATCTAAACATAGCTTACTATTTACATGTTTTATCTGGCCTCTCTGTAAATATACAAAAATATTAGCTGATTAAACAATCGGTCGTTTTAATTTAATGTTTATTTTTGATTGGTGGTCTCGGGCTCGTTCCCAGTGTTTTCCAGAAAGTAGCTTACCTCGGAATTTTCCAACGTGGTTGGACTAGTGACGGAAAACCTAGCGTCACTGTAAGTTGCCTCATATTATGTCAGTCTTTGTTTAGGCCCTAAGCTAGCTGATCCCAATGGGCGCCGAATGCACCCTTTCCATTGGTCGCAAAAAGAAGCCAACGACCAACGCGCCAATCTCGTCGTGGGCGCCTCGCCAATCATGTCGTTATATATGAGGTGCCCCCCCCCCCCTCAAATGGCTTCATAATGTATCACACGATTAACGCAACAACTTGATGGACGTGTCGCCCACAACGGCGTGATCTGTGGAGTGCCTTAATATCGCAAATTCATCCTAAACCCTTCTCCAAAGGGAGGCGTGTCCACGGTGCCGTTCGCCCTGGACCGTCAAGTGTAGTTACATCGGCGCCCCCAGAAGCCCTCGCCCCCCCCCCCACACACACACACACACACACACTAAAAAGACATTTAGGATAGTTACGGACCTGTTCACTAACCCGCTTGTTGAAGAAAAGTAGAACGTTCATAACCCCATTTCATTTATCCCACTTTTTTCTGATGGGAAATATGACACGTGTATAATACACTAAGTTCTTCATTCTGATTCCAGCAGCGTATTGAAAGTACCGAATCTAGGTATTTCATCCGGTAGATTCCAACATAATAAATCACCGCCGATGAAATGTCTGCGACTGCAAGTCACAAGTGAAAAGTATAGTGTCTGCTAAGTCTTTTGCCGAATTCCCCCCGTCAGTGGTGCAGGACGGAGAATCTGATACGGTAGCTATCTAGTCGTTCGGATGGGAAAAAACGAAGCCCCGTGTACACATTGGCGAGCACGTAAAAGATCCCTTGGCAGTTTGAATGCGACGTAAGAGTAGGCCGTAGCACCACTGTCCGGGCAAATTTCCGTCATATAAGCACACTTCATCAGCCCAGTCGGAGCAGAACAGTAGGACGTTAAACCCCATTTCAATCCATTTTACCTTCACATGTGTCCATTTTTGTAATGACCCGTGCAGACATTTCTCTAAAACTGGTCTGGAACTCGAGGAGTATTCTGCCACATTAACACAATGTAAAGTAGTTATTAAAACACCATCTCTCGTCAAAGAAAAGCCCTGAAATACATTTAGGTATATGCCTTAAAGCCCCATTGCGCTAGAAGATCAATAGCCAGTTTCCTTATTTACATTTAACAAAAATAAAGACTGAAAAGTATTTTTTAAACTAATAATGCATATGTCTGTGATTAAAAAATAAGGGTTAGATAACATCTTGAACTCGATGTTCATCGACATAAATGAAATATAATTTGGGCGTTCTTTAAAGGTTATGAGGTGAAATCAATAGAACACAGTATTATTATTGTTTAGCGATGGCCTTTATGGTCTATTACGTGCATGACAACTGTACACGGAACCTTGGTTTATCGTCCCATCCTAAACGACTAAACGCTTTTCCTTGCCAGGCGGGCTATGGGCTTAAACAGAATTGTCATAGGCCATAGTAGTATAATAAATCAATATAACCACCTGTATTAAATATTTATAATGACAAATTTCTGCAAATAAATCTTGTGGTCCTTCATATAAATAGCCATGGTTATCGAGACAACGCCCTGTCAAAATATTCTGGACCTATTATAAAAAAAGTGAAAAAGGGAATGACTGCCACTTTTAATAAATTCTGAATAATCAATAATTCTAATACGCAGACTACAACCATTCATGAATTGAACGGCTTAAGCTATCTTATTATTTTCTAAAATACATTACCTTAGTTTAAACTAGAGTAAACTATAAACCTTAATTAAATTATTAAACCAAATGCCAGATTAATTTGATGAAAATGAAATTTGTATATGCTCGTATATCTTACCGACCCCCATGCAGCTACATCCTCATTATACACCAGTAAACCTGGCCATATATTACTTAAATACCGACGAAAGGGGTGGCAACTCATTCGGGATTTCTTCCAAATTTGTTTACTCAAATCGCCAGCATACAGATCCTGAAAGGAATTATAAAAGTTGTGACAGTTAATTATCTACTCTAGTAAGTGCAGGAGGAACGCACTACACGTAAAACACCGACCGTAGAGAACTGTATACTTACATTAGCAAAATTTTGTAAAGCCCCCCCCCCCCCTCCCCTTTATTCAGCTGTGCTGTGATGACGGTATCCTATAAGTACAAACCTGATTATAATAAATATTCATGCTTTAGTAGAATTTGAATTATTGAAACTGACTTACCGTCAGGTTGTTATAGAAATCATAAACAAACTGTTTTAAATTTGGTTCCATCCAAACTTCGATTGCTCTTTTATAATTATACAAGTCCAGAGTAGTATCCTCCTGGTTTGGAATATGTCCAATTTTAGAACAAGGAACGTGAACAAGGCGACCGCCACACAACCAAACCTTTAATAAAAAAAAGATACCAAGTCGCACAGGCATGTGAAGTCATAGTCCTAAATTTTATATCTTTACATATCGCACTATATACGGAAATAAAAAAGAAATAGCAAAGCGGTTGCCATACGCCCACACTTTGCGCAGGGGGTGGGGTGAATGGGTAACCTGTGCGCGTTTGATCATAAGGTCATAAGGTCTGTTATTGAGTCTAGTGGCGTGGTTTCGATTCCTCGCTTGTACGTCACAAGGAGAAGGGTCGTAGGTTTTCTCCGGGTCCTCCGGTTTCCTCCACTGCTAAAGACCCCTACGCGCTAGCGAATTATTGAAATAAAATTGAACCATGTTAGTCCCGAATTTTGTGTTGAGGCGACGACAATGTACGCGGGCCCGTAGCTAGCGGGGGGAGTGGGGCAAGGGCTTACGGGGGAGCCGATGTACCTACACTTCACGGTCCACGGCGATGGACGCGCCTCACTTCGGAGAAGGGTTTAGGGTGCTCTCCCCCCAGAAAATTTTGGAAATAGGGTTTGCGCCTGAGCAGAGGAAATATGAAAATGACGAAAAATTTCAATTTTGAGGCTAAATTTGCGATATTAAGGCACCCCACATATCATGCCGTTGTGGGCGCCCCATCAATCAAATTGTGGTAAATCGTGTGAATCATTATGGGACCTCTCACCATTTGGGGGGCGTCTCATATAAGGACATGATTGGCGAGGCGTTCCGCCAAGTGACATTGGTTGGGCGCCCACTACGAGATTGGCGGGGCGCCCAACCAATGTCACTCGGCTTTATGGAACGCGGAGAAGTGAGGCAGCCCCCCCCCCCCCGACCCCCACTTCCTCGCTACAGGCCTGAATGTGTGGGTGTATAAAAAAGTGATCGATTTTCACTGTTTCCGTTAAGTTTTACTGATGTCGTTCCATTTGCATGAGAAGATTTTTGCACCTATGAACACCAATCAATACCAAAATTATTACGATATAACATATTACCCTCCAGGACAGTTCTATATATTGACTTCCTCCCGATGAATGCATACCCACGTCAAACTCTCCAAGATGGTAGTAAAACTTCCTGTCCACAGCAAAACTGGTTCCTGTCATTATTATTCCTCTGTACAAAAGTTAAACCATTTTTAAAATGTGACAATGAATGCTCCCACCAGAAAAAAAGTTGTCCATGGAGTCCATGAACTAGCCCTAGACTAATATACCGGGTACATAATATTATGTTGATCAAGACCGGTTTAGGTATGGAAATTAAAGACCATATTGTTTACTTGCTATTCATAGACAAAATCATGCAAGTTTAAAATGTTTCTGTAACAACCCATATAAACCTTTCTATGTTAAATTTACAATTTCATATTTTCTAAGAAAGTCAAAACATAATTATTTATATGTCTTTTGCTCAATATATAGGTTGTCAACTCACTATTATACGATCATAGGTATCATTCTCACACTTAAAACTCGTTTACACCGGAAATAATAACACAATTACCTCCCAATTACCTCCCTTGTTTTCTATTCTCCACCATGGAGTAGCTATCTCAAACGTTTGAATTTGAAGATGAAAATGATATTTTTGCCAATTTCTCAACTGGCAATAGTGAATTATAGGATTAATAGGATTATTCTTTAACAAGGTAGGACTGTTTATAGATATCATCTATTTTAAGGCTTTATTTTAATAAATTTAAAAAATATAACTTAAAAAGGTGAAATTGCAACTTTAAGGAAAGACACCAGTCAAACTAAACATTGGTCTTCCTTATTTAACCAACACTCTAGATCTGTACCGTGAAACATTGAATATCGATATATCCGGCAAAATGAACATTTATTTGGGGGGGGGGGGTAACTGGGGGAGAAAAATGTATTTTCGGCGACAAAACAGTTTTTAGACGTCTCTTTCAGTTAATTTTAAATTTTAATTACATGTATAGAATGACCTTTTTGAAGTGATATAGTCTCTACTTACGGATATGGCTGGGTGATATCCTGCTCAGGTGTATCTTTCCTATATGGTATTATGAATGTAGATAGAGACCAATCAAAACCATATTGTTGCTGCGGGAAATCTTCTTGCCAACTGTATTCAAATGTAGTAGAATTTATGGTGTCTATTACACTCAAAGCCACAGTGTTTCGGTTCTGCTGTATTTCGTGTATAAGCGGTTCCAACCTAAATTTAAACAGGTATTATTACTTCCAACAACAAAATTAATCTACTTAATGTATATACGATCATGTTCCAACATCAATTATCGAAAAACCAAGTACTGGCCTTAGACAAGCATTTTGAAGACTTGGATGGAAACTTAAAACAAATTATGCATACAATTACAGTATAACCACATTCCTGTGTTCACAGATGAGTCTTTTTCAGAGCGAGCCAAGGTGCTTTAGTGAGTAAGGCGCGGGTTCGTTAACCTGGAGGTCCAGTGTTCGATACCGATGATGGCCGAGAAAGTTCCTCTTCATTTTCGGCATGGTTACCCTTTGCCAGTAGTGCAAGGCGGAGAATCTGGCAAGGAACGTCTAGTCCCTCGGGTGGGACGAAAACCTGAGGTCCAGTGTACCCCCTGCCGTGCACAAATAAGAACCCTTGACAGCTGGAATTAGAAAAGGCCGTACCACTGCTGCCCGAACAAAAGTTTCCTCATTAGACCGGATATGGGGCAGAAAAAAATAGGACGTTAAACCCCGTTTCATTTTCTTTGCAGGGGATCGAATTCAAAGAAAGGCCGATAAATACATACCGCATCTGCTTCGTAAAGTAGAACAAAAGGTGTTAGCAATGTGAACCTTATTGAAGCTAGGAAGTGATAAGAATATTATGCCTCGTTCACGACACCCATCTCGCCTAATAGTTAAATTGAACGGGAGCTTGGACTATCAGCGAAATTGTTCCTTCGGGAAAAAAAATATCTTGTTCATCTAATAATATCTAGACTTTCATAATAATATCAGTGTTCCCCCAAAACTGCATAACTTGTCAAATGGCACCTTACCATTGGTGGTTGACTTCTACACAACAATCTAAGAAGACTACGATGTCCGCTGTGGCATGCTGAAGACCAGTTTGTTTTGCTTGTAATATTCCCGCCCTGTCTTCTACTCTAATTAACTTGATTAATTCATTTGAAAACAGCTCCTCAATACATCTAGCTAAATCATACCTCATAAAATCTATATAGAATAGCAAATATTATAATAAAAGATGTTCAAACAGGTTGCGCGATTTGACATTCGTTAATATTTTTTTAAATTTAAAGCTAATTTGGGAGCAAGACATTCTTCTTTCCCGCCTATTGCCCCGTGTACCATCGTGTGATGACTGCTCCTAGTTTGACTCGGTGCAATTCGTCTTGTTACAAAATAAGTGGCCGCATTGTGGCAGCTTTATGTATTACTAGCAGGATACCCGGCTTCACTCGGGGGTCATAACTCCGAAACCGGAAGTGGTAGACTAACGCCACCTGGCCTATGTTACTCCCAGGTCCGAGCTACCCCAATACCCCAAATTTCAGACTCGGGGCAGGGCTAGTGTAGCCGCCAACCCCGAACAGACCGGCTTCGCTCGGGGATCATAACTCAGAAACCGGAAGGGGTAGACTAACGCCACCTGGCCTATGTTACTCCCCGGTCCGAGCTACCCCTATACCCTAAATTTCAGACTCGGGGCAGATGTAGCCGCCAAACCCGAACAGACAGACTTCGCTCGGGGGTCATAACTCCGAAACCGGAAGTGGTAGACTAACGCCACCTGGCCTATGTTTCTCCCCGGTCCGAGCTACCCCTATACCCCAAATTTCTAACTCGGGGCAGACCTAGTGTAGCCGCCAACCCCGAACAGACCGGCTTCGCTCGGGGGTCATAACTCCGAAACCGGAAGTGGTAGACTAATGCCACCTGGCCTATGTTACTCCCCGGTCCGAGCTACCCCTATACCCCAAATTTCAGACTCGGGGCAGACCTAGTGTAGCCGCCAACCCCGAACAGACAGACAGACAGACAGACAAACGACAGTCACAAATATATAGATAGATAGACTAGCAGGATATCCGGCTTCGCTCGGGGGTCATAACTCCGAAACCGGAAGTGGCCGGTCAGAGCTACCCCTATACCCCAAATTTCAGACTCGGGACAGACTTAGTGTAGCCGCCAACCCCGAACAGACAGACAGACAGACAGACAAACAGACAAACAGACAAACAGACAGACAAACGACAGTCACAAATATTAGTATATATAAGATAAGATATTGGCTATTTCTGGCAATGAATATAGTTGTTTGGTTATTCGAATGTTTTATGAAGTGACAATTATTAAATCAATGTAAGGATACTGTCCTTGGAAAGAAATGAAATGAAATGAAAATGGGGTTTAACGTCCTACTATTCTGCCCCGCCTGGGCTAATGAAGACGGGCATACCCCATACAGTGTGCTATGAGTGAAATTTTGCCCGGACAACGACGCTCCGACCTACTCTTATATCGAATTCCAACTGCCAAGAGATCTTTTACTTGCACGCCAATGTATACACGGGACCTCGGCTTTTCGTACCATCCGAACGACTAGACAACTGTCCTTGTCAGGCCCTCCGTTCTGCACCACTGACAAGAGGAAACCACGTCGGAAAATCCCGATGAACGTTCTCAGCCAATGCAGGGATCGAACACGCGACCCCCAGACAAGCGAGCCAACGTCTCCCCTGGCAAAGAAAGAACACACAAACTGTATGTAGACTTTATTTTAGAGCGTGGGGATTTTTTCAATATTTTTTTTTTTCTTTTAAGTGTTTTCAAAATTTTGTTTGAATTTACCTGAAGTACTGGCATCATCTATGATGATAATTTCTTTAATAAAATGAATCGTGGTCCTTGTAATAATACTATATATAGTACGGAGTAAAATTGATGGCCATTCATTATATACACCAATTATTATAGATACCGTTTCATTGCTCAAATCATAATCCTTTTCTTTACACCTGTAACAATAATGTAAATATTAAATCATCAAATTGTATTATGAAACAGATGTCCACCCCGATTTTATTGAAGCCAATCACGCCTTCGCACTGGGAGGGGGGGGGGGGGTAATTAACTGGTTAAAATGTCCACTCACGTCCGTCTTTAGGGGCTAGCACGGTATATATGTTTGTCAATAATTCTCTTGTACGTTGGGATCTTTGGAAGTTGAGGGTGAGGGGAGACCCACAATGTTAAGCATGTTACCTTGTCACGTACAACCCTTGGATCAAAAAAACTCAGACGGAAGATCATGACAGGCGCCGCTTTGGCCTATACGGTTTCGTTACATCAAACTAACTATCGATTAGCTCAAAACAGTGATGGGTTATAGTCATGGATGTCAAGGAGCCGAATATCATTGTCTTGTAAAAACCCTCGCTATTTACTCCACACCAGAAATGTTTTACACTGACAAAGGAAGATTAAAATTTATACAAAACCTTTCATGTCTGGAATCAGGAACATTTCTATTGACTGGGATAACATCACTTAATATTAAATCTTGTTCGACAAACCCACCAGTTGTCAACTCTGGCGTTTTTCCATTGCCATCAGTAATTTTAATGTTTTCTTTCCGATCAATTAAAAATGCCAAATCATTAATCCGGATTGGTTTAGAGCTGGAGAAGTAAGGGCATCTTATAATGGCCTGTTCCTTTTTTAAAAGGGTTACATAAAATATGAAAATCCCGAATACACTGGTCACTGCTATAGTCACATACCGTTCCCATAATTTCATTCTTGATATAAAAGTCCATATTCCATTCCAAATGCTAAAAACATGTAATGTGTACATATCCTGTTTGCATTGATATACAGTATATATATCATTCAAGTTACAATGCACAGAAACTGTTGCGAACAGACAAGACAGACAACGTTAATTCATGTTTAAAACTTGGAGTAAAGGAGAACGCTATAATAATGTTTTCGAGTTCTTGTGTACATGTGAAATCAAATTTGGATAAGGTTGGCTCTATGCGTTTAAGGGAGAAACTTTAAGCAAACATGAAAACTTCTTTGTTGAACACCTGACCCTCACGTGTGTTAGTCCGGCCACAAATATAGCTCAGTAAAATTTGTAGTATTTCGATAACATGTTTGCTTCCAAAGAGATAAACATTTCAAAATACCGAGCAACGTAAACCATTTTAACAGTTTCACGTATTCAGCTTCTAAAAAAGACAAAGTAAATCCCTAAACATCATTTAAATTATTATTATACGCCTACAATTTGTGAGGGTTGCGAGTATGTTGTCACCGGTTTGACTGCCAGTCTGTTAACAAAAGTACTCAGTACTATGAAATGAAATGAAATGAAATGGGGTTTAACGTCCTACTGTTTTGCTCCGAACTGGGCTAATGAAGACGGGCATACGCCATACAGTGTGCTATGAGGGAAATTTTGCCCGGACAGCGGCACTACGGCCTACTCTTATATCGAATTCCAACTGTCAAGGGATCTTTTACGTGCACGCCAATGTGTACACGGGACCTCGGTTTTTCGTCTCATCCGAATGACTAGACAGCTGTCCTTGTCAGGCCCTCCGTCCTGCATCACTGACAAGGGGAATACTCAGTACTAAGTACTCAGTACTATACGGATCGGATATTTTGATATTTTTAGAAATAAACCCCCAGGAATTGTTAAGCGGGTAGTTTAGAAAAATCTATCGAAATTCACAGTCTAGTGTTTGTTATTGCCTTATAAAACCTTATAGTTGTCTGATATAATCTTTGAATGGCATTTAGCGACTGAACATAATATAACACAACACAGTTCTATGGATAACAATCAGTATATTATATACACACGACGTTTCGACAAGAATTTTTCCTCATTTGTAATTTGTATGCTTCATAACGACCAGTGAATACTTGTCGAAACTTTGTGTGTATATAATATAGTGATTGTTATCCATAGAACTGTGTTGTGTTATAAACCTTATAGTTGTTAGATTCCGCGACTTTTCTTTCAGGAGTTATCCTATCCCCTTTGCCGAAAACGCTCTGAAGCATTTGGAAGAAGGGGACGAACCCAATCGATATTCTGCGAATTTCCGGTCCGGAGTTATCCCCCTTTGTCAAAAACCTTGTGAACGCGAAATAGGCTATACTCTTTAACGGATTTCTTTCGAATTTGATGGGAAGCATTGGGGTCATGAGAGAATTACCCTTATCGATATAAAGCGTTCTGCGGGGTTATCAAATTTGCTCAACATCCAAGTTCTCTTTCCGGATAATGCTAGGTTCCCACTATCATCATTTGTGCTACGACTGAAATCATGGTTTTAAACGCGGAGTAATCGTGGTGATCCTATCATATTGAGGTAAGTCGAAGGCATATTGTTGATCGTTGTCGAAACGTATCCGAACGTATCTGCACGTAGCAGATCGTGGACTGAATAGGGACAATCGCATCGTAACGCATCGCACGACAGTGGGAACCTAGCATGAGCTGCAGTCCACACATATTTCCACGCATTGCGAGGCTATCTTTTAACAACATATCGATTTATTCACATTATATTTACAATTTTTGCTGGCATTCTATTTTATTTGTTTATGACTGTTAATAAAATCCAATAAATACATTCAACAACATTAATTTGTATCCGTCGTGTATGCCCAAGCTCTGTACATCTGGCAAAATCGCCGAGGAATAATTCCAAGGACACATAAGCCGATCCCCGATAGATTTTAGCAAATGTTTTATTGACTTTAAAATCTAAAATAAACGTTTTTCATTTTGTTTTAAATTAAAAATGTAAAGAATTTAGTTTTAAGTTTTAATATCAAACTTTAAGATGAACAATTGGGTCCGCTCCAACCTTGAAAACATCTGCATATATAAGCGTCTGAAAACTCGTTTTTCTGCTGTTCTTCGTTTATTGAATTCATATTACGTCTACATTCGTCATCTGTCCCATTTTCCTTAAGGTTAAGTTGTGCTAACGCCTCGTAGTCCTTTCGGACACACCTTCCATTACTATTGCAGTTTTTCTGACTGCACTGTTCAAAAAACGTTTCGGTTGATTTTACGTATGGACCAAGTACGTCTTTAATATACTTCTGCATGTTTAGGCACTCATCGTGCAAATGGAACATAGCACTGCTTCCCCAAAACACGACCCCAGCCGCTCCCATATCAGCCGGTTCCCTAATAGCAAGATCAAGATCGCTCTGAAAATAAAAAAGAAAGGGGATTTCAAAATTAACTAATATACATATTACAGTCCTAACAGAAAAGGTTATTTTATTTAAAAAGCATACTGGTTCAAAGCAAGCTATAATCACTAAAACGTTACAATGGTTTCTATTGATTTCACACCGCCATCTTTATGTGTTTTCGACAAATAAATTAATAGCAATTCTACCTTTTTCTTTATAAACCAGTCCACGCATTTTTCATAAAAAATAATATTCGGGTGTGCTTAATAAGAGTCTTTACATTAAAACAGTACATCTTTTGGGATTTCATGTAACAATCTGGATTGCTGTGCCTTTAAATTAGAAAGTTTTAAAGAGATGGACATATCGCAACTGGGGACATTAACGCTATTGTTGCCTTTGTATAAACCAACACACCAAATACGGCTAACATTTAAACCACCAAAGAGTCTGTTTTCCGGCCGAACAGTATATTTCCTGACATTTTAAAGGGGCTAAACCAGTTTGACATAAGTCAAAATACAAGTAAAGAATTAGGTTGATCTGGTGTGTTATCTTGGAATTGTTTAGTCATGTCAAAAATCAAAGTCAAATCGATATGCGCAATTGTCCAAGGAACAAGCATGTCAAGCTTCTTGTCGATTTTACTTGAATTGGCGGAACCTTATGCGTTTGTCGAAGAGCGTCGCCACCAATAGCGACAACAACAAGATGAGTTTATAGCGCTTGAACTAGTCCCAGTAAAAAATATGTTACAATGTCTACCACTGTTTATTATTACAATAATGATAAGCTTCATGTCTGGTGCAGTCAACAGTCTGGGCCCTGTTTCTCGAAATCTTAACTAAAGATAAAATCCAAATTTTAGTAGATACTTCAATTTTGATTAGCTAGGCACTAAAATCAATCTAATATTATTCAATTAAATTACTAAAATTTGGATTTTTATCTTAGTTAAAATTTCGTGAAACAGGCGTCTGGCTGCGATTGATTCGTTCAGATTTCACGTAATATAGATAATATGAATACCTGATCAAAGAAATGATTTCCACTCTGGAATATGGCGTACGGTAGAATAGGTGTATTTAGTCCAGAAAATTTGGCCTGTACTCTTGCTGTTTCATTTAGGATTCGTCGTATGGCGTTATGTACGCTTGTATGATTAACCGCCGGGTTGAAGTATATCCTAGGATACAGACCACTACTGCCAGTAAATAACCATCCCAAACTAAAATTAATTTTTCATAAATTTATAAGTTGGAAATTCTACTCGTAAAACAAATAGTTATACTCATAAGACAAATATTTATGTTAAGCATCTCAAATCATGCGGTTTCATTTACCTCTCTCGATATATTACTGGACGGCACCAGACCTGTCCTAGTATGATATTATACTCTAAGAATCCAATGTACTGTTAATGTAGAAATATTGTCATTGCGACATTGTTTTCAAATTTATAGACAAGGAATAGAGAAACATGGTGGCATTATATTGTATTAATTAATGTCATTAGCAAGTTGTGGGATTCAAACATATGTACTTAAATCAAATTAGTGAATGAATGACAGATTGTTATATATAAAAAAGTTATAATTTGGTAAACATTAGCTGGTTCCGTGGGAATGAGAAGTAAATACATAACGTGAAGTGGAAGCAAAGACGACAAGTGAAAATACTAGACGATCACAAGGCTAAGATATGTAGTAAGAAAAGATGCATGGGTCATACGCCGAAGGTGGCGACCGGTTTTAGCATGTCCTCCGCTCTCCACGTCTGACAGAAGACCCATGGTGCTACATTAAGACATAGCTCTTACTCGTCATTAATTCGTGTAGTAACAGCAGCAGGACAGACTATTTCAGCAGCTGTAGGAACTCCCCAACAACGGGGATAACCATAATAACCAAAATATCCCGATGGACGTAGTTGTCTAACCTTATCTAAAGTACCCAGCATGAATTCCCTGAAAACAAAACAAGGTTAGAATCTGTTATGGTCCGTAGCTATATAAACAGTGCAAAAAAATTAAAGCAACTTGCCCTTCTCGTGGCCATTTATACAGTAAATATTTTGTTAATGATTTCATTGAGATACCTTCCAAATTGGATTTGAATTTTTAAGGGTTCGGTTGCGATCCCCGCGGCCCCTCTTCCTTACCTTGTTCCGCGCTTGCCTTTCCAGTGAGGCTTGATTTTCGATACCATTTTTATTTTTAAATTATATGTTAGTAAGCTTTATTTTAAGAACAAAATGAATATTTTTATAAATCAATGCCAATATTAAATTGTGTTTATTTTAAGAGAAGACATACTCACTTGGCCCCCGTTTCAAATTGTTTGATTGCTTCTGCAAAAATTTGAGTATTATTTGTCCATGTTGGATGTTGTTGTTTAACTAAGTTGATTGATTTGGCTTGATAAATTCTTAATCCGGAATAATCTGTTTCCCATTTCGGACGCCATGATTCGAAGTCAAGAACGCCAGCTCCAGTAAATCCTACGTCTGGTATTGAGCGTGCGGTGTCAGTTACAACTTTAGCTAAATGTGAAGCCAAATCTCCTTGCTTAAATGGAAGAAAGCAAATCATTCAGTCATGTTCTGGTAGATAATTAATTTTTTTTTTAGAAATTCAGTTACTTGAAATGTATTTTACATTGATATAAATAATATAGTGGTTTTGGTTTTGTCCGATGTCATTCTTGAGCTTTGACTTGGTACCAGGTTTCCCTTATTCGTGGGGGAATTACCAATTGCTACCGGTTTGTTCATTGCCTGTTCGTATGTTAATCCCCTCAAGAATGCGTAACAACTGTTATTATTCTTTTCAACCTTAAACTGATACTGCATCTGTTGTATGTGTATTTTTCTTTATTAGTTATTGTTATTGGGCATATTCGGAGTACAGAGTTACATAATATTACTTGTATCGATATCAAAAATAAAGGAGCTATGCCTCTGATTTAGGTCAAAAATAATTTGGCTTACTGTGGTGTGCCATTTAGATTAGTGATGGAGCAACCTTTACATCAGTGATTCTCAACCAGTGTGCCACGAGATTTCCTAAGAAAATGCGAAAAACCATGTGATCCCAATTGAGTATTCACTGGTGTCTACTCGCAAGTTCATAGCTGTGATTTTCTTTATTTAGTTTAAGTCATTCTATATGTCTATGACTAATCTGTGTCTAGAGTGTCTACAGTTGTCTATGACTTGCCATAAAATTCAAATATTTTTCATATATATTTAGCAAGGTGTGTCGCTATCTTTTCATGTGTTCCAAGGTGTGCCGTTGGCAAAAAAGGTTGAGAACCACTGCTTTATGATTAAATACTTGTTTGGAAAGATTAAGCAAAATTGGACTTGTTCACAAAATAAGGGACCTTAAAATGACTAGATCACTTTGATTCCGATCAAAAATAAAATCGTCCATTTCATTAGAATTTACATGTTTGTTTTGAGGGATGACAATCTGTCTTCGGTGAAAATTTACGTTATTTTTGATCGGAATCAAACTTATCTAGTCATTTTAAGGTGCAATATTTTGTAACTAAAAGGTATCGAGTCAGTTACAATCGGGGTGTTCCCACTTAGCCGGCAGGCTTTGATGTCAAATTTTGCCGCTACTCCAGAGTTAATCCTAGAACAATGGTGTTATAAACTATAGTCCATATCTTTTTTAAGACTAAAACTGTATTGATTTTAACAAATTTAACTTTTATTAAATAACCTTAAATAGCTTACACATATAAAAATATATTGATTTTAACAAATTTTTATTAAATAACATTAAATGATTTACACATATAAAAATGCATTACAATTTACACATTTAACTTTTATTAAATAGCATTATATAATTTATAAATAAATGCCTTACAACATAACAATCATTTTACAGCCCCACTAAATAGGAAATATTTTTTCCATACCGATTTACACTTAAAAATTAAAATTAAATGGTATTAAACGTCTTACTTAATTTTATTAAGAGGGATTAAGAGCTCATTAACGCTGAACACTAGTGAACAGTTCTTGAGTGACTACTTTTAAACAGACTATAGTTTTAAGATCAATCTGCCGGCTAAGTGGGAACACACCGTTACAATCAATCCTATTGGGTTTATTTGTTTGTAAATAATTAGTGGTTCTATTGTTTTTGATCAGAAATAAAAATTCAATCAGTTTGTATATAAATATATATCAGAGTCGGACGTAAAATATAGAATCTACTAAGGACCATTGTTTGCCGAACTTATACTTACTTGTGGAACACCACCATTTACCAAACTTCCATCTTTATTTATTCGAGGAAAAATTCCAATGTTATAAAATATAACATTTTCCTTTCCAAAAAACTGATCACCGGGATTCGCCGTTATTCCAAAATCTGAAAAATCAAAATGGATGCCCCGTTTATCACAACCAATCGAGGGCACGTTCCAGACAACAACGAACGGTTTTGTTGGAACAAGTCTTGGTCCAGTACACCCTTTTGGTTGACGCTTTGTTTGGTTTTCTTTTTTATTGAACTCTTCTTTCGTTTTCAAATGTAAATTCTGACGTTTCCTTTTCAAATTGATTCTAAAGTTTTCCCGTTCATTATTTTTTCTCAAAAGGCTGTTTCTCCGATCAAAATGATGCTTATGTTTTCTCCTGGCGAAAGAAGATAACCCAGTAATTCCAGTGTTTAAATCCGTTGACTCGTTGTCAGGATATACAAGATCTCTCCTCTGTCCGGCATGGTTCTGGATTTCAATATTAACAGCAGTCTCATATGTTTCAAGTTTTATGACATCGCGAGAAGATGGCTCCTTGTTTGTCTGAACGTGTATTAGTCCTATATAAAAACAAATCAAACAAAACTTTGCCTTAACCATACCGACGTCTATCAACAAATAAACAATATTTATGACTATATAAATCGGCTACCCCCTGGATGAATATATTCCTAAACCCTTAATCACATTTGTTTATATATGGTTCACCCATTACTTTATCTCAGCTTACGTTTGATATAATTTAATAAGATAGTTTATCTATAATGTAATGAAGATAACATTGATAATAGCGTGGTTAGCTGCTGCAATCTAGCCATATATTTCTCTTTACCTGTTTATAGAGCTTGCGTAAAGTAAAAAAATATAAATATATCACTTCGCATTTCTTTTTTAAAAAAATGAATGATAGACACTATTGACATTAATAGTAAGTCCAAGAGGACCGCACTGCACGTAAAACAAAAATCTACAAGATAAACCTGCGGACAAGACAGAAAATAGACATTGCACCAAATAAACAAATATCAAATCAATATATTAATGGAATGTTAAATTTAAACAAGTATTCGTCGATTATGTCAATGGTTTTAAAAACATATTTTTAGGACTGACAGACAAAATACCGAATTTTACGGGCGCTCGACCTAACAAAAATCTGCACGTATACAGACAAAAACAGCATACAAAACAGGTCTCATAAGTTTATGGAACTTGTAGCATTAATAATTGCAGGATTGCTAAGGCCAGTAATCTCGAGCTACGAGAACGTAGCTAAAATAACCTATACTGATCATGATGTGTTTGTTTTTAGATACGATTGGATGCCTTTAGTTTTACCTGGCAAACTTAACATCTTAAAAATAATTAATTTTATACTGGTAGGAATAATTAAACATTCCCAGTCCAATGTACTATATTAATGTAGTGAAACAACTTTCGTTATCTACAATTATTAGTAAACTTAATCAAGTGGTGTTTTAACAAAATTGATACGGCCATTCATAATTACAAGGTTCTCTACTTGCAATTTTAAATAGTCTAAGTAGCGTATTTAAAATGAAATTAAAATGAATGAAAATTTTCTATTAATTCATATTGCGTCACCTCAGAATTAAAGTGTTCTATCTCCACTTTTAGGAGAAATGGAGTTATTATAACCAGTAATTAAAATAACTTCAATATTTTACAGAAAACAAATTACCAGCACATATTTTAAAGAATTATAGGAGTAAATCACATAATTTTATTGTCCTATCTCATTAATGAAAGCAAAATTTAGAGTTATAATGTTCTATGTCCGATATCCAATGACACTGCCCAATAACAGTCACGTGATCATTTTCCAAAATGGTGTCTGCTAGGCTTAACCTGTCTAAGGTCATTTTAAAGGATGATGAAGGATGATGAAGAAGATGATGTTATGAACAAGAAAGAGTGAGTACATTTGAAAACTACAAACTATATCACTAAAATTGTAAAGGTAGAAACAATTAAAACATTAAAATATACCAAAAACACTCTGATTAGTGTAGCCTTGGAGATAGAACAATCTAAATCTAATTTCATCTTATTTTCAATTTGGCGCGTAGACATAGGCTTTTAATTCTTCTCTCATTTGTCATTCATTGTTGTATGTCAAATTTTATACTTTGTTTCATTTTAGGTCTGATATTGTTAGATTTATTCCTAGTGGAATTCAGCTTACACCCAATTAAGGGTATTGTCTGATAGTTCATCTGATACAAATTCGGACATTGATGATGAGGTAGCTGACCCAACCTTTGAAGTTAATGCTGTTGCAGAAACAGACCTGGAAACGTCTGTAAATGAAGACAAAATATGCCTTTCCTTCATTTTGTTATCTAAGTTCATATAGGCACGGATATATTTAGTTCCGAAACTAAAATCAATGTAAAAGAAATGAAATGAAATGGGAGTTTAAAGTCCTACTTTTCTGCACATGAATGGGTTAATATTACTGATAAATGTAACACTATCTTAGTATAACAGAGATCAGTTTCGTAAATATATGGTTTATTTACATAGGAACAGAATACAACATTAATACATCAATACTACAGAAACTAGACTATACTGGAACTAAACTACACCGTAGCACATATAACTATATTAAATCCACCATTCTGCCCCTCTGCCAAGGCAGCGGCTGAACGCGGGTGAGTCCATGCACTCGTCCAAGCCTCTCTTCTCCGCCCGTCTGTGGTCCTCTTTAGTTGACTGCCTAATTGTCAGTAAACTCCTCAATATATACCCTCGGACGATAGATAAGACACATGGTCAACCATACAATTGTCTCTTTTGTCTAGTCACGGCATGCTTACTGACCAGTGCACATTCCTTTGAAGTAAAGCGGAACGTGTGCACAGATCATATGTAGCTTGTAAAGGACATATTGAATTAATTACATGTTTAATTACAACACAGACAATCGTGACTTAAGAACATTGCATACAGAGTTAAAAGGTCAATGTTATATATACTCTTCAAGAAAGGTAGGGGATATTGGAATGCAAATACATATGCAGGTTGTGATATGATAAATAGTCATGGACATTTGACTGACATGCTTTAAGAGTATGTTCACAGATGAAGAACTTATCGCCCAAACAGAACCACTGAGTTGCATTGTCAAATGTGACACTTAAGGAAGGGTTGATGAAAACTGCCGCGTTCTGGTTTATCTATCCATGTTTGCTTTCCTATCGGTTCTTGCATAAGATTTACTGTTTAGCGTATCTTTGCTTTAGTGTGTTACGTTTAATTTGATCGGGAGACTTGTTCGTCGACATAAACGTCAACTGACAACACTGCAACATCCTTACAATGTTTTATATAAAACAAGTCACACGGAAAACTTTCTTGAAGTAAGAATAGTTGATCGTAGATCCGAGAGAAATATTAATCCAAATCTATTGAGCCCTTTGCCAAAAATCAAAAGTATTCCGATATCAAGTGGATCTTTACTTAATCAGGATAAAATTAAAAACCTCTCTGCAATGTAAAAATTTATGCCTGCTGTAGATCGACAGTATGTTAAGGCTATTTGTAGATTATAAATAAGTAGGGTCGCCTGTGCAACATCGTGGGGTTTCTCCGGGTCCTCCGGTTTCCATGTGTTAGTCCCGAAATGACCTAGTTTGTGTCGAGTGGACATTAAACCCCATTTCTCTCTCTCTAGATTATGAATATTTCGAGATGTAAATATGTTATCAATAATAAAGACTTTGTTGTTGGTGTTACTTCATCTTGTATAACCTGTTCATGGTATTTCAATATTATTATCACAAATTAACTTTATTATCTTGGAAACAAAAAGACAGGAGCGAGTTGTTTTGACAACTTTAGTAATAAAGGGTAATTAAGTGCTTGTATTTATATGACACAGATAGTCATTGACATCAGGGTTTTGACAAATTCCCTTTCAAAATTGAGGGGGTGTGGCGGTCGAGTGGTCTAACACATGTGCTTTACATCATAAGGTCTGGCATTGAGTCAAGTGACTCAAGCTTTTATGAGACAAGGAGTAGTGTCCCCTGCCCAACCTCTTGGGTTTTCTCCGGGTCATCATGTTCCGACACACTGATAAAGACCCTACGTGCAAGTGAATTATTAAAATAAAAGTGTATCATATGTTAGTCCCGAAATGGCATAGTTTGTTTTGTGTGGACGCTAAGTTCTCTCTCTATAACTTGAAAAGGTTAGAACTATAAGTTGTGCTTATTTTCATATTGTTTGGCCAAATCTGCCAATATGGGCATGTTACCATGCTCAGAAAGACTATCTTATAGGATAATATTTGTTTCAACATTGTCAGGTTCATGAATGTAGTTTAATTATACGGGTATGCGTTATGAAAGCACACACGATTCTATTCCAGTGTTAAATGTAAAATTCCCCTTGGACATAGAACAATTTTTCTCATCTGAACTAACTCTTTGTTAAAATTTCAAAATTTTTTTGTTCTATCTCCACTTTACCAAAAATTGAATGTGGCCCCTTTTTTTTAAAAAAAAGATGATGGATTCAAATTACATCATAACAATCGTTTTGTTAGTATTGTCTGTCATTAAGCAAAATTTGACATAAATACGCATTTAAATTTCTCGGCATTGAAACACAACATTTTCAATCGCATTTTTCTCAAAACTTGAAAAAATGGACATAGAACAATATAACTCTTGGGTGACGATTTGTTTCATATGGTACAAATTTATATCCATTAAGCTAGGGTTTAATCATGCTTGTTAATTCGTGGTTTCTCTTATTATTGTTGAATATAATAATGTACCTATGTATAACTCTTTCGCATTTTTCCCCCATTTTTAAATTTGTATGTTTGATAACGACCAGTGAAATCTTGTCTAACGTCTTAATAAAATAAATCGTCCTGCTTTCCTTAGTTATGGCTCTTCCTTAGAGCTCTTATCAAAGAAGGAAGAAATGTGGACAAGCAATAGCCCCTTTCTTCCAGACCAATTGCTAAAATCGACTCAATCAAGAATCCACACAAAGACTGGATATTGGAGTAGAAAATCATGGCTGACTTTGCCGATCTCGTCTTACAAGCCGTTAATAAAAACGGCAAAGTTGACACTTTAGAGCTTTCAGAACTGCAAGAAGTTGATCATCAGAAGTTTGTTGGCGCGGTGAAGAGTCTACAATCATTAGGAAATGTAAGTTGATCTAATTTACCATATTATTAAATTTAAACACGCCCGACATCTGGTAAAACAAAACCAACGTGTTACTAAATATTGATGGCGACTGCTACTTTCAATTTTCTGATGAAATTTTTACCATTGGATAGAAATTTTGTTTAACTGGTATATATTTAATGTAACTTTACTAAACAGTTTTGTTAATAACATTTCAATTTTTTTATGGTATCATCATTAAATACTAGGTCTAGAGTCTCTAGAGGTCTTGATCAAATGACTTTTTAATTTTTAATATGTGATGATAGTGATACTGTTTCAAATTCAGTCACTGTTTCAATAGTTTCATATTCATAAAGGCATACACATATATTCTAAAATGAATATACCTCTTTGTTTTAGATCAAAAATAAAATTGGGTATTTCTTTGGATTGTACGTGGTGATTTGTTTTGTGGGATGACAATCTTTCATTCATTTTGGTCTTTGGCATTTGGATAGCCAGTGTTATCCAAAAGTTTAACTAAAATTAGTAATCAACCCCACTTCTGCTTACCGGATAATCTTTAAAATCTTTCAAGCAAACTTTCTCCAATACTATACGAAGTAAAACATCAGATCAAACCCATTAAGTAATTTATTTTGTTGATTACAGAACCAGTGTTTACAACTATGACTTTTTAATAACATTTTGCTAATTTACTTCTGTATTTTTCAGATTATTAATGTTGAACAGAAACAATTAAAACGATTCAAGTTGACAGAAGAGGGTCATTCTGTTGCTGAAAATGGAAGCCATGAAGCTCGTGTTTATTCAAATGTTCCACCAGAAGGAATTACTCAAGCTGAAATTATGGTACAGAAATAAGATCTTTTATTCTCTATTTTTAATATCTTTTAGAAAGACTATATGGCTTATTTCTTCTCATAATGATATTGTTTTAATATGTAAGAAATAATTATTTATTGTATGTACATGTATCCTAATCTTTTTTGAAATTTCTTAAAATAATATTTTCCAGAAAATAGTTCCAAATGCCAAGGTTGGATTCAGTAAGGCAATGTCTGCTGGGTGGATAAAAGTAGACAAACAAGCCGACGGTGGACCTAAAGTTTTTAGAAAAGTATAAATTTATTATTTTAGCATTATGGGAAAAATCTAAAAATTATTTCGGTGATCTGCAGTATGTTAGTGAACATAGCAGAATATCGGATAATACAATAAAATGATACCTGAATTTTTCTATAGATTCAAATGTGGTTTAACATTATTATGTTTAAATTGTACTTAGATCTAAATATTTTAGCAGTTTTTCTGAATTTGTTCAGGAAGAAAGCAAGATGCATTAAGTAGAATATAATTGTAAACCAATAAACGATTTGAGGTCATATCATCTAACTGTGGTCGTTACATGTTATAACGATTCTCGTAGGTTGAAACAATAGAAGATAAGGTGGAGAAATGCATGCAGCAGATAAAGAAAATGAATTTAGAAAATATAGCTGACTCACAAATAGCTGAATTTAAGAAAAGAAAACTAGTCAGCGAAGAGTGAGTGAATTTTTTGATTAAGTACTAGTATTCATACAAATAAAGTAAGTCAGTAAATTTTATCAGATTATTTTATTAACCGGTAGAAATGGTGTGCTGTTTGATTTGCATGAGAGAGCCCTTTCAGCATTCTTCATTGTGATTTCCACTATTGTAGCGATATTGCTTTTTGTTTCACGTATATTTTGTATTTGATTACCTCAGTTAGTATTTAGTATGTGTGGTGTTTGTAAGTCTGAGGTTAATGTTCTGTTATCATAAGTATAAATGTAAACAAATATCTGAGACTACTTGATTAATTACAGAAAGGTTACCAGTTATATTGTTACAAAAGGAGAAGATTTTACACTAAATGTTTCGAAACCAGAAGTTGATCTGACAGCAGAAATGATTGCCAGGTTAGTAGTATGATGATATATATCGAGTATCTGTATACCCTAATTTGTCACATGCTACAGGAATCATCTGTTAGGATGTATTCTATGTGGTAGGTTCACATGCATAAAATTAACAATTTTGGATTCCCTTAGTTTAGCATATAGTGCCAATTCTCGAATGTTGTTAAAGACAAATCAAGTATAATTCCAGAGTAGTAAAGAACACGAAAATACAGACTAGCCCCAATAAACATTCGGGAATTTGGATTTTGTTTATTTACTTGACCAATGAATCATATAGAAACCTTTGAATATGAATGTTATCAAATTTTTCAGCGGTTCATGGAAGACAAAGAATTTCAAACCATATAACTTTGATGCTCTAGGCGTTCCACCACAGGGTGGTTATCTACATCCATTACTCAAGGTTCGAACTCAGTTCAGACAAATATTCTTAGAGATGGGGTAAGTTCACATACCATCTTCTTTACAATTACAGCATCACAGAATTTGATCTGTTTTCTGTGATTATGAATGACCTTAAATGTTTGATATCAAGGAAAGTGCTATGCTAAATAATATTAAAAAATTCATTCACATAACCAATATTTTTTAGTCTTTTCAATTGTAATTTCTAGGTTCTCTGAGATGCCCACCAATAGTTTTATAGAAAGCAGTTTCTGGAATTTTGATGCACTATTTCAACCACAGAAACATCCTGCAAGAGATGCACATGATACTTTCTTTGTCTCAGGTAACAGTTTTAATAAAACAAAATTAAATTAACAATTGTTGCAAATAAATTCTTTATTGATGAAGTTTCTTATGAATAATTAAACAGGCATTATGCAAGAGCTAAATCTGCTAATTGCAGGTCTTTCTGTAGGCCTTAAATGTCATATAAACTATTAATTATGCAATTATTAACATGACAAGACCATAATCAACTCTCGATGACTTCTGATGGGTCCGATTTTCAACAGAATCGAATTCAATCTGCGGTTCAATGGCAGTTGATTATTAATAGTAAAAATGGATAGTGTAGGCTTTGTTCATTATTGTAACAACGGCATATTCCCTTTACATTATCTATTTTTTTTAACTATTATAGTGAGAAGTGTCAGCTCTTTATCTAATCTTCCATAATGCCACTTTAACTTTTATTAAGAAATATCTTGTCTTGATTTATAGATCCCAAATCTGCCTCAGGTTTCCCCATGGAATATTTAGAAAAGGTTAAAAAAGTTCACTCAGAAGGAGGATATGGTTCTCAAGGGTGAGTAGATGATGGAGTTTGGGTTTGACAAAACTATGATATCACTGTTTACATTTTCAGTGCATGGATTTTTTTAGGAACATATGTAATGCAATGGCAAAGATAGGCTGCCAGGCAACGAAACTACACCCACAGTGGCTAAATCGTCCGAGCGGTCGACAAGGGTTGTCGCATATTTATTCCTTTGTAGGTAATTGGGGGCCTTTACAAGACAGTTCCATACAGATCAGATTATAATTTTTGCCGTTTGAAGGTTCACAAGGTTCTACAAATTGAAACAAGGGTCTCAACTCTGGAAGTAATGTACAGAAATTGTTGAAATTTGACAGGCTTTTTCGTTTCACAAATTTAAATGATGCATATAAATTTCATACATATCGGATGATAACTTTCATCAATCGAGCATTAACAAGGTTGAACAAAGTTAAACAAGGCCAATAACTCTAAAAGTAATAAACGGAAATTGCTGAAATTTAATAGGATTCTTCTCTTTACTAATTTAAAAGATAACTTTTGATGTTAGAGCATTCACAAAGTTCAATAAAGTGAAACAAGGGCCATAACTCTAGACGTAATAAACAGAAATTGCTGAAATTCAATAAGCTTCTTCGTTTCACTTATTTAAATAATGCATATAAATTTCAGAAAGGTCGGATGATAACTTTTGGTGTTAGAGCGTTCACAAGGTTCAATAAAGTGAAACAAGGGCCATAACTCTAGACGTAATACACAGAAATTGCTGAAATTCAATAGGCTTCTTCGTTTCACTAATTTAAATAATGCATATAAATTTCAGAAAGATAGGATGATAATTTTTGGGGTTAGAGCATTCACAAGGTTAAACAAAGTGCAACAAGGGCCATAACTCTAAAAGTAATAAACCGAAATTATTGAAATTAAATAGGCTTCTTCGTTTCACTAATTTAAATAATGCATATAAATTTCAGAAAGATAGGATGATAAATTTTGGGGTTAAGAGCGTTCACAAGGTTAAACAAAGTGAAACAAGGGCCATAACTCTAGAAGTAATGAACGGAAATTGCTGAAATTCAATAGGCTTCTTCGTTTCCCTAATTTAAATATTGCATATAAATTTCACAAAGATCGGATGTTAAGTTTTGGCATTAGAGCGTTCACAAGGTTCAACAAAGCGAAACAAGGGCCATAACTCTAGACGTTATAAACGGAAATTATTGAAATTAAATAGGCTTCTTCATCTCACTAATGTAAACAACATATATCAATTTTAAAACAATTTGGCGTTAGAGCGTTCACAAGAAATTGTGGACGACGGACGTACGGACGGGGGCGACGGCAATATACGTCCACATTTCTATGTGGGCTTATTAAAATGAAGAGCATTTTATCTCTAGAATAAGTTATTGTATTTTAATTTGATCTTTTAGATATCGATGTGAATGGGGTATAGAAGAAGCTGAGAAGAATATTTTAAGAACTCATCTAACAGCATGTAGTGCTAGAATGTTGTATAAATTAGCTCAACAAGTAAGTCACTTAAAACTACAAAGTAGTAATTCAGTAAATTTAAAGTATTATTTTCTTAGAGAGAAAAATGAAATAAAATATACGGAATTTGATTAATTTAATATTCAATTAAGACAACAAAATCCAAATATCAACAGTAAATAAGTTCCCAGCTTTAATTTAGTTAGATTTATAAGAGGTTTGTTAAAAGATTTTATCAAACATTATAGGTGGCGCTCTCTTTTATATCGTCTGATGATACCAAATTTCAAGTCATCATATCTTTGTAAATGCTGAATGGAATTTAACCATTTTAGCAGATTAAATATCTCTTCAATGACGATCATACTTTGAATTTAAACTCTTAATTTTTTGATTTCAGAAACCATTCAAACCAGCAAAATACTTTGCCATTGACAGAGTGTTCAGAAATGAAACATTAGATTCCACTCATTTAGCAGAATTTCATCAAATAGAAGGCCTCGTAGCTGATAGGAATTTAACCTTGGGTGATTTAATGGGAATAATCAATGAATTCTTCCAAAAATTAGGTTAGTATTTTAAAAATCTGTGCAATTTCACAATAAAATATTTTAGCTAATATTGCTATCCCTATACGACTTTAGGCAAAGAAAAGCGACAAAGTTTTATATCAAAGCAATTCGTAACAAGTGGTTGCCCATGCAAGATATGGACAGACAACTAGCTAAAATAAAGTGGTTTTACGTACAATCAGGGGCCTTAATCCAGGAAGTCATGATTCGATATGCATATTACGTGCCAGTATTGAAAGGAACCCAGTTTGGGCAGTTTCGGTCCAATTTTCACAAAATTCAAACTCATCCATCTCTAGAGTGTAGTAGTGATATTTTTATACGGTTTTTATACGCCCACATTTTCATGTGGACGTATTGTGCTGTCGCCCCTGTCCGTCTGTCCACAATTGTTTGTGGACTCTCTACAGGTCACAATTCTTATCCGATTTCGACGAAACTTGAAATATAGGTTTATCCCCAAAAGATCTCGGCTGCTTTCGATATTGGCATGTATCGGATCGAAACTTCAAGGATTATGGCCCCTGTTTGTACGAAAAATCACGTTGAAACTTGAAATGTAAGTTTATAACCCAAAGATCTCAGTTCCTTTCGATATTTGCGCATATCGGACAGTAACTTCCTGAATTATGGCCCCTGATTGTACGAAAAATCACGTTTTTAGCTTTTGGACCCTATAGAAGTCATAATTTTTATCCGATTTAAAAAAACGTTCTATTATATATCCGTTACACCCTAAGGATGACTGAGTTCAAATTTCGTGAAAATCGGCCCAAAATTGACAGACAAAATGGCGTAAGAATATGGTATATCAAGGTTGTGGACCCTATAGGGGTCACAATTTTTATCCGATATTGATGAAACTTGAAATGTAATTTTATAACCCAAAGATCTCGGTTCCTTTCGATATTCGTGCATATCGGACCGTAACTTCCTGAATTATGGCCCCTGATTGTACGAAAAATAACTTTTTTAGCTTGTGGACCCTATAGAAGTCATAATTTTTATCCAATTTAAAAAAACGTTCTATTATATCACCGTTACACCCTAAGGATGACTGAGTTCAAATTTCGTGAAAATCGGCCCATAATTGACAGACATAATGGCCGCCATTCGTTCCCAAATAGCGTAAGAATATTGAAATGGCCTGGGCCATTCTTGTTGTTTATGTTTCACTCGTTCGCTTGTTGACGTTCGTGAGCCTTTATTCTAATTATAGTAACATAGGGATGTCTTTCGTTTCTTTATGATAACGTATGTTGTCGGTGATTATTTACAGTGATTGTAATGATAAATTTTATAGAAACTATGATTAGCATAAGTAATATTAATTGTTGAGTGATGTAAGCTATTAATCGTGTTTAATGCCATCATGTGTTGTCTAAATTTATAGTTAGTTTATACCTATAACGAGTGAAGATGGTCCTAGTATTTGGGTCCGCTGAACGACACGTCGTTTACTACATGGATTTTGATGCGTATCGTCGTTTCAATAACATTAAATGTGTCAATTAAATCTCAGTAATCTACCTTACCTTCATATTATGTTCACTATTATATCCATGAACTGCTATAATCCTGATTCATAGAGTAAATCCTTTTAACTTCCTCTCGATTTCTACGAGGGTCTGGGAAGCCGCCATTTTCGAAAACGGTTGTTAGAGCGAGGTCGATGACGGGGACACAAATACTTCTTATTTCTAGTTATTACCAATAATAAATAAATGTCTAAGAGATGATCGCTAATAAAGTGATACTTATAAAGGGTTGTTAGATTATCGTATCTAGGTTCAATTAAGTCTATTGTGCTTAGATTAAACATTATGCTCGGTTCAAGCAAGGCCTTGCTTGACTTGTTTGTGTAGAACTAGGAAATTCATACGCCGTGATCAACTTGGCAACAGGGATTGTGCTAATATTTTCGGGGCTAATCATATAATTATCCGTTAATTTACCTTTTCATCTTCATCGAAATTGGATGGAGTATGTTATTCCTCGCATAATTTGTAACGGTTGTATATAGCGATATTGAGTTCTACCTTGTTAAAATTAGTCTTTTGTATTTGAGGCGTAATGTTCGGTCATGGTAACGTCGTGGGACGTAATCGAGACGTAATCAAGGACCCATTGTTATTACATTAATTTTATTATTATTCTGTACATCAATTAGTATTCTAAGAGTTGTTTATTAGTCAGATTAGCTATATATTTGTATTGCCAACTTATTGCCTCCTCAAAGAATAGTTGTTTATTGATAATAATTACATTTCAGGTACCAGTATTGTAAAGTAGATCCTTCCTAGGCAAAATACGTCCCCTTTTTACGTGATTTGATTGGTCGAGACAGTCACGTGACACCTAAAGCGAAGGTATATAAGGCCCGCAGGCTTTCCATTGTCACTCACTCATTGGCGCTTGCCTGGTAAGAGTCAATAGCACTAACTCCTCCCTCCCCAATTCTTAGAACCTCGTCTTAAAGGGCACATTCCATGAATATTTTTCAAGTAAAGTAAATTTTCCCAAGTTACATGTAAAGTAAATCACAAATATATTTTCATAAATTACATAATTTCCCCGATTAAATAGCCATCATTTTTGTATACTATTCTGATCGCTAGTCCTAAATTCAAAGCCACCGGAAGGAAAGCCCAAGAAGGATCTACTAAGTTATATTTCTAAGTGTATGTTCGATAATTGATGACCAAGTGAGCCTGGAATAAAGTTTCATATTGTTTTGTTACCGAAAGTCGCATTTTCCTTCTTTAGGGGCGAGACCACTCTTGCCGGGGCTGCTACAATATGGTATATCAAGGTTGTGGACCCTATAGGGGTCACAATTTTTATCCGATTTTGTTGAAACTTGAAATGTAAGTTTATAACCCAAATATCTCAGTTCCTTTCGATATATGCGCATATCTAATTGTAATCATGTTTTTAGCTTGTGGACCCATTAGAGGTCATAATTTAAAAAAACGTATTATTATATTACCATTACCGTTCCACCCTAAGGACAGTTGAGTTTGAATTTTGTGAAAATCGCCCCAAAATTGACAGACAAAATGGCCGCCGTTCGTTCTCAAATAGCGTAAAAATATGGTATATCAAGGTTGTGGACCCTATAGAGGTCACAATTTTTATCCGATTTTGTTGAAACTTGAAATGAAAGTTTATAACTCAAAGATCTCAGTTCCTTTCGATATTCGCGCACATCGAATTGTAATTTCCTGAATTATGGCCCTTGATTGTAGGAAAAATCACTTTCTTGTTAGCTTGTTCTCTATCCATCTCTCGAAAATGTGGGCGTATCCTGCCTGGCAGCCGCTGGTTGAAACAATCAGGGGCCATAATCCAGTAAGTTACTTTCCGATATGCGCAAATATCAAACTTTCATCAAAATCGGATAAAAAATGTCCTCTAGCTATTAAAAAATGATTAATCGTACATTCAGGGGCTGTGATCCATGAATTTACTGTCCGATACATGCCAATATCGAAAGGAACCAAGATCTTCGGGACATTCATGTATATTTCAAGTTCCGTCAAAATCGGATAAAAATTGCTACCTGTAGAGTGTCTGCAAACAAATTGTGGAAGTATGGACATCTGGAAGGACTGGGGCAACGACATTATATGTCCACATGAAAGTGTGGCATATAAAAAAAGGATTTGAGGAACTTCAGGATATTTTCCCCTTCTCCCCCTATTTTTGTATATCCTGTTTCTCAACGACTGAAAAGAACAAATATTTAATTGTTTACAATTTTAGAGTTCAAATTTATGACAGAAAAGAATGTTAATGTCTCAGTCCTCTGGTCATATTATCTCCCACATTGAACAAATACATTTGTAGTAGAGTATTAAGGATAAGTTTTCCTCAACATATATCATGCATAAAATAATTGTCATATTTTCTAACAAATGTTGATGTTTTATCTTAAAGGTATAACCAAGTTAAGGTTCAAGCCTGCCTTCAACCCCTACACAGAACCTAGTATGGAAATATTCTCTTATCATGAAGGTAAATATATTGTTAGTCATAACATTATGCCATTACATTTGATATTAATAGAGAGAGAGAGAGAAATGTGGTTTAACGTCCACTCGACACAAACTAGGTCATTTCGGAACTAACATGGTTCAACTTTATTTCAACAATTAGCTTGCACGTAGGGGTCTTTAGCAGTGGTAGGACACGGAAAAAACCCACGCGGTTGGACAGGCGACCCAAATCCTTGTCACGTACAACCGGGGAATCAAAACCACTCCAGTTGACTCAATGATATTAATAGACAATGCCATCTAGCTTCCAGTCAAACCACAAACATGACACAGACCAAATGAAAGGTCTAACAACAATTTGGACAATAATACAAACTAATTCTGCAGAAACAATATTGCATTGCTCTGTAATAGAATTTGGAGTACAGTTCAACACATTGTCAGGGTTCTGATCTGACACAGAAGGTGGGTCATGTAGAAATTAATTGTATTGTAGATATATTGTGATAAATAAATTTCACCTTAAAAAGTGTCAGAATTTCAATCTTGAGCAAGCTTGTACACCACTATGATTTCCTGCCACTGCTAAAGATCCCACCGATGAAGTAATTTATTGAACTAAATATATACAATTTTAGTCTTGCAATGACTTAGTTTAAAATGAACATTAATCCTTAGATGGTCAGTATCCCACTAGTTTCAAGCAATCCCTAGAAAAGTAAATATAAACAACATTTGTCATTTCACAGAACTATCCCACCCGTGTAGAGTATTTTATGGTCTGCCTTAGAGAGGGTCCCTTGAACACAACAATTATGAAATCCTACAGTTTAATGGGGGAATAACCCTACCAGCTTCCGTCTTCATTAGCCCAGTTCGGAGCAGAACAGTAGGACGTTAAGCCCCATTTCATTTCATTTCCCTACCAAGTTTCTGGATTAAGATTAACCCTTCCGTTAGCATTATGTCCAAGTATAACTTCAAATACCCTGGAAGTTGTCAGAATTTTGTTAAAAATATGTATTAAATTTTTATTACAGGTTTACAGAAATGGGTAGAAATTGGAAATTCTGGTGTTTTCCGCCCTGAGATGTTATTACCAATGGGATTACCAGAAGATGTTTCTGTAATTGCCTGGGGTTTATCTACGGAAAGGTGAATAATTTTACAATCTGGTTCAAATTTATATTTGATGTTATGCTATATTGAAATTTTTCTGTACATTAAACTTATTGCTTAATCTAGCAAGGATATTTTGGGGTATTTTATTATGACATTATTATAGTGTGTATATGATATTTGCAATAATTAACTTCAGATATTCAGAAAATAAATTCTGTTTTTAGGCATATTATGCATCCAGGTATAAAAATAACAAGCCAACCCTGATAAGTTTAGTTCAGAAGAAGATAAAGAAACAAATACTTTTCATGGATCACAATTGCTCAGCACAAAATCTTGTCTTTGAAGCAACATATGTGATCCGTGCTGGCTAAATGAGTCGGAATGCGTAAAATCTAATAATGATCTTCAGACAAAACAAGTGAAAATATTGATTTTTGTCGAAATTGTGATTTTCACAAAATAATTCTAATAATTATCTGTCAACCTTAAAGATCAAAATAGGAATAAAACATTTTGAAACACCTTTGTTTAGACATTTTGTGAGAGTACCATATTCATAAATCTTTCCTTTTTTTTTTAAATTCTCAGTGAATTATTTATTTTTATTCGCTTGTTGTGGGACGATCAGATAATCTCCTTGCGTAATATTTGATATCATTGTGAAGCGTTACATCTCTGGTTTATAAATATGACTGCATTATTACCGATGATATCATTTTCATTGTGTACAAACGAGTTTCAAAACATAAACAACCTTAGCCTGTTTAAAGTCAGCGCAGCGTAACTTGTTTGCTGATTGGCCCAGATATCCCATGTGGCATATCATAAATTAATCAACTAGGTTAAACCCGAAACTTGTCATTGAAAAATACTAATCAATTGTCACGGATTAATGAGTCGTTGATTGACAATTGTCAATGTTATATATGAAAACCTTTCTCAAGTCATTATTTACCCTGAATAATTAATTCAAGCAGTTATTATTTGACATTTCGTTTCATCTTAAAAAAAAAAATATTCATAAATTTATATTGATAGTTGAATTTCATTTCATTTACTGTTGCTTCATACGGCATATAAAATGTACAAGCATGCCTAATTGGATATTGTTGTCTCAAATTTTATTATGTCAGCGAGCACGGGTCACATATTTGAATTATTTTTAATGTATAATTAATTTTTATAATTTTTTTTTTATTTTCAGACCAACAATGATAAAGTACAAAGTAAACAACATTCGAGATTTAGTTGGACCAAAAGTCGACCTGCAAATGGTTTATGATAATCCTATATGTCGTCTAGATAAACATTAAATAGAACCTATTAAATAATTTATTGTAATAAACCATTTTTATATACATATGATTCTGATTTTCTACTTTTTGGAGGGGTTAAATTATTCAATATTGCCAAACCTAATGTGTTAAGCCCTTAATATAACTGGTCACACTGAAAATTGCTATATGATGTCAAGTTAAAACTGGTCACACTTATTATACCTTGGCTTAAATGTTGACATGTGACCACTTAGCAAAGTGCATAGACTAATAGATAAGGAAATTATATTGACCTAAAAAATTTATATTTTCTAGAAATCTGAAAATGCACCAGACAATATTCAAAAATTGAAAATTGAATTTTATCAATTGACTCTATCAATATTAAAATAGTAAATGCCATTGAAACAATTTAGTAAAACTGGCATTCAGTGTGACCACTAATTGCTTGTCAAAACAATGTCTCAGCTTTGAAAATTTATCACAGACTTCATACTACTGTCTTGGACTAAAATAGACAGGTCTAAGAGACATTCATGCAAATTTAGTGAAATATATCTGTGATTGTCTTATTCAAACTGTTCAAACTTTCATCAAAAGCAAAAATATAGCAAGGCCTTCTCATCCTCATGGATGGCGTATATGGGTTATCTACCCATTTATTTTAAGAGGTATACACTAGAGAGAATTGTGAAGTAGTGAAGATCAATCAATATTAAAAACAGAATGAAGTAGAGATCAATGTGTATTCTCTGTCAAACTGTTCACAAAACCCCTCTTCCTGACCCAAGTAAGGCTGCATTAGGATCACTTTTAGTTTCATATATATTCAGCTTCTTAAATAGAAAACACCATTTTATATTTCAAGCTGATTTTATTTTACCCTTCAGTAACTTCAAAGTTGGTGCAATTTAAAAAAACGAAAGTTATTTTATTGACTTTAGTTTATACATTAGAAAAAAATCGGTTACCAAACTTTTTCTAACATTATACCATTGGCTAGCTACCTGATGTGAGTGAAGGGGCGGGGGTCTTGAGTTCTTGATCCTGATGTTGGCCAAGGGAGTTCCTCTTGTCAGTGTTGCTGGATGGAGTCGTCATTGAGGGCTTAACAAGAAAAAGCACCTATCTATGCCCGTGTTTATTAGTCCGGTTGGTGTAGAAAAAAAGCATAAAACCTGTCCCATTTCAGCATCTGGTTTAAGTTTAGAAGGTTCCCCTCCAAAGATTAACGAATTTCTAAACTATTTCAACAATGTCTATTTAATTTATTAAAGAAAAAATTAAGCGTTCAAAAAATTGGCAATATATTTGTTAATTTTTATTTAAGTAAGAAAACAATTCTTTTGTTGTTTTTTTTTAAATACATAATATAAATCTATTAATATTATTTCGAAACCATGGGACATGAATACTTTTTTCTTAATAGTATACAGTCTGAGACAGAATAATCACGAATCAGCCGATTCCAATACCCTACTACAGCTCGATCATAGAACTAAATACTAGTTATATTGCTAGATGTAGAGTAACGGAATCTGCCGATGTTTGCCGAGTGTTGAGGTGTGTCACGAATCATCCAATCACAAATGAACTTTTTACAGATAAACCCGACGTGACATTTAAAGCTATCGTTCTGCGTTGTCGGAATAGAGTTGTTTTAATAAATTTCAAAGATTTTCCCACTGATAGCATTATGTTTGAGACAAACTGCTTTAGCAGAAAGACAGATTATATTTTAAAATTAGAAAACGCACGTCCTGCTCACTGCCGATCGTGTATAATAATAATACCATAGAAATAATACTATCTCACGTGGTCGAACAAGGTCAAGGTTGGATAAACATCAACATGGCTGGGTTACACACTATTTCTCTGAATCGAAGTGTTTTGACAATGAACAAATCGTCAATTGTCAGGTTATTGTCTTCAAAATTTAACTTAGAAAGCAGTCGTCCAAGTTCTTCTATGGCACAAACAAAACAAATTCTTGCAAACGAATTACAAGGTATACGTGATGCGGGAACATGGAAAGGAGAACGTGTTATCACTTCTCGGCAAGGAGCTGCAATCCGTGTAGCCGGGCAAAATAAAAACATTATCAATTTTTGTGCTAATAATTACCTTGGGTTGTCAAGTCATCCAGAAGTCGTTGAAGCAAGCAAACAGACTTTAGATTCTCATGGCGCTGGTTTGAGTTCAGTTCGCTTTATTTGTGGAACTCAAGATATTCACAAGGAACTGGAGAATAAAATTGCCCTATTTCACCATAAAGAAGATGCCATTCTATATGCTAGCTGTTTTGATGCAAATGCTGGATTGTTTGAGGTATTGCTGAGCCCAGAAGATGCTGTGATATCGGATGAATTAAACCATGCTTCAATCATTGATGGTATACGTCTCTGTAAAGCAGAAAGGTTTCGATACAAACATCGAGATATGAAGGATTTGGAATCAATTTTACAGAAGTCAGAGCGTGCTCGACAACGACTGATTGTCACTGATGGTGTGTTCAGTATGGATGGAAATGTAGCGCCATTGAAAGAAATCTGTGACCTTGCAGATAAATACAATGCATTAGTGTTTATAGATGAATGTCATGCTACAGGATTCTTTGGTTCCACGGGAAGAGGAACAGAGGAATACCTTGGTGTAAATGGGAGGGTTGATGTTGTCAACTCGACACTTGGTAAAGCTTTGGGTGGTGCAGCTGGAGGCTACACAGCCGGTCCAAAAGAATTAATTGATCTTCTTAGACAATGATCACGTCCGTATCTTTTCTCAAACACTCTCCCCCCACCAGTTGTGGCTTCAGCTAGCAAAGCTTTTGATCTAGTGATGAATAATGTGGATCTTCCACAAAAAGTTCTCTCCAACACCATCCATTTCCGTGAACGGATGACAGAAGCTGGTTTCCAAGTGGCTGGGGATCCAGAGCATCCCATCTGTCCAGTAATGTTAGGAGATGCTAGACTAGCTTCTATGTTCTCAGATAAAATGCTTGAGAAAGGAATCTATGTAATTGGTTTCAGTTTCCCAGTTGTTCCTAAAGGAAAGGCAAGAATTCGGGTTCAGATATCTGCCTCCCACAGTTCAGAGGACATAGACCAGGCTGTTGATGCATTTATTGATATAGGCAGAGACCTTAATGTTATCAGTTGAAAACAAAATTGGTCTTCACAAAGTTCACTTGCACAAAAATAATACTTTTTGTTAGAGAACTCTATACAAATATACAAAACTAACTCTACAGATTCTTGTTTGTGATATTTTGAATTTATTGTTAAAGACAAAAAGGTACTCAAATCTTGCTTTTGAATATTTCTACTTTTACTTTACTGATGGGATCTGATATGAATTTCACCATCATAAATGTTTTACACAATTTCGGAATCTCATCGAGCTAAATCGCTAACATTTGGGACCTAGAATTGACAAAAGTGGGTCGCAACGCATATAATACTGTAATATGAATGTATATAAACTGATTTACATTCAATCATTTCCGTTTTTACTCCAATTTCAAATCAGTTATGTTCGGCGAAATAAGCCAGCAGTCTCAAGCGAGCGCAAATTTCTAGTGTCTGGTTATTCCAGTCTACATACGCCGTTTGATTTGGTGCAATGTGTCTAGCCTCGTCCCTCGAGTCTCTTGATGCAACTGGGGCTGAAGCGCATTATGGTACATGATTCGTGTACCAATGGTAAAATGTTTATTTTGTCTTAAATATTGGATATCAAAAGCCCATCTTTTCCCGGTAAGATCACAACATGAATGTTGATTTAATTTGACAAATAAATCGTGTTTTCAATGTTGAAGATTTTGGATGATATTGAGTTAGAGACTTAGCAACTTTAAAAATGAATCTCAATTATATTTATTATTTTTGTTTTACAAATACATTTAACCTGTCATTTTGTGCCATAATACTTTAATATATAATTGTTATTATTTATTCATTGGCTTAGAAATTTGTGAGAATTTCATTCTGTGACGGTTTTTTTCAGATCTAGACATTAACTGTTAATAAACAAAAATCTCAATAACATTTGATGTATTTTTTATACAAATTTAACTAGGACATTTCGTACCTTCATCATGTACATTTATGTAATACAAATTATTTGTTTGTTATTATTGTGGTAATTTAATGTTATGAAAGGGAACAAAATAGAATATTGTTATTTGTATTGTTAAAACTTATTTTTATACATTTATAATCCTTAATGCATTATGTAAGAACTATATCTGCCTCTTTTGGCTTCAAATGCTATTATTGTTGACATTTTTTTAAACATGACAAGCCTATAATCAGCTCTGTAAAACATCAGATGGTTCTGATTTAATGGATTTAAACATCCGCAAGATTTCAAAATTTAACGATAAAATGGACAATCGAGACCAAGTCTTAGTTGTCCAGTACTGGTACTGTTGCTACGATAATGAACAATCTAAGCTATATCTTCAAACAGTTATAACGTCGCTCAGAATAAAGTAATTTGAATATTTTCAATATATAATATGTTCATTTTACATTATCTATTTTTGAACTATTATAGTAAGAACATTAAGCTCTTTATCTAAATCTTACATAATGCATATTTAAATTTGCAGATAATGAAATATATTATATAATTATTGTGGTAAATTATTGTGAAAGATAATGGAATATTAATATCTATTTGTACTGTTAAAACTTGATGAAGAAGATCTGTTTTCTTTATTAGAAAAAGGAAATAATGAGATTTATTTTTATAATTTTTTAGTTTTCCGACAGTGAACTGTTTTGTAGTGTCATGTGTCAGTAAACATGCATCAGCAGTATTTATTTTAAAACTTTTTTCATAAGTACATAAAGTACAAGAATTCAATGTACACAAACAAGCCAAGAAGGATTAATCAGTTTCACGAATAAATTGATTTTAAATATTAACCTTTTATTATTAATGTCTGCACTATAGTATAGATTGCATAATAGCAAGAAGCCGGGTGGGCACCCCTGTGTAGACTCAAATCTGTCCTTTTCCCTTAACTTTGAAGAAAGGTATCTAAGAATGAAAAAGCAATGTTACTGTTATCTAATTTGAATAATATCATATTTAAATTAACAACCTATTTGCTGAAAATCCAAGCACTGGCCTACCTACTTAGAGTAAGGTACTTTTTCACTAGTATTTGTAAAAGGCCTTGAAAATAGATATATATTTTTTTTTTAAACAATATTTTTTATTCAGAACTGTATCTGAATAAGGATTGTGAAACAGGCATAGCCTATATTAAACCCTTCTCCCAGAAAGTTAAAGTTGTCTTAAATCTGGCATATAATCCAATTTAAACTGTGTAATCAAGTTATGTCAAAGTTAACAATATTTTTTACCAACTGGCTAAGACCAATAGACTGTTCATGCTACTTTAATTAGAAGCTATGAAAACACAGAATATCCACAGCTGAATCACCATCCTTTCAAGCACATTAAACTCCTGAATTATAGCACTGAATTTATTTCTGGTTTATACAATAAATACATATTTATATAATACTGGATATCACAACATACTTTAATCAACTTTTTAGGCAGGACTGACAGGATAACCATTACAAAAATGTATCTGTAAGACAATTGTGGCGAACTCTGGCGTAATGAGATGCATGTCTTATGCCTCATGGCACAAAACCGTGCAAAAAATACTTCTTGTTTAGCGATTGGGTCTTTATTTACTTTATTTCTCAAAGCCCCATCCTTACCAAGAAGTCACAAAATTCCTGATTTTGGTTGCTATGGAGTAGTACCAGTAACACACTTAGAAGGTGGCAATTCAAAATAAGACCTGAGTTTCTTATAAATATATTCTGATTCCAATCAATATTGGCTCTAGCTGTTGTTAACAATAATTTTGCATAATTCATTCTATGTCACTGGACGCAACATGTGATGATTTCTTGTACTTAAAAAGTACAAACTGTTGGTTGCAAAAACTGTTGACTGTTATTTATTTACACATCTGCATTAATATTTATTGCACTCTCTTATTATTCCAAAATTTTGGTTTCTTTTTAAAACCTCCTGTTATTTCTGTTGCTGATCGGCCTAATTCCTTTCTTTCATCCATATGATTCTTTTGAGCTTTCTCTTGCCATTGTTGCTTTTCATTCTACAAAGAAAAATATTAGAAAATCAATAGGATGGCAGATATATTCTCTTGATTTATCCCCATAGCTTCTTAAGAGACATGCAAAATTTAGGGAAAGAGCTGGCCGTGCTTCCTATAATAGTTCAATAATTCATAACACAAATGAATATATTGAAAATATCTGTCAAATTATTTTATTCTGCGCAAAGTTCGTAATGCCTCCAAGTTCAACTGTCATCCCAAAACATAATTTCAATACTATTTAAGGCAAATAAATATATATCAGAGCCATCAATATAAATACCCCGAAAATGAAGTACAGTGTAAAGGGAATTTATTTGGGAAGATATGACGCTAACATAATGCTTTGTTGACCAAAGTTTGGTTATTTTATGTGTTGCACAAATAAAATTTATTACGGTCATGCGTTGGAGCCAGCATTTAACCAACAAGAGATTCATGGAACCTTATAGTTGTGTACAATCCAAGCAACTGAACAAACTCTGTCCCATCAGATGTATTGTTTATCCTGACAAATGGAGTTTAGACTAGTAGAAAGTATGGGTTGTTACTGATATATAAGAAATGTAACTGTATTAACTAAATGTGTTATTTCTGTAATTTTTCATACCTTTTTCAGTTTAAATGTCATTTCCATGTTACCTAAAGATCTACTACCACTGGCTTCTTCCATATTGTTTTGTGATTCTAATCTGTCTGCTAAACTTTTCCTGAAATAATGATTTTAATAATATTACATTATTTTTTTATATGACAGCACCAAAAGTACAAGAAACTTCATCTTTTTTCCCTACAAAAACCATAGGAGAATTAAATCTTATTGATAAAATGCATACTTCATTTCCTTTTTCTTTTGTTTTTCTTCTTTTGAAAGTTGAACTTTATAACCACGGGATTCATCTTTAATTTCATAAAACTTGGGTCTAGATACAGCTTCTTCAAGTTCTTCAACTTTCTTTTCCCTCCTCTCTTGTGTTTTCATTTGTCTGTATTGTTTTTTCATCTCACGATGTGCCACTCTTTCATCTTCAGAACTGCTACTACTTTCATCTTCACTTGGTCTACCCTCTCGTTCCTCCTGTTAAATTGGAAAATATTTCATATAATAAATTTGAAATATTTTGATAGGTAATAAAACTGTTTATTTCACTAAAATACATTACTATCTCACTATATATTACTTTTCTCTTTAAACTCCAATATTTTACAAACCAATATGGGAAGGCACTAATCTAAACAGCACTAATCTATTCTATTTTCAATTACATTTCTAACAATTCCATAAAAGAATTTCCACAAAGTAATTGAAACAAATATCATTTCAAGATCAAAAAAAGGATCTGAAAATACCTTGTAAAAGTAACAAAACGTTCAAAGTTGAATCAAAGCTTTAAATCTCTTTATTTCTACCTTCTATTTCTAGTACTAAGTAATTAACTAAAGTTTTGATAAACTTATAAAAAAGCCTAATTGTAGTGTTTCTTTCATAATGTTTCTACTTACCTCAACTTCATCAAACTGATCAGCAATTCGTTTCTGTTCAGCTTGTTTTTTCTGTCTAGATTTGTCTAATTTAGTAATTAATGGATTCACTAAGCGATATTCCTGTGCACTTTTATCAATTTGATAGTCCGGATCAATAAACATAGCTGAAAATCTTTCATCCTTCATTATATTGGGCACAGTCTAAAAATATAAATTTGGAAATCTGAATGACTTTCGTAGACAGAATGAAATTATAATGTAAATACATAGGTATAAAATATTTTCTAACTTATTGGACAGAAAAGTATTTATGTATATTCATCGCTCATATACTAATGAGGTGTGAGGCCCACAAAATCTTAAAGATAGGTTGCCAGACAACGAAACATACGACCACAGCGGCTAAATCATCCGAGCGGTCGACAAGGGTTGTCGCATATTTATTCCTTTGTAGGTAATCGGGGGCCTTTACAAGACAGTTCCATACAGATCAGATTATAATTTTTGCCGTTTGAGGGTTCACAAGGTTCTACAAATTGAAACAAGGGTCTCAACTCTGGAAGTAATCTACAGAAATTGTTAAAATTTGACAGGCTTTTACGTTTCACTAATTTAAATAATGCATATAAATTTCAGAAAGATAGAATTATAACTTTTGGGGTTAGAGCGTTCACAAGGTTAAACAAAGTGAAACAACGGCCATAACTCTAAAAGTAATAAACGGAAATTGCTGAAATTCAATAGGATTCTTCATTTTGCTAATTTAAATATTGCATATAAATTTCACAAAGATCGGATGTTAACTTTCGGCATTAGAGCGTTCACAAGGTTCAATAAAGTGAAACAAGGGCCATAACTCTAGACTAATACACAGAAATTGCTGAAATTCAATAGGCTTCTTCGTTTCACTAATTTAAATAATGCATATAAATTTCAGAAAGATAGGATAACTTTTGGGGTTAGAGCTTTCACAAGGTTAAAGAAGGGCCATAACTCTAGAAGTAATAAACAGAAATTCTATAGACTGCTTTGTTTCCCTAATTTAAATATTGCATATAAATTTCACAAAGATCGGATGTTAACTTTTGACATTAGAGCGTTCACAAGGTTCAACAAAGTGAAACAAGGGCCATAACTCTAAGAGTAATAAACGGAAATTGCTGAAATTCAATAGGCTTCTTCGTTCGCTAATTTAAATATTGCATATAAATTTCACAAAGATCGGATGTTAACTTTTGGCATTAGAGCGTTTACAAGGTTCAACTCTAGACGTTATAAACGAAAATTTATATATCAATTTTAAAACAATTGGATGATAACTTTTGGCGTTAGAGCGTTCACAAGAAATTGTGGACGATGGACGGACGGACGGGGGCGACGGCAATATACGACCACATTTCCATGTGTGCGTAGGGTCTCGCATCTTGATCTTGGTCAAAAAATAAATTTGTTGTTTTCAATCAATTTTAAGTGTATATTTGATTTGTAGGATGACAATCGGTTATTGATAGTTTTTTTTACATTATTAGATAAAGCCAATTGTGTGTTTCTGTAATGACACAGTAAGGATACCATATGTAACATAATCTAAACATACCTTTCCCTTTTTATCTTTAATTTGTTTTTCGCCTTCTGTCATAAATTTTTCTGCTAGTTCCCGATTCACCTGAGGTAATTTCTATATAACAAACATAAAAAACTTATTTTACAAAATATACAAATTAAAGACGTTGCAGTAACTGAAAGTAAAATGAAAGTTAATTTAGCAACAGAAACCACAACTGGTTGTTTTGTGTAAAGTAGTGAAGAACCTAGTAGGAAGATAGATTAAACTGACTGTTTCACCTAGTTTCACGGTTCCATATACTTCAGTGAAATGATGTAAATATAGTCATCATGGTTAAGTTAATTTCTTAGTTACATCACAGTTTCATGCAAGGTTAATGTTATTTAAACGCATTAAACTTCAAATATCAATAGAACAGGATAGGAATGCAGTTTGCCTCATCAACATGATAGTTCTTTCATTTTGAGACTAACATACAGTGTAAATAGTTAGGAGGAGAATTTCCCCGAATATTGGCGTTTCGACCTACTCTTCACTGTATTCAAACTGTTAAGGGTTCCTGTATGTGCACATCAGTGTGTATAAAGGCAGGTTGACCTCGATTTTACGTGTCATCCAAACAACTAGTCATCACTTGCCAAGTCAGCCGTGCAGCCGGTATCTTAAAAACTCTAGAACTAGACTTGTAAAATCTCAAGGTGCTTCTCAGCCCACGTGATTCAAACCTGGACATTCTAGATTCTAGTCAAGAGTTCAGTGAGCTTGCCGCCCGACTTATTCAACCTACCTTTATTTGAACTCTGTTCTTTCTCTCACTGTCTATCTTTTCCTTTATTTTAGTTTTCTTATAATCATCATAGGCAAATGGTTGACTTAGTGTTTTAGCCTACAATAAAATAAATTAAATAATTTTGTTTATTAAACAACTGGAAGTAGTCTTCATTGCAAAAGCTGCCAAGCAGTCTCACAAGCATGTATGAATGTGGACCCATGTTTTAATATGAATGACCAGAGTAGGTCCTATACTTAAGTCTTGGGAGCATACTATCAAGGAGTTGGCCCTGGGCATTCCCAAACCTCTGCACTCCACAGTCCCACTTCATTATTAACAAAGAGAAATGGCTTAGAAACATTTCACAAGACAAACTTACTTTCTGATAGAATCTAAGATCCATAAAGAAACCATGCATATAAGCTTTAACTAGATTCGATCCAATAAGATGTGTTAATCCCATGTCATCCAATTCTTGACGCGAAACAAACTTATAATCATCGTAAACTGCAAATAAATTAAGGCAAATAATATTTTTCTTGAGTTTTTCAGTTTTAAGGACAATAAATTGGTTCCATAATTCCAAAATTAATGATATTAACAACTAGTATATCCATAAGCACATATCTGATATCAAAATAACTTTATAAAGGTTGTGCTCATCAATATAGGAGAGTAAGCACATATCTGAGATCAAAATAACTTTATAAAGGTTGTGCCCATCAATATAGGCCTGTATAATATATAGGAGAGTAAATAGAATGTTATTTGTCATATAATTACCAACTAAACTTTCACTTTCTTCTAATTCTTCTGTTAAATTATCTAGAAAAGAACACCATCTTGGAGCTGGGCCTAAAGACTAAAGTAAAAAACAATATACATGTATATTTAGTTTTACATAGACGTTAAAGAATGATGATATCATTAAGTTTTCAATTGTTTTGCAAGATTTCTATGTCCAGATATAAACTATAGTTTAGGTTAAAACTTTAAATACATTAGTCAACAAAATAATTTCTTTCTGACTACTCTGAAGAAAAGAAAATTTTATATAGTAGACCTTGCTACATTACAAATCAAAATAACACATCCAATCAACCCAATTTGACATTTCCTAAAGTATAATGTTTTTTACTTACTGGTATAAAATATGTGTGTATTTTGGGAGCTTCATTGGCTATAAACATTAGACCTGAATCAGGATAGAGACTTAGATCATTTAATCCAACACCTGGTTCTATAGCTGTATATGGTTTACCCTAAAATATAACATATTTTATTTTATGATCAGTAGTGGAATACCGCGTTTTATCAGTGAAATAAAAGTGTTATTCCACTGGCTAAAGTAGTCCATGTTGTTTTTACCTAAAATGATTGTAAAATCATAAAATAAATAGAACATTTGTTGTTTTGTCGCGAATAACATATTTTATTTCATCTCTAAGCAAGAAAACGTTTATATTTTCACGAATGCGCTTCTCGATGAAATAAAATATGTTATTCACTCTAAAACGACAAATATCCTCTATATATACAAAATATCAAACACATCAAATTTTAAATATGTTTTTAAATATGTTCTATATGACAAAAAACTGATCAACCTCCACAATTGTTTTCATTTTATACACTAGCCTATACTTACTGTGTCTCTGTGCCATAATTTTAATATTTTAGTATCCATAGACAGAACAAGATCAAGCTGATTATGAAACTCTATGTTTTTGATGGGTAGCTCATACTGGTGATCTTTTATAAGTAGAGGTTTATTAGAACGCATATCATACAGTAACACCTGAAAATATATGTCACTTTCTAAATATATCAAATTAATATCTACAATAAAGCATGTTTTCAACAAAAACAAGGAAATAGTAAAAAAATTAATTAGCAAAATAAATGAAATGAACTGGGGTTTAACGACTACGCAAAATAACTACAAGATACTAATAGATTTTTCGACGCAAATTTATATAGGATAGATCCTGGTTTTCATGATGTTTAAAGTTGATGAGGTCTTTAAATATTTCTGTAAAAAATAGACATTTTAAGCCTTGATATACTTACATGACCAGTTTGTGTACCAACACCCATAGTTAATGCATCTCTGAATTTTAATGCTGTTACTTCAGGGGATTCTGTAAACCTGTAAAATAAAAGGTCCATTATCTGTTTGCACTTTGATTGTGAAATAAATCATATCAACAAACTTGGGTTATTATACAGATTATATAGGGAGCTCAGCGAATTTAAAATGTATATAATTGAGAAGCCTAACTTACTCTGAACTGTGACTTCCTTTATAAATATCTAAGATACCAGCTCTTGTTCTTGATCTTGGATCCCAACATTCTACTGTACCCTATAAAACAACACGTTCAATATCACTACCACATTTAATTCATTATCCTGGAGTTAAGGTAAATAGTTCTACATTTCATTTCGAGATGTGTGGTCTATTGAACCAAGACACTGAGAGTTATGACACACTCCATGACACCATCTACCAAATAACCTTGTTAGTGTGTTTCAAATCAATGCATTTAATACATTATTGAAAGAAATAATTAATAGTATCTTTAACTAAATCTAATAGTTTCAATTCATGATGATTACATCACAAATTCTCAAAATGTAGCACAGAAAATTCTGGCCGGTTTGATCTGAGTTCTAATTGCTCAGAAGTACAGAGTAGTATTGTAGCACAGTCAGGTATTAATAGTACCCTGTCACTGGAGAATGTACTCTACTGTACCCTATAATATAACACATATTCTACTATACCCTATTACAGTCAATATCAATTACAACATTGTTTGATTAGTATAATTTTAAAATTGTGGAATGATTGACCTAGAATAAGAAAGACCTACCTGTTTTGTTCCACATGCAAATAAATAATGTGAAGGATTAAACTGACAACATGACAACTCCCTAAAATAAAAATGAAAAAGGACAAATAATGTAACAAATCAAGCCTCATAACTTCTGAGAAAAAGACGCTGTCCTGTGGCAGGTTCACATAGCTGATTGTTTTGTTTACATCTTGACATTGGGGTTAATTTTGGTGTATAATATTTTTCCATTATGTAAATAATCTGTTAGTAGCACTTAGTAACTAACTAGGGTAATAAAAATAATACATACTTATATGTTCTAGTTTATAACTTTATATTGTGAATTGCACTGTCTAATAAAATTGAATCTCACAGGAAAACTCCCAAATCATATTACCTTAAATAATCTAATCAATGTATAAAGCATAGTTTTATCTGTAACTTACGTAGCATTAGTTTTTAAAGGTGCAAGAAATCTGCCTTGTTCAAGATTTAGGCGATAAATTTCATCACTGTAAAAAAGGAAACATTCTTTATATAACATATTTATTACATGCCCTGGGTCTTTAACAGTTAGAGTAAACTAGATGATCCGGAAAAAACCAACAAGGTTAAGCTGGTGATCATACTCCTTGTGATCAAAACCATAATGTTTGAGTCAATGACAGACCCTATTATCAAAGCACATCTGTATGACCACTCGACAACCCAATTACTCACAAAATACATAAAATGTGTGCCAGCTTTTAATTTCATGCTATCAGTTAAATCTAATATCTGTGTCTTCTATCATCACAGATCTATTTCAATAACACTGCTTCTGTATTCACCAAACTTACAGGTGTCACCTTTTGAAACACCTGATACCACTGTCATGGATACAATAATAATTTGAGGGTATCATAGTTATTATTACCAACCTGACTCCAACAACATACAGGTCACATGTTGGATAATGAAAGTCGAGATCTCGACCAAATTTAGGTATTCTTGTTCTGTAATACCTTCCACCTTGAGCATGTATTTCTAAATATCTGTCATCATGTAGAAACACCATCTAGAATAGAAGAATATATACCAATAAATAAATATTATATTATAATGATACCCTTATCAAATTAACAAAAAAATAAGATGGGATTTGCCAGGCTATAACCATTATAATGCCCACTATTATAACAGTCACCAGTTCCACCCATAAAGGATATAGTTAAATTTTGATTTTCTTACAAGTACAGTAAAAATTTTCCCATGGAAAACAAATGAATATTCTGTTGTAATCGAAACCTAGGATAGTAGGATCTCTTATATATAAGCACAAAAACATTACACAATTAATAATATTGTTAAAGCACTTGAAAGCAGACATTTGAATTAAAAAAAAAAACCAACAATACCTTAGAATAATCATCTGACAAAATGATGAATTGAGTGACATTTGCATCTAAACCTCTTTCAAACTTCAGTGATAATTGATGAACTTCATAACACTTTACTCTTGGCTTATAAGTACCTTTAAAATAAAATACCATTTGTAATTTTTCATTTTGGTACTTCAATATGAAGATTCTTGCTGCTCCATGTCTCCCAAACTAACATAATTATCATTTCTAGTATTGGTTTTTTTGGATGTCATAATGTATGGAAGATATAATTTTAGACAAAAAAAGATAGTCACTGCACTTTAAATATATCCAGCACAATATTCGGTGTTGGGGCTAATTAAAATGATGAATTGAATATGAACTTGTATCAATGTAGAACCGTTACCATTCTACCTTGCTAACAATGTGCCTTTTACCAATAAGCTAGAGAAAGTGAGCAATGAATTCTAATTGTTGTATACAAAACACCTTACCTATAAATACTTTTGATGATTTATTTATATAGAAAATCTCTGAAAACCGGTCAAATAAGTATTATTCATTGTCTTTCATTAATATGTGTTTGTATTCTTACCTACAGCACAGATATACTGTCCATCTTTAGATACTTTAACACGATGACAAACTGTTGGCATATCAAAATCCTGAATTAACTCTATTTTACGTTGAAACTCTGAAAACATTATAATTATTACAGTGGGTCATCTGTTATGACTTCTATCTTTGCGTTATATATTTATTCATCTTCAGAAAATTTATTGTACTATACATTTCTGTAAAATCAAATGATACTTCTGATTACTCTAATACCTTGCATGCATTACGAAACATTATTGTATTATGGAAAGTATATGAATGAAGTTTGTTAATGTCAAACGAAGCTCACAAATCATAACACGGTGTTATTATTAACACCCATTTAAAATATTTGCATCTGGGCAATCAAAGTTATTTTTTAATTTTCTCTGTCTATTAAATATTCGAGAAAAAAAGTTTCACATCATCTATCATAATACCTTGATACAGATGTAACAAGTTTTAATTACTAGAGCTTATGTGGAATGATTCCTCTGGTCAATAAAAATATGTTTAAAAAACTTTTTGTATCTAATTATTACTAAGAGCCAACTTGCCAAGGTTAAGTAACATCTGTAATAGTATTACAACCATAACTCAAACTGGTATCAAAAGTTAAAGAGTGTATACATTGTAACCTACTTTATACTAATACTACATAACTTTGGAAATTCTTAAACTTATTAAATAATAATGGTCTTTAAATCATGTTTCAAACTGTTCTTTTTACCAATATTATCCTTTTTTAACTTCCTCATTTTCCTTTCCGACAGCCACTGAAAAAAACAACATATGAGAACAGAGTATTATTTTTGTCCATTCGCAGACTCGGTCTGACTAGAATGTCATGCTTTATCTTGTGTAAGCTGAAAATAAAGAACCTTTCGGATTAGTTCCATGCCTGGTTCCCTTTTGTCAAGTGTCCACGAAGCCATCAAAGAAAGTCGCTCAATCATAACTTGTAATACATCACAAGTGACAGTATTAATCATTGACAGTGCACAAAAAAAGACTATCTCATCTGTGCTCAACAGTTGGAACTTCCAAGCATAGGGGAAGTATTGTAGAATGTTATAACACCACATTCCTTATTCATTCTATTGAAGCCCAATTGATTATAAGTAAAAAAAAAGTCTGTGAGGGAGTGCCAGTGTTTAATAGCCTATTAAATTATTACACCTAGTAGCTGTAAGCTATAATACCATAAGTAGCCGGGTACCCTTCTGTATACAGAGAGTACCTGACCAGCTGACAAACTCTGTAACGGTACCTAACAATAGTAACATCCCATATAATAACTTAGACCTACAGTTACAGTACCCAAATGTTGACTGTAGCCTGATAAGCATCATCATGTGTTAATCAAGGTCAGTGAATTCAACAGTTGATTATTTAATGTTTAATTACTCCTAATAGTATACAATTATTTTATTTTAAAGACGTTATATGCATCAATGAAGAAAAACAATTTGCTAGGTCAAATCGTAGCTAAAAACAAACAAACAAACACACAATCACATCGTCATCAGTTTAGTGATATCTCTCTGAAGAACAGACTGAGCGTTTTAAAGGGGCTATTAAACCTTATTAATCTGTTACAGTTTTGTACAAAAGGTACATAAATGTATATCCTTACTTCTGGTAATGATTTTCCAGCACTCAGATTATAAATCTTAACATCATTAGGGTTAGAAACCTGCATTTTATGGCTATTCTTTTCTGTAAACAAATACACGTGCTACCATTTTCTTTCACCGGAAGTTTACATCTGCTATTCAAAGGGAGGTAAAACTACAAAGAGTTACTCCCCTTATACCAATATAATTTAGTAAGTGCAGGAGAACCGCACTACACACAAATAATTACACGGGGGAGAGAATTGGGGTTTAACGTCCACTCGACACAAACTAATTCATTTCGGGACTAACACATGGTTCAATTTTATTTTAATAATTTGCTAATGCGTAGGGATCTTTAGCTGTGGGAGGAAACTGGATGACCCGGAGAAAACCCATGAGGTTGGACAGGCGACCCTACTCCTTGTCACATACAACCGGGGAATCGAAACCATGCCAGCGCACACAAATTACTCAAGAAATATCCCACAGACAAGATTCACAATAAAAAAGATTTTACCACTATCTTCTAAAGGTTGAGATAAGCCTATTACAAAGTAGACGCCAACAGGGAAGAGCATCTAAAAGAAATACATAACTTTTATGCATGTGTTATCAATATCAAGAGAGGGGTTCACTAGTCCACGGGTGCACTAGTGGCTGATTGGTATCATGTTGTGATGTCGTGGTGTCGCCCTTCATAAGGCGGCAACCCAACATCACAACATTTTAACCCGACACCACGACACAGAAAGCTATGACAGAAATTTTCTATGTACAATGGCATTTGTTCATCGAATTCCAAATGCGAAGTGTTCTTTTATGTGCATGCCAATGTGTACACCCGGGCTTGTGTTTTTGTCCCATCTACACAACTTGACACTATCCTTTGCCAGAACGTTCGTCCTGCACTACCGACAGGGAGAAACCATGCTGCGAATTCCTGGTGAAATTTCTTGATCAGCACCAGGATCATTGTAAATAATCATACTATATATTGAGAGGAAGATGCCGAAATCACAACATTTTAACCTGACATTACAACATTTTAAATGTTGTGGTGTCGGGTGAAATGTTGTATTGTCGAGTTAAAATGTCGTGATGTCAGGTTGTTGGGTTGTCGCCTTATGAAGGGTGACATAACAACATGATACCAATCAGCCACCATACCTACTGGGTTTTTTTGATACCCATATTTATAGTATTTTTTATAGCGGCGGACTAGTGCACCCCTACCTGCCTATCCCATACTAAACTTAAGCTAGTTGACCGTAAATTAATGATTTTAGTTGAAACCATTATATAAGCATATTTCGAGAAGTTATTCTGCTTCCATTTCATAAAATTGAAAAAATTTATTTAGTCTTTGTGTGTATGACAGATGTGAAACAGAGTAGAGCTGCATTACAAAACAGTATAGGCTAGTAATTTTTGGATATGGCAGCCATTTAGGGCAGAGATTTATTCACAAAGTATGAAGTAGAGGGATCTCTGTGTGCAGAATGGGGCCTATCCAACATTCTGAAGACTTAAACTAAAATATGAGCCCTAAAGCCATGATTATAAATAAAAGAGTTTATTTGGCTTCTTTGCTATGCCACCATTGATTTCATGTTCCAGGGTCCATACTCAGAAATAATTGCAGGTGACCAGACCATGGAAAATTTTGAAAGAATTAAAAAAATGTATATATAAATCTGAAAACTAGGCTTATAGACATTGGCCTACAGTCACCTACTTAAAATATATCCTACAGCATATTGGTTACATATTCCAGGATCATGAAATAATTGAGGGGGACTAACTCATGGCAAATTATGAGAGGAATTAAAACTCATTTTGTTGCTGAGCAGACATTTATAAGAGTTTCTACAATCCATAAACTAAGCTATTTAGATTACTGGTACTAATTTGTTACGCCACTAGACAATACTCTGCAGCAATGGTTACATATTTCAAGGGACTTTCCTGTAATAATTTATGAAACCATACAAACTCACCTAAACAGTTGTTATTCAAGATAGTATTGTGCATTTAACAAAACCTATCATTTGAGAAAGTGTACCGGAGTCTGACCCTCCACTACAGGCAAAACAAAATAACCTTTCTGTCAGCATGTCATAAAGGATGCATGTCCGAGGTTTCTAGGAAAAATGACAAAGTTTGGTACAGTTTGCTTTGTCTACTGTTCATCACAGGTAAAATCTTATTAACCTATCAGGGCAGTATCTGCATGGTCTAATGGAATCCAAATTCTTCTTTTCTTAAATACCAGCATATTTATTTGATTTAAAGCACAATAATACTCAATTTTTATTGTTATTAAAACACGCAGGAGATTACGAATTATATACAAGTATAGAGGCCTGGGGTAAGGAGCAGTTAGATGAACACACATGCTTTAAATCATTTTGATTCCACCTTTGCATTTGCTAAGGAGGAGGGATGTCCACCTGACCTTGTGGGGTTTTTTCTGGGTTTTTCATGTTTTCCTACTTGCTTATATCCCATACGTGCAAACAAAGCATTAAAATACCAATATACCATATGTTAATCCTAAAATGACCCCTCACCCTTCTGATCACCGTGAAGTTAAAACAAATAAAGCCACATTAGTTTTTACTGGATTTTTTTATTCATAGAAATAATGCAACAAATTGCTAATTAAGCTCAAAAAGCAATAATTGTTTTTCTTACCAATGAAATAAATACAATGTATAATGAAATGAAAAACACAACACAGTTTATATGGAAATACAATCACTGGTTTATAAGTATAGCACGACGTTTCGACAAGTATTCTCTTATCGTTATCATTTGTGCTTGATAACGATAAGAGAATACTTGTCGAAACGTCGTGCTATACTTATAAACCAGTGATTGTATTTCCATATAAACTGTGTTGTGTTTTTAATGTGTTCAATCGCTAAATGCCACTCAAGGATTTTATAATGAAATGCATCAACAGAAATGTTTAATGTAAAGCAATTTCAAAATGACACAAATAAATGGCAAGGAACCAACTCACAACCTGCTAATATACATAGGTTCACAACCATTTGATAATATACAAATAATGCAATGTTTAGCAGATGTCGGCTATATATATACAGACAAAATTCAATTATATACAAATTACAACCCATAATTTACATAACATACTTAGCAACAAATCATTTTACACATTTAATTATGTTTGAAAAAATGATCTATAAATAATTAATATATCATCTTAAAACCTAAAAATAATCTACATATTATTTAAATTCTGATGTTTGATTCTAATCAAAAAATTTTGAAAAAAAATAACTAATGGTAATAAATAAATATTAAAATAAACGTGAATAACATTCTTTAATATATTAAATAATTAAATTATTGAAAATTGTAACAAAATATGTTTTGGGTCTATCTGTATTTCATATCAAATGTGAAATGGAATGCTTAAACAATATATTAACAAACATTAAAAATAAATAAATCCAGCTTCTTGGAACATAATCATTTCATTATCGCAGTAAATTGAAAAACCCTTCTTCATAGAAGAATATTATAATTATAGCACTTTATAATTTGCAGACAAATCAGCTGCTACATGTATGTTCGTAGATGTATAAGAGTAAAGCTATTTTCATATCTCACTAATTCATTTTATTTGAACATTTCTTCTAAATAAAGTCAAATGGAAAACAGAATGTATACTAGAATTATGATTCTAAAAACTGATATACTCTCTCTTCAAGAGAAATGTGAAATTTGATGCATATACCAGTTTTGATATAAATGGCCGATTTTTAACACTGGACAATTGTTGTTTGAATGCACTCCATTTAATGAATTTCATGGCTTGTAATGAAATTGTTCTTGATATTTCACATACCGTTAATTGAGCAAAGATCTTGAATAATTATCCATCTGCATGTGATGAGGAGTTAAGGGACTGTTACATCTTTGTCAATGAACTTATAGTCTCCCTGATCAATTGGAATATCATTGCACAAGACAGAAGAAAATAATTGACTTTATCAGACCTAATTCATACACATCACATTGTCTTTCGGCATATCACAATAAAGTCAGCATGTAGTTCCTCTATAATTCCGTTGTGGGTCCGGGTTCGTCTTTATTTGGCTCAACAAAATATTGTTTTGGCAAATTATGCATGTAGTCACTAAGAGGTCTCATTGGATCTCTTCTGCGTATTAATAGTGTTTGTGTATTGTGTATATCACCAGACGGTGAAACCAATTCACACACCACAGGTTGATTTGCCCTGGTGGGACTATTTTGTAAATCACTTAGAGGGACATAATCACTACTCTCTTCACTAGAGTCACTGTTTTGAGTGGGAGGTATTATTTGAGGAGTCACAGTTATTTCAGGATTAGTCATTAAGTTTGACTCAGTTTTCGGTCCGTGCAATTTATATTTAGAAAATTCTGATATATCTAGTGGCAGACAATTCGGCACATTTCGACCCACAAAGCCCACTACATGATAAGTTTGTGGATTAATATTATTTACACTGATATTCTGAGGATGAATTACTCCGCTGTTTTCTTCGCTATCCATATCAAATTTGGTATAACTGTCTATACACGGCTCAGAATTATCCACATTTGATTGATTTAAATTGTCCCCACATATATTTAATGAATGTGGACTACACATCACATCAGTAACAGCGTAAGGTGAAGTTTCAGTGGGGGAAAGTTGATTCAGATTGTCAGATTCATCTTGATATTCCATATGGTTGATAAGTATAGTTTTCGATGTAATACTCTTACGAGAGTTTTGTGGTGATCCCACAGGTTCGTATTGCTGAAAAACAGAAATGGATATGCATTTAAGATAAAATTTATATGATTAATAGATTTGACGAGTGATGATTTCACTAGTGGAAATGTGTATAACAAAAAGTTAAATGATACCAGGGGTGACATATGTAATACTGATAACAGAGTAGAATGGTCACATGATAAAACAGAGGGTAGTTGTTACAGTTGTGAAATTTGGTTGGAACATTACTGCATAATTATAATGGACGGACACCTTGTCTCCTGTAATTTTTTTGTTTACTCAATATCACCTTTCATGGGATAAACTAATATCCTCTTACTTAGTGACTTTGAATTTGATTGCCCTTTAGAATGAATTGTACAACAGTTTATTTCCCATCAGTTACACAATAGCTGAAATATTGTGAAAATACATTCTATTTACCCCATCTTCTCCTTCGTAACCGGAATCTGTTCTACCTTGAGAGGAACTTAATGGCGGAGCAGGTAATGGTCGACTTTGAACATGGCTCGTACAATTCTGTAAAACAAACAAGTGAATTTTCTATATTTACAATCCTCTTTGCCAATCTATATTTAGGACTGAATTTTTCCACATCATATGAATGAATAGACACACTTTTCTGGATTGTACAATCATCTTCTATATACATGGTTAATTTGAATTCCTTCAATTGAACCCTTCCTTTCATGAGCTAGTAATTTTGTTTTAAATACTGACTGGCTGGTTATCCTGTTTGCTGACCAATAAAAGTCTTCAATACAATAACCGCAGTGTATTTAAATCAAACTACATCTAAATAAAAAGATTAACCTTGTCACATTAACTGGAGTAAAGATGGGTTGCCAGGTAATGAAACATACGCCCACTGCAGCTAAGTCATCTGAGCCGTCTACAAGGGTTGTTGCATATTTATTGTTTAGTAAGTAATGGAAGCATTTAAGACACTAAAAACTAGTCAAGAGTAACAACCCATTAGGTAATTATCAGAAATAATTTAAATTTGATTGGCTTCTAGTTCTTTAAGATGCTAAGATTTATTATACAAAAAATGTACAGGTAATGATGATAAAATTAGCAGTTCCAGTTATCGGAAATTGTTGAAAATCTCACATAAACATGGTGCATTAAATTGTAATCAATGGTAAACTAACTTCAACTGCCAGAGAAAAGACAATATTTAAAATAAAATGATCAAGGGTAATAACCACTGATGTTAATTCTAGACTTCTTCATTTCTTCATGGTGTGTAAAGATAAAGGCATGATAAATAAATTATAATCTTTTTGCTATACACTCCCCCCCCCCCCCACCTGCCCAAACAAAATCGATATGTATGCCCTTGAAGTGACGACAAAGTTTTGTATGGTAACTTTAACCACAGTCATATGAAGATGCATTCCAAAAGACTATCAGGGACCTGAAAATATTAAATGTTCTTTTTGGCATGTCACAATTCGAAACAGTCAGGTTTTTAGTCCACAATGCTCGAACCTAACAATTACAATTATTTAAAATTTTTACGACTTGATTACCATGATATCATTTTTTTTAGTGTACATACCTGTTTTATTGGAATGTCTGCTGTAGTTAATTCTGGAATAGCTATTTTTGTCAATTTATTACAATTTCTTTTTTCCTTCTTTGCACATCTGAAAGATATAAATCATTTTGATATAGATGAGCACTACAGTTTGAAAAGATTATTTTTTAAAAGACCTGAAATGCAAATAAATGGTAAGTCAATATCTTACAAATCATTTAAATGCTGTTATCTAAGAAGACAATATGTTTTTGGACTTTTATTTGCCTAAATTTAATTCATATATGATGAAAATTATTACTGTCAACATACCTAATACATCTGAGGACTGCAAATATAATTAGAGCTATTACAAACAATGATCCAATGGCAATACCCGCTATTTCACCATTATTTAACCCTAAAGAGAAAAATTTCAATATATTAGTATTCATTTTTAACCCAAAGTCCTCATACTCTGTACATGATTTGCTGACCATCATCACATCATGGTATGTAATTCAAATCGGTCTTTGGTCTTTCAATATTATACACTGATGTTTAGCTGAGCGCAACACATAGTCTTGGAGATAGTCAGGCTATCAATATTGAAGTCATGACCATTAAGTTCAATGGGCAATTATTTGTAAACTTTTGGCATGTTATAAACTATAACACATACTTATGGAAAAACAGCTACTTATTTATTTGCTTGATAACATTGAGAGAATACTCTTCGAAATATCGCCCAAATAAATAAGTAGCTGTTTTTCCATAAGTATGTGTTATAATTCATTGCTCTATCCAGTTACTAAATGCCTCTCAAAGATTACTTTGGCATGTTGTCAAGTCTCAACACAATCATACAGTAAAAAGATAATTATAACCTAACTAAGGGTAGCAGACCGAGAAGAATTCCAAGAGGACGGATGTTTTATATCTATATTAAATTGTTTTTTAATTCTATAAACAAATTATCAAAATATGAATACTTACTGTTGTCTGATACATGAATACTGATTGAAGGGCTCTTTGGACCCAGACCAGCACTTGATACAGCCTGCATGGTAACTTCATATAAAGCATATGGAATTAAATCTTCAATCTGATACTTTGCTAATTTATTTGATATGGTCAGATTGCGTTCATCACCTGAAAGCAGATTTTAATATTTTGCAAAATTACCAAAGCCAATGATCGCCAATCGAAGAGTTTAAAATCCCTTGAAAACTACAATATAGCTTAAGCTGAATCTAGCGTGGGTAAAATCTATTGATGGCCTTCATTTTGTACAGGTGTGTATTATGACTAAATCCACAGATGAGTAGGCCTATTATGTAGGCTACAGGATACTCACTTTAATGCCATTGCAACCACTGCCTTATATGAAAACCTCTTTATTGTGAATTATATATATAGTGAGGTCTAGACACAAGTCAAATTTATTATGCAATGAATCAAGTGAAAAATACAGAAAATAATATCCTACCAGTACATCCTCCATTTCTATTTGCAACTTGACAAATATGAATAAGATAACCTGTGATGTAGGCTGCATTATCCAGACAACCCAGTTTATCCCATTCCACTAATAGGGCTCTATCTGGTTGTAGGTCTGTAAATCTCACATTTTTAGGTGCTGATACAGGTTCTAAAATAAAGTATAATTGTAAGATAAACATTTTTATTCCTTCCCCCATTTAAGAACAAAAAATATTTTAACTTTACTATTTCGGTAAATAACTGGAAATGACTGGTGCCAAGGAAATGGAATACTTACTTGTATCCTTCATGTAAACACATTTATTCCATTGAATGCCACTACTTCTGCGTATATCATCTTTCTTAGTTTCCTTAGAGATGCCAATTTGATGCCAGGTATGAGCTGAATCATCAAATTTTAATTCCAATATATGTTCCATTTTATTAGCGTCCAATCGTTGCCATGATATGCTCTCCTGCAATGATCAATTTGAAATACATTATTGTAAAAATCTTCTATCAGCATTTGGTGGTATTATTTGTTAGATTTGGCAAGAGAAACATAATTTAGTACATTATGTCAGTCATCATAGGCTAACATATCAGTGCAGACTAACATATCATCAGTGTCTATATGGAAATACTACTTATATCATGATACTGAACAAATTTGATTGGTTTGTCTTTTTTATAGGAATGGCTTCTAAGCATGCGCAGTGGGTGAAAAAAGAAAAAAAGAAACCTATTTCTGACAGACTTAATACTCCACTGGCAACATCTTCGGAAACCTAGATTTCGGACTGAAGTTGGACTTTTCTTTTAGGCAGAGTTCTTGCTTTATTATTTTGCTAGCCATTGATTGTTTTCTTTGATTTTGTTTTACCAAACAATATGATAATATGATTTACCTACAAAGGTAAAAAAAAAAAAAAAAAGCTGCTCTTCTATTCTGACATTCGGTTCTGAAATCGGTTCATTTCATTTTTATGTACTTACCCTACAATCCAAAGTTATATCTGATTTTTTACAGTAGTATAAAGTATAATGAAGAACATGCATATTAACCTCATCAGACCAGCGAATCTGATATTGGTTAATATTGGTTGTATTTACAACTTCCACCACCAGATCTTCAATTTTACTAGGTGCTAAAACAAATCAAAACAATATTCTATCAAAAAACTGTACAGTAACTGTAATGTTTGAAGTGGTTAATATTGTTCTTTTACACAAGGTGAATTGCGTACAATGCTCTAAAAGTTTGAAATTTGGTGATTTTGATGCAGTTCCTAGCTAAAAGTCCTTTCTTGATGTTATGTAATAATGCATTATTGGAGAACTTAATCCAAACAATGTGCTGTTATAAATTCCTTAATTACTTTACCTCAGAATCTCTTTTTAAGTTTAACTGTTATTTTAAGAGAGAAAGAGAGAGAATGGAGTTTAACCTCCACTCAACACAAACTGGGTCATTTTGGGACTAATATGTGGTTAAATTTTTTTTTCAATAATTCACTTGCACGTAGGGGTCTTTAGCAGTGGGAGGAAACCGGAGAAGCCAGAGAAAAGCCACAAGGTTGAACAGCTAACGCTACTCCTTGTCATGTAACTATTTTTTTAAGAATTTAATTTAAACGAAAATGAATCATTATTCACACCATGTAAGTGAAATACTAAAATACCTTTTACTTCTGATGGAATAATAATAGACGAAGCATCTCTGGAGAATCCCCTATTGGTTTTGGCGGTTATGGTAAAAAGATATTCCACTGTTTTACCATGTGGTAGTTGCAAATGATATGAAGTTAAACTGCCAGGTACAAGAGAGGTGCTGGTAATGCCAGTTTCTTGATTTAATACTTCTATTTTATAACCAGTTATTATTCCATTCTGAAGTTTCTTTTCAACAGGCTGAAAAATTAAAGAGAGACTTATTACAAGAATCCCAGGTATATTATAATTAGCATTTGTTACGTATAGTTCAATACTAACATGCATGCTGAAAATGTTTCATAATCTAGGTGAACAGGATAGGCAAAATTTCTATTTTAATTTTAAATTTTCTAAACTGTTATGGAATATTGATTAAAAACTAAAAGTTTGTTTATTTCTGTAAAAGCATTTGTTAAGATATAAATGAGATTGTTTTAAAAAATGCAATAGGCAAGCTATACAACCAAATACAGCACTTTTTGTTTAGTCATTTGCTCCTCAACTCTAGAATAACACATTTTGAAATAATTTTTGTTTTTAAACTTTTGCGATAAAATTCATAAATGATGCATGCCTTAACAAATCCTATATCAGCCATAGAATTATCATTGACTATCCTAAGAACATTGCTGATTTGTCTTCTGCCAGTTTGGAGATGACAACTCATAAAGTACCCAAAATGAAATTTACCCGAAGGAACTCTGGTTATGGTGGTATGGCAGGTGTTGTTAGCAACTTGGTTCAAACAGTTAAAATATCATTATTCGAAGAGTTGAAAACACATTTTGAGATGTCAAAATAGGGAATTTAGGTGAAATGAGAGCTCAACTATTTCATCCTAATAGCATTTAAGGACAATGTCGTACCAAATATATTTACCTTCCAATAAACTTGAACACCACAATTTATATCTTCACAGGACTTTTCGGTAAAACATCCCGGACAAAGAATTGGTGCTCCCCAGGGTACTGTAAAATTAACATCAGAATTAAATACTCGTAATAAAAATATCCATATTTTTATCCATGTACATGAGCCATGTATCCTAGCTGTAAACTAAGAAATTAACTGGATGCAACCAACAAATCATTTCAATATCCATCTGTGAAGTAATCGTACATATAAACTCAACAAATCAGTCATATTGTTAAAGATGTCTGTTTCAAAGTAATAAAATTACCAGTCCTTGCATTGCAGTATTACGTTTGCAGCAGCGATACAAATACAAACATATTGAAATCTTTTATTATGAACAAACATGTACCAGTTAAAAACTTGAAAAATAAACTTACTGTCTTCTGCCGTTTTCACTGCCATTTCTACATTGTCACTCCAAAAGCCTCTAACTGTTGGTTTATTAGCAACTGATATTTTATATAATGTATGAGGTAGAAGACCACAAATAGTGTAGTTGTCTTTAAAATCATCAAAGAGAATCATCTTAAAAAAATTAACAAAGCAGAATCCTCATAAATAAAACAATCAAATGTTCCAGTTTTAATGATCCCACCCTCTGACCCCAAGAAATTCATGGATCAAAATTATGCCAACTGGACATTTTTACTATGATTTAAAGAGCAAGTAGATTTTTTTTAGTCAGACATTTTTTAATGTTGATGCTCACAGTCTGGTAAAATTGGCTTAAATGGGAGCTCTGATGTTTTGAAACAATCAAAGCTATGTTTGTTTAAACTTATATCTTATCTGTTTATATAAAAGCTTTCCAATACAAAGGTTGGCCTAAAATTGCACCTTATGTAAGATTTAGATAAAGAGCTGTCCATTCTTGCTATAATAGTTCAAAAATAGATAATGCAATATGAATATACTGAAAATTTCATTCAAATTACTTTATTCTGACCCAAGTTATCACTGTTTGTAGTTTTGACTATAGACGTGTGCATTGATTGTTTATTATCATAACCACGGTACTGGTATATTCAAGATTTAGCCTAAAGAAAGACCTGCAATAGGCAAATTTAGCTCTTGAATAATGTATATTTATTTTTGCTAGAAACAGACACAATACCTTTTGTTCTTCTTCAATTAATTCTGACTGTATTTCTATTTCTACTTTGTATTCACGTTTTCTATGTTTTAATCGATGTGTCCAACTAGCTGTAAGGCATGTACTGTTTGTTCCATTTCTACTAACAATCAAATTTTCTACTGGTGCTGGTTGAACTGAAAGATAAACATACAATAAAATATTATTAATCTAAAATGGTGTAATTTTGATTTAAATAAATGAATGGCTTCTTAAGGTTTCTGCAACAAATGTACAGAGTATTTGCAACTGGGAAGAAATTTGTGAAAGCACAAAAGTTAAAGGAGCTGAACTACTTTGATTTAGATTAAAAGGACTGAATTGGGTTGACCTTAAATTTATTTAGTTTTACTATTCAATGTCTGTTTCAAAAGATTAAGAAGATTTGGGCTTTGTTACTAATTTTAATTTTAGTTTACTGTGTGGACAGTAGAACACCAAATTGGTTTTATCTCAATACCGGCTTTATATATTCTACGGACATAAAATTTTCAAAAAAGACAGACTGTTATCTGATGATCACATAAAATCAAATGAAATTAACAAGTTAAAGATATATATCTCAAATGCACAGACAGTTCATATATTAGATTTTTAAGTTCTATCTCAGCTGTAAGATAAAGATTGTGCATTCGATGCACAAAAACTTTAAACAAAGTGTTAAATTGGCTTAATAAACACAAATTCTCAGGTTCACTAGAGGATTTAACTTAGAACTTTCTGCATGATCACACCCAATGATACGGCCAGTCATGTTATCTAATATACAGATCTGCAATACTGTCAATAAAACACAAAACAGCATAATCTGTGAAGTCAAATGGTTCAGGAATTAGCACAATCAATACATCGCTGCCAACGGATATCTCTCTCACAGCTACATTCTGTGGCAAGTGGCATCAGGTGTTCAAGGAATTATACCCTGTCTCATACATGACACATATATAACAAGTTATGGATAGTGAAATGGTAAAGATGTAATTAGAAACAAATATCTACAAATAAAATAAGTTTTCATCATAACTTACCAATTTTGCTTGAATCAATTTTGAAAATATCTGACTTGACCTTCTTATTAGCTTTTATATTTGTGACAACCACCATCATATAATACATCATATCTGGATGTAACATATCTGTAGATGGTTTCCAGGAACAAGAAGTTCTTGTTAAATGTAGACAATCATTTTGTGCACCCCTGAAATATCAGGAAATTTTAGATTGATTATCAATAATTCAGCACAGCTGCCAGAACATAATTAATACTGGGAGGCCGTCAGAGGTAGCTAGCCAATTAACCCATTTTTGCAAATTTTTTGCAGAAATTGGGGGCTATTTAAAAAGCACTATCTGAAATGATCAAGAGTAACAACCCACAAAATCTGAATGGCTTCTATTTCTTATCATACAAAACCTGAAACTATAACCAGATGATAACTTTACCAGTTCAACAAGTTATCAGAAATCAATCAGCTTCTTCATCTCATGAACATAAAAACTGTGCATACATTTCAAACCAAAATAATTATAGCTTTGGTCACTAGGGGCAATAAGATTTTAAATAATGATGAAGTAGAATAACTCTAAATGGAATTATCAGCTACTTCATCTCATTAACATAATAAATTAGATGATAACTTTAGAGTATAGATCAAATACTGGCTTGTCGAGTATTTACAGGAAATTATGGATGGACCAAACATGTCCAAATTCATAGTGGGCATATAAAAAAAAAAGAAAAAATCATCTGATTAGATAAGCAATTCTACAGTAAGAGGTTAATGAATGCACTCAAAATTCTATATGAATGCACAGCCACTAGAGTATGCTGATGTGTGCACAAAGTTTCCTAAATATGTTAACCAAAATAAAAAATGATCATCTACAAACAACTAAGTCAAAATTTGTTTATTCAATTAAGCGTGGTATATTAGTTCAAAAGCATACAATTGTATCTATCATAATTTATTAACGTGTGTATACAATTTTGTAAAGAGTTATTTAAAGGTTTATGACAATTTTCGTGAGATTTTTTTTTTAATATCTAAAATTCACCATTGAATAATATATTAGTGTGTGTCCAAAATTTCATAAAGATATTGTGGGCAGTTCTTCCTTGTGCTCTGGAATAATAGTTGCAAACTAAAAACTAGGTCAAAGTCGTTAAAAATAGACTTATATATACAAATTCTTATTAAGATATCTTGATTGGTTACGCTCAATCAGTGGGTTGCGCTTTGTCATTAGTGTCATTGATTGAAATGAACAAAGCAATTAAATGTTCAGTTGTACTCACGTGATTTTAATAAAACGTCTGAAAGAATTTAAAAATTACCCCAATTTATATCTGAATAAAGAGTAAAACACTCCAAAGAATGTCAGAATAGAACACAACCATGGAAACACTATTATGACTTCAAACACCATAATGAAATGAAATGAAATGGGGTTTAACTTCTACTCTTCTGCTCCGACTGGGTTAATGAAGAAGGACCCCATAATGATGATAATAATTCCAGCATTCACCTAGCACAACATTTCAAACTAAAGTCTGTTCAGTGCATGTGTGAGAACTGTGAGACTTTAGCTGATGTACCATAATAATACCAGTAGGTAGTTCCACAACGCAGCTGAATTATATGATATGTTTATATAGTACGTGTATATAGTTTTGAGTCATTAAAGTTCTGAATGTTGTAGAAACATTTGTAACTGTACTGAAGAGTTTGGGAGTTTTGTACTCAGTTCTTAATTTTATAGGAATCCAATTTGCAAATCCTGAAGATAATGCGGCAAGCTGAGTTTTGGATGGATTTTACAAGCTTTGCTGCTGCTGATATGTTAAGATAAGGAAGGGGATGCAGCAGGAGATGATTTTATTGTAGATTCTCCAATGTTAAAGGACTGTTCTGTCTGGAGCTGTTTACTCTTGCATGTGGACAGATGAAATCAACTCTGTCTTGCCATCATTCAAGAGTAAGTTGGTAGCCATTCACTAAGCCTCTAAAGGTAGTTGACAGAGTAAGCAGTGTAGTGTTGATTATCATTGACATATTGGTGTTGGTGGTATCCTGGATAGGTTGAATAAAATTGGGCCAAGTACTTATCTCTGTGGAAATCCTCTTTTGAAAACTTTGACTGTAGACAAGTTACAGATTGTTATGTTCTTTCAAATATTTTTCCAATATAAATTGTATATTATTTTAAAATTCTAACAATCACTGGGAATACATCTGTACTTCAAAAATTAAAAGATATTGAGTTTTCCCATTTCACTAAAATAATGATACCCAATCTAACCCTCTAGAGCATCCTCAAGCCTTGATCATGACAATAGGTGATCAGATTTCAATGGCTAAAACTGACTAATGTATTACTTACTCTACAGACCAGACTAAAGATACATCAATATCATCATAGTTACAGTAGGGTGTTGATAAATTCCATGTGCATGTCATATTCTCCCAGTCATATACACGGCAAGTAAAATCAGTAACAGGTTTAGGTTCATCTGAAATCAAATGAAACATATTTACACAATTAAAAACCTTGAGTTAAAGATTAACCTTTTATAAGAATATGATAAGGCATATATACCTTTTAATAACCAAACATACACACTGGAGAATCCTAGTCAAAAAGTTGAATAGTAATAAACAGTAATTATATTCCACAGAACTGTGTCCTGTATAAAATCGTTTAGGATAACAAAGGGCAATAACTCTGGAATTAAATCAACAAGCTTCTGTTTAAATTCCGAGTCAATCAGATAGTAACTTTCATATAATATGATTAATACGTTGATCCCTTAAGTACTTAATCAATCCTCCCTTTTATCAATGATAGTAGTTGTACACCCAGTACAGTCAATTAATTTTGGAATTTTGAATATTATTCACCATATGTTGATGTCCGATTGGAAATATTCGGAATATACATGTCCGGAATATACGGGCAAAATAGCATCAGTGGCCTCTAGGGTGTCCACACCAGAAACTGTGGATGTTGGATGAAAGTTTAAATGTCGGCATATAAAAAAGAATGGCATTTAATCAATAGAGCTATGTCATTTTATGAGTAAACCTACACAAATAAGCTGGGAAACCTAGCCTTTTTTCAGACAGGGGTAATAGATTTTTATCATAAACTTTTATAGAGAGAGAGAGAGAGAGAAAGAGAGAGAGAGGGGGGGGGGTAATGTCCACTCGACACAAACTAGGTCATTTCGGGACTAACATATGGTTCAATTTTATTTCAATAATTCGCTTGCGCGTAGGGGTCTTTAGCAGTGGGAGGAAACCAGAAAACTTTTAGAAATATCAACCACCAAATTCCTATAATTATTTGAGCTGTTGACATGATCTATACATTTTCCAACTGGTTAATCTTAACATTTGTTTTAATTATTGTTTCTGGAATATTTGATTCTGGTTTGTAAAAAAGACAAGACTTACAATTGACTTGAACTAATTGATGATCTAAAACTTCTTGGCTGTGACTCTTATTTAACAAACACACAAAATTAAAGCGTTTCAGATCTTGTGAACAGCCAAACTTATCAACAGTTATAGGGTATACCAGTTTGATAGATTTTGTGTTGATTATTCTGATGTACCGTTGTGGAATAGTTACATCATTTAACTTGAAGTACATTGATGAAGAATTTTCTCGTAGACGTGGATTGGTCAAATTACACCACAGCATCAGGTCATGTCCAAAAAACACATATGGATCATCTGGTTTAACCACTGAAATAAAAGAAAACACACATTCAATGACGCTTAGCTTTTTATTGAGAACATGTTGGGAATTACAATGTCAAACAGATGTAATTCTGATAGTAACAGGAACAGAGCTTGTAACATTTTGTCAAACGTTTCCTAGTTCTGAATTCTCAAGAGATTAAACAATCAATGTGTTCTAATTAAAGCAAGATTCTTTAGTTGATGTGTGTGTAAGCTTATGAGATAGGGGGAAATGATAAAAAAAAAGTGCTGTGTATACTGTTTTATTCCATTCAGACATTTTCTATTTGAAAGGCTTAATTCTTTATTTTTTTTTTATTTATTTATTTATTTTTTTTGGGGGGGGGGGGGGAGGACAATCCATATAAATTGTCATTAAGGTTATGTTTTCCTATTGTCCACAAGTACAATAAATTCAATATGTATTTACCTCCATTTCCATCTAACAACATTCCATGGGTCTGTGAGACGACCATTAAGAAAAGAAAAATAAATACTGATGTTGTTAAATAATGTCTGTTCTCCATGTTTCGTTATCTTCATATTACTCTGATTACTGTCATTATCGTCCTATAATAACAATTAAAATACATAACAATGATTATTACAGGTTTCAACCAAATACAATCCATTCTTATAAATCAATAAAACTTCAATATGTCATGTTCAGCTCTCAGAAGAATTGTGTTAAACATATGAAACAACTCATCAAATAATAATGATCTAATGATTCATTGTTTGGTGCAATGTTGAAGGATTCTTTTACATATTTCTTTTTTATTAAAGAAATAAAATTGATTTTTAACAAAAAAAAGTAATTGTTTTCAATTATTTTTTTAATAACTAACACTGATATCACAGATGATCGGTATATATTTTGGTGTTGATATATTTATATATTTTAATGCTCTTTGTTATCTCTATTTATTATGTAAATGTAATATCGTCTTATGTGGCAGTTGTATTTTATAGAAACGTTTATTGATAATAATAATCTTTCTAACAATGCTAATTTTATAACAGTAAACATTTTCTTGAATTGGTAAGAGAAGGTCTTCTATGGAGAACAGGACATTCAAATTCTAATCATAACTTCTACTCTCTTTATTTATATTCCAAGTTTAATGGTCAAATCTTTTAATTTTTCCAGACACTGAATAATAATAGACATACTCTGACCACTAAATGATAAATATACTCGAGTTAAGAGCCCTTTAATCACAAGACATCCAACATTTTCTCCACAATGCAACAGTTTTATTTATTAAATACATGATCCATCTATTTTACACCCAAGAAAGTTTATCCTTGAGTTGGCACGAACTTCATTCTGGTTGTGTGAAAGTTGTCATAAAATCTATTTACATAGAGCAAGGATTTGACAGAAAATGTATCTTGTTAAAGCAATTTGATATGTGTTTTTATTTACTGAGTCCACATCAACGAATTCTACAAAAATACCCATGGGATATTACACTGAAGGAAAAAAAGTATCAAAAACAGAAAGGATGAAAACCAATTTGCTGGATAGAGCATTGGTTATAGGCAGTACAGACTACTATTACATTAAAGCAGTACATTTAATTCTAATGCCTTTCATGTGCAGATGTTAAGCCGGTTTAAAACAGATAGACGAGCCAGCTTCACTTTGTTGTCTGAACACAAAGGTGGGCCCAAACATACTGATTTAAAATTTCCAGACAGCTATCTGTCTTTGAGAAGGTTTTTTTTCTAAGCGGGCTTATCTCCGCATCTGTTTAAGATCGTCAACTTCACTTTAGGCATGTACATTTCAATACTTCTATCATTGTGAGATCAAAATTATAAATTTTCTCAATTTACCTTTTTCATTAAATAAAAGGATCTAGCTCAAATCACACTATCAATGCTTTATATCATTATTTCCACTGTAAATTACATCCATTTTAAGAAGTTAACTACAACAATTAACTGGCAAAAACAAAAAACCAAGTGTTGTTCCATCTCATTATAAAGCTTATGTTCATTCTAGAAACTTTACATTAAACCCTACCTAAACAGTCTATCTTAACAAAACCAAGCATTGTTCCTTTTTATTATAGTACACTTGTGTTCATCTTGTAAGTTTAAATTAAACCCTACCTAAACAGTCTATCTTAATAAAATGTTTATTTGTAAACATTTTCTTTCCACTAGATACCTCACAAATAAGAATCTCCTGGCAGAAAAATGATCATATATCCAAGAAACACTTTCAATTTCATAATATCTGAAACTAAAACTAGGAATTTCGGATATTATAAAATAGGGTAAATATATACAATTACATGTCATATGACAGTATGAATATGTCACTGTCATATTCAGACGTCATTATAATGCCTCAAGACTAAAATAGTTAAAAGAAAGTCGCAATAGAACAGAGTAAACTCAAGCCTTTAATAGTAACCTAATTTCACAGAGTGCACACAGAAAGGCCTGACAAAATCTTATAAATAATCAATTTCTAATGATAATAACAAGCTATTCGATATCAAACTGTTAATTTTTTTAAAAAATAAAGAGAAAGCAGATGTTTACTAAAGATTGTTAAAACTTTTCAACTGTTATGACAAATAAAGGATATTATCTTTATGTGTCAATCACCCACATAATTTATTACAATGGTTTAATAATGACATAAGATAACGATAAAGTTCATAAAGTAAATTTGATAAATGGTCATAATATAACATGCAATGGCTTTCTAATCTAGCTGCTACACATCTAGGTATTGTAGTAACCAAAATATAAGGTAGCTGTAACACATCAATATACCTACATGTACTTAGTAACCATATCATGACAAGCTTGTGTTTATTTTGACACTGTTGCATGGGTATTTGTCACTTGAAATTTAGAATCTAAAACACAATGATGTTGCACATTTAAATCAGAACTGAAATAAATCAAATCCTTCAGGATTTCAATGTTCGCCCACTTTCATATCATAAAATGGCACACCGTTATTTATGGACAAATAACAAGAAAGGGTGCACCTACTATTCTTATTCAGTTTAATATTATTCTAACATGTTAAATAAATAGGTTCTGTGACATGTCTTCTCCAAAAATGGTCAAATCTCCACAGAACAAAATAATCGTGAGTTTATTTTTAAGTTTTGCGTCACACATTTTATATTTAAATCAGTTCTTTCTTCAAAACATAACAGCCTTTGCATATTTTACCCATTCATGCCATTCGAAGAATAATATACATTAACCCCACCCATTTGTGCTTAAACTTCCCCAATGGCAAATGAAAGGTTTAAATAACACAAAAGTAACCAATAGAGAAAGAAAACATAAAACTTTTTTATGTAGCTCCTGACAAGAACTGGTTAACCCTGTAAGCAATATTAAACTTGACTTTATGTTTGAATACTTATGACACTGTGCACAAGACAAATACCATAACTTATGATCAAAGATAATTAAAATTATGTGGACCTCCATGTATAGAGTTTTATGTCCAATAATGTCTCTTAATTTAACAAACACACTTCATCAAACCAACTTTGATATAAATACTATCCATTGGACTCTTCGCCAAAATAATATGACTGGCAAATATCACTCTCATCAAAAAAGACAATGTTAACAAAAACATTTCCTAACCTCATTGTTTTTGCTCCAGGTAGGTTCGTCCCCCCCCCCCCTACAATTATAAACTAAAATCCCTACACCTATACAATGCACAGACACAGTGTTATGATCTTGTAATTGAGAATATCGTTCAAGAGATTGAAACATTTTGCCATTAAATTATGATTCAAGAGTTTGAGACACTTTGTTATCATGATAATGACTCGCGCAAAGAAACAGTTTTCATAACATCTCTCATGATCATGATCCAAGAATTGAAGCACTCTCACAATATGTTACGAGATATAGACTTGTCATCGCATTAAGTTCCAAGATATAGACTTGTCATGAGTATTATTCACAATAATAGAAGCTTTTAAATCTTAATCATTATTTCTGATAATTATTTTATGGATTGTTACCCTTGATTAGATGTTAGGTGTAGGATAAAGCACGAGACTGAGGTTATGCTGGGGAAAGAAAGACTTTCTTCCCCAGCATAACCGAAGTCGAGGACTTTATCTTGCTTAAAAACCGTCTGTTTACATGTACGCAAGATGAGAATATCCCAGAATTCCCGTAAGAAAACCGTATATCAGGTTTTTCTTATGGGGAAAAAAAACTACCCTGGAAGAATAACCCATTACAGGTTTAAAGAAAAACTTTCAGAAGAATAACCCCAAATTTCCCTGTATATATCCAAAGCCGCCTCCTACTTTCAGACCGCAAGTTATTCTGGGCATACCTCAAAGATCAAAGAGATTTACCGTTACAGGTTTATAAAGTCTTTTAATGCTCCCATTACCTACAATTTAAAAGAGTGAAAATGAGAAAACCTTTGTGGACTGCTCAGATGACAAAGCTGCTGGGTATGTTTTGTTGCCTGGTAACCTATCTTTATATAGTTTGTTACTAACAAAGCATATAACTTAAATTCATAACTTAAGCTTCATTTCAAAATGTACATTACTGTTGATTGTGATATCATAATCTCTATAAACTGGTTGAAATTTCCATTTGTGTGTGGTGTGTGGGTGGTGTAAAATATTTCTGTAGCTAACTTCATATATGACAAATACCACAATGTTATATAAGTACCATATCTATGACGTAGATAAATAACCATTATTACCAGTATGTATATTCCTATAGTAGATAATAAAGTTAATACTAATCTTTACAATACATGCTCTAACTGATAAAAGATTGTTGATTTTCATAGAATTGTAATTGACAATTCTAAGAAAGAAGTTTTAAATGTGAAAATGACCTAAATATTACTCTATTCATAAACTTGAATATAAAATGGATTAATCCCATTTAATCAAAGTTATATATACTTTTCTGGACAATTACATGTATCAAAATATTCACCTGAATGGATTGGTTGTGAGATCTATTAATAAGACATATCTACAGTACATTGATTCATTTATATATAAATGTACAGTTTCACTGAATAAAACGTGTATATTACTGTATATATATTGACCTGACCTGGGAGTAAGCCTATATTTATCATCGGCACTTTATCACCGTATTGACAAATATATGCATCAGAACTACGACATACATCAATAAAATTTATCAGTCATAATAACTTCTTTTTTTTTTTACTTAAAATGTCACCATTTGAACGTCAAATTTTGTTGTTCTTACTAAAGTAACTAAATATAAAGGAGCTAAAATCTCTCTAATTTTGGTCAAACTATGAACCCCTTTCATGGTCAAACCAAACTACTTGATTTTTATTTTGATTAGTGACAGGGAAAAGCTCTATACAATTAAATTTTTGTTTCAAATCGGCTTGTTTACTAATTTTACTTTCCTTTTTGATTTAATGTGCTGAAAACTTTTAACACTTGGAAATATGTTTTTAATTCTGTTTTTGTTCTGTGCATGATCTGGCGATCACATGTGGAACATCAGAAGAAGATAGAATTCAAAGAAAGTTTTCTTTGTACACC